AATATTACCATATAGTTTTTATATTATATCATAAATATTATCATATTATCTTATAGTTTTTATATTATATCATAAACTAGAATCTTTAAGGTTTATTTTAACATATATATCATATTATGATTCTTAAAAATACAGTCGATATGATTTTTTGAAGATTTCACATTTATTATGATTATAAATTTGCCAATTTCTTTTTTCCTGGAAATTTCAACAATATTATCACATACTTTTTATATCATATCATAAACTAAAATCTTTAAGCTACAATTTAATATATATATCACATCATAATTCTTAAAACTGCAGTCGTTATGATTTTTTGAAAATTTCGTATTAATTTTGATCTATAAAGTTGACAACTTCTTCTTCAATAATCTTTTCCCGAAAATTTCAATAATATTATCTTATAATTTTTATATCATATCATAAACTAGAATCTTTAAGCTACAATTTAATATACATATCACATCACAATAATTAAAACTATAGTAGTTATGATTTTTTGAAAATTTCATATTAATTTTGATTTATAAATTTGACAAGGTCTTCTTTAATAATCTTTTCCCGGAAATTTCAATAATATTATCTTATAGTTTTTATATCATATCATAAACTAGAATCTTTAAGCTACAATTTAACAAACATATCATATCATGATTCTTAAAAATACAGTCGATATGATTTTTTGAAAATTTCGTATTTTTTTCTGATTTATAAATTTGATAATTTCTTCTTTAGTAATTTATTCCTGAAAATTTCAATAATATTATCTTATAATTTTTATATCATACCATAAACTAGAATCTTTAAGCTTCAATTTAACATACATGTCATAAAATAATTTGTAAAAATACAATCGATATGATTTCTTGAAAATTTAATATTTTTTTGTGATTTATAAATTTAACAATTTCTTCTTTAATGATCTTTTCCATCATCAATAAATGTAAAGAATCTATACTCAAGCGGAGTTGAGTATAAATTGCATTCTCTATCAAAATCTTGAAATCTTTTAATTTTTTTTGTCTGATGATGTGTTACAACATCGAAAGTAAATTGTAAAGTGGGGATTATACCGTTTCAATATTCGACAAGAAGCAGAACTGCGTGTTCTTGACCTCAAAATTGGTTAACCGCAAATTATTCTCAATTTATTTTTATTATTTTTTTTCCTTAATCCGAACCCGTTTTGCATACATGATTTAGTTTATCTTTTTTGTTGCTTCTTTTCATTCTGATTCTTTTTGAAAAGAACACTGGTAAAGTTCTCTTATTATTTTTTTTAATAATTTTGTTTGTGACCTTTCAAAATTGACGATTTAATCACAACCGAGAGAATATGATGGTTGTATTTTTTTTTGTTAAAGTTTTCTCGGTCGTTTACCGAATATGTACTCGTGGCATTGTATCGATGGTCACCGTGTAACCTTATTACCGGATATCCTTCCTTTTGACCCAGAATCAGTACACAAACAAAAAAAATAAAATAACGCGACAAACGACGCAAATGTACTCTATAAATACAATCACAACCTTATAATTTTCCCATAAAGTAAATCATTTCAATTCAATCATCATTAGCATCATTCTTTTCTCAATAGTTTTTTAAATACACTACAAAAATATACAATAATCTAGCGGTGAATAATAATTAAAAGTCGTGCGTCTCTCAAGACGACTAAATCCGAATGACTAAATCCTAGTGATAGTGCTAATGCAAAACTAGAACTAACACTAGACCTAGAACTAGAAAGTTTCGGGTTTAGCCGCACATCTCTCAAGACGGCTTAAGTTACCTTTTTTTAAATTTCTTTTATTATTATTAACGTTAATTAGTTACTTAATCACGACTTAATTAAATTTACAATGGAAAAGTTATATTTGCAAATGAATATCCATTTAAGGTTATAACAAAAATTATTGACGTTTATGGAAGATTGTTGGTTGAAAATTTATAAAGAACGATTACGGTTATAAAATATCAATACAGTACATCATAATAATTAAATTGCGCTTGCCGTTAAATCGGGTCAAGATTATCGAGTATATTTACAATTCAACTCAAGAATATTTTCGGCCCCTTCTTCTTCTCTCCTTCTTCTTTCCTTTTTCTTCTTTTTCAAACTAAAGCTGCCTTACTACATTTGAGGACGAGTAAATGTCAGAACTATTAATTTCGATTCGTGCCCATGATTTATGACCCAGTTTTCATCTGGTTTGCTTACCATTAAATTGTATTTAATAAACAATATCGATATAAATAATTAATATTAACAAAATACTTTGGAGTGCTCCAGAAATGGTTATGTTTCAATAATATATGCCTTCTAGATTTCTTTTCATTTTGACGTATTTATTGATCATTTAAAGTTCTTAACATTTTACAAGAATGTTAAATCAATCAATTCCAAATAGAATGGGTTGGTTGAGTTATTATAAAAAGGTGTTTGCTCGGTCGGTGGTTATCGTTACTTTTTGGCCTCAATCTTAAAGAGACGTTGGAATGTGGAACGGGAATAAATCTGAATTTCCTAAGATAGACAAATGGCTAGAATAACAACGGAGTATTTCACCCATATAAGCCAAATGTAAATAAGAATCAAATTTTTTAAGGTAAAACAAGACTCAAAATAAAAACAAATCGTAAAAATATAGATCTAGTTTCAAAAAACAATCACTTCTAAAACGAATTTATCTAATTTTTTTTTAAATAATCGTGTTTGGGTTGGATCAGCAACGCAGATTACATATTTTTTAGCATTCATCTATTCTGTTATTGATATTATTTGTAATACTTTAAAATATTAAAGTTTATCGACTTGTTTTTAGTTCAACCCGGCGTTTATTGCATAATGCCTTCTGTGTAGTAACATATTAAACTGTGATAAGAGTCTAAAAAAGTAAAAACTACTTTGTCAAGTGAGATATGGGGGATATACATCAACTTGTTGACATTTACAGTTACAGAATAGATTTCTAATACCTCTCCTACTTAGAAAAATATAAAATCGATTCAAGTCAGGAAAGCCAATAAAATCGCAGGCTGCTTAAACATTTTATTGAGGAACAAAGATCTACATATTAACACAAAATTGAGAATATATAAGATCATGACCTGTACGGGCGAGACTAGACCTGACACATCTAAAACGTATATTGGAAACAGCAGAAATGAAGATCCTACTTCATAGCATCACCGGTAAAACTCTATACGACAGAGAAAGAAGCGAAGACATAAGAACATTATGTGGAGTGGAAAATATCAACATTGGAACAAAAAATGGAATGCACACATAGAAAGAATGGGATAAGATGGACTAGGTAAACGAAAAAGGTGGAGCGACAAATTGCGCACAGAATAGACTCATCATTAACGAAGAACAGGCTTTAAGCTTGAGTGAAGAAAGAAGAAGAATTTCCATATATTCAATAAAAATAAAATTGTATAAGTTATTCTGCAAATAAAACATCGTCCTCCACCTTTACCATATTCAATCACTTCGGTGGTAAAAGGATTTTAATTCGTTCTCAGCACGAAGTAAACTGACATAATTTCATGTAATGCGTACAACTTTTAACTCGGCCTATCTCTATTTTAAAGATTTCGAAACGTTTGTAAACAATTTAACAACAGTGTAGTTACACCTTTATGACTAATAACATTTAAAATAAAAATTCCATCATCGGACAGAAACATTTTAATCTCTTAATTGTTCTAATTGTGAATTAGTTTTAATTAAATGTAATTGGAGTAAATTAAGCTGAGTGAATAAAGTAAATTATCTGGCGTGGAGTGAGTCTCTTTTTCTCTCTCTTGGGAATTAAAACTGTATCAAGGGTTTTTGGTGGAAAGAAACGAAGGTCTTGCTGATTTGTTTGTCGGTCGACGATGTCGTCTCTTGCGGTTGGTCTCCTTGATCTCGTTGTTATCTGAGAGGCTCGGCAAGTCACAATTTTGAGCAGACAGACTGTCACCTCGTTTTCTTGACCCAACAACGCCCGTTCCCGCCCAACAACATAATTTTTATTAAGGAGGGGCTATCTAGTACTTAAAAAAAGTTTACAAAAATTTATTTATTAAAAAAAAAAAAAAATTCGTAACTATATTAATCTATATCTGATTAAAAGAAACACATTAGGATTAAAAGTAACCTTAATAGTATCTTGCAATTACATTAATGATTTTAATGATGATTAATATACATCATTTAATAAACAATCTTAATTAATTTCTAATTAATATGTGTTAATGAATCATTTTGTAAAAACATATTTGAATTATTGTAATCTTGTAAGCTTTTATTTTCAAAAGAATTTTCAAATTTCTTAAATTAGGGATGTGGTGATATTATGAATAAATATCTGGGAAAGTGACGTTTTTTGCCCAACTGACCTCTAGTGGTCTAGGGTGTAGGCTTCAAACCTACAGTCGATTGACGTCGAAGTGGTTCGATTCCACCTGTTGGGCGGCACCACCGTATTTCAAAAAAAATTTTTTTAATTTTATTATTTTATTTATTAATAAATAAATTAATATAAACAATTAACATTTGAAATAAATTTTGGTTTTTTTATTAATAAAAAATATGTTTTAATTGCATTTTATTAATAATCAGTTCCAAATCAGCGCCATCTATCGAGAATGATAATTAAGTTGAAAAAAAAACTTTCTTGCTTTTTTTGCTGATTTTGCTGAAAATTTTTTGATTTTTATTCAAATTGTAATCGTATCTCAATTTTGTCTCAAAAAATTTAAGCATATTACTAGAAGAATGTCCCCGAATTTTTATTCGTTACTTTATTTAAGTGCATAGTGCACGTTTTTTTTTTATAACTGACATCTAGTGGTGTTTCGATTTAAAATTGTTAAAACGTTTCGATTCCACCTGTTAAGTGGCGCCACTATATTTCTAACCTAAAGTTTTAACTTTTATCTTAAATTACTCACAACCTTATCAATTTTCGCTTTAATTTCCGTATTAACTGATTTTCATTGAACATTGCGTATTACAAAAAACAATTTCGGTTGTTTAACATTAAAGTTTTCGTTTGAAATTCAAATTGATCTGTGACGTTTCAGTTGTGATCCAACCATCAATCAGAAGACTACGCAATTCGCAATTTTAATAGAAGAATCGGGGGGAGTCCTCTCTTTTCCCTTCGTTTGTGTTATGTATCAAAAACATGTCTGACGTAGCGGCGTAATGTTTGTTACATTGATACTAATGGATGGACGAGGACCTGAAGCGAGGATTCTTCCGATGCGCTCAACAGATAAATGGCGATATTCGAGAAACGAACCGCGAATAAGGTACTGATAGATGATACCGAAAGTCTTTCCTGCGTAATTGAAAATTGGTTTAACACCAATGGTCACACGGTAAGAAATTATTTTTACATGTTATCCCCACTTTATTTTCTTCAATTGGTGTTTTTTTTGTTATAGGAGTTTGTAATTAGGGTACAAAGGGGCCCATTTTCTGATAAAACTTGGCGCGTCCAAAAACGTTACAATGACTTTGTTAAATTGCATTCAGCACTTCAAACATCCGGTATTCATTTACCGTTACCACCTAAGAAAATCGTCGGAAACATGGACCCGAAATTTATTGCAGAAAGACAACAAGCTTTACAAAAGTACCTAAATATTATAGTCATGAACCCAATACTTGTATCATCGTTACCAGCTCGATCTTTTATTGATCCTGCTAATTATTGTCAACCTTTTAGAGGTTAGATAAATATTTATTTATATACATGAATTGATAATACTTAATTATTTTATCTTTTAAGAAATTGCATTACAACATGTTTCGCTTGCATTAAGAGGCGAGGTCGGTTGGGAAGTTGTCTCACCATTAACAGAAATTGGTTGGCGCCTTCGTAAACATTATTATCATGTACGATGTAAAAATATACAATCTAAGGAGGAATTATGGGCTGGTTGGATTGATTATGGTCCTGATAAACACTTAGATGATAAAGATATGCATGCCATATTTAAAAGTATTAGTCAAATACAAGTATGAAACAAAATAAATATTAAAAAAACCATTTATACCATTTTAACAAATTTTTTTTAGCATCCATATATTTATCCAATAGAAATGTGCCTGTGTACAGATGTGGGGGCTTTAGTAATCCGAACTAGTCATAAAAATGGATCGTTAAGAGACGTTTTATATGGTGTTAAACCAAAACAGTCATTTATGAAAAAATATGGTAACCCAAAAGGGCATAAACCGTTAGAAATATCGCAAATCGCCTTGTATGGGCGTCAAATACTTGAAGCATTAAAATTTTTGAATGAAAAAGGTTTACCTTACGGGCACTTACACACCGGTAACATAATAATTGATAACGATCGCGTTAAATTGCTTGATATTGAAAATGGGATTATCGGTGTACCAAGTTTTTATCGCCCTTATTTTATGCAACACAAAAAAATTCATTCGTTACAAGCGATTGACGTTTATTGTTTTGGACATACTTTGTATGAAATGACTTTCGGATCCCCGCTACATGAAAGCGTTGTTGAACATCTTCCGGGAGAGTGTAATCCAATTTTAAGATCAGTTCTCGAATCAATTTTATCGCCAGAAGCTTGCAAATCGGGAATTCCAACTATTGATGATCTTCTAAAACACGCTTTTTTTGCTAATATCAAACCCACAATGATGTTATCAAGTGATAAAATACACTTGAAAATACCAACTTCGACAAAAGAACAAATCAAAAAGATTATTATCATGGTTGAAGATCGATTGAAGGATGAACAAAAAATGGTTCGTAGTCAGAAACGATTGGTTAAAGTTCAAGAAATGATGAGTTCTGAAGAAGAAAAGAAGAAACAAAGATCAAAAATGGTAATTTTGGTTTTATTTATGTTGAAATAATTCGTGATCGCTTTATAAACTTGTATTTTATTTATTACAAAAACAGTACAAAAGCGTAACAGAAAATTATCTACGGAACTATTTTCTATGTTACGTTTTTGTACTCTTTGCAACTTTAAAAAAAAATTAAAAATTGAACGCATGTGGCGCCATCTGTTGGGAATATTTTAAAATCATTCAGCTAAGAACCGAACCACTAGAATACAGGTTATATAATATAAAAGCCCCAACCCCCAACTAACGTTCCGACTGAAAAACGAGATTTTCGTTTTCATCTTTCTAAAAATATAAGACTTCTCAGAATAGACAGACTCTCAAACTATTGAAAATTGTTTGTTGCCTGTCCATTTTTATCACAGAACACTGATGACAGCTATCACAAGCACAGAGGGCATACAGGTGTTTCTGTAAGTTGTGGCATAAATTTAATCACTAAAACTAGAGACAAGAAAATAATCTAGAGTTTGATTTTGTACTTTTAAACTGGTTTTTATTTGATATAGAATTTAAGTCTAACCAGTTTCGCCCCTTGGCCATCTTCAGAGACTCTACAAATAGATTAACATCTCTCACCTTATCCATTTTACAAACAAGTTTCTTAATATTTCTTTTTGTTTTGTTAAAAAAGATCACATATCAAAGTCCAAATTAGATTATTAGTTACTAATTTACAAAATTAGAGTTCAAAAACTTGTAAAATGAAAGTAAGGATGAAGTGTTACAAGTTTACAGGTTAAAATTTAAGAACGCTCTTTTTTAACAAAAGGAATATTAAGAAACTTGGGAAAAATTCAAGAATCATCATGTGACTTAAAAATCGACGATTTTTTTTAATCAATGTGAAATGACCCAAAAACACGTTATAAATAAAAAGAAAGTGATGAAAAGTGACTAACACTAGATTAACTTCAGTTATAACAAGTTTTATATGATAACTAACTTCAAGTTTAAAATGTCAACCTCAATTTTGACATATTTGTAATCTTCATTAAAAATCCTATAAAATGAGTACAAACACGACATATTTATCTTCAATATTAATGAAGTTATGGTCAACTTCCGGTTAAGAATGTCAACGTCAATTTTGACATATTTATAATCGTCGTGAAAAATCCTTTAAAATGAGTTCAAACAAGATACGTTTAATTCCAATATTACTCGAGATATAAGAACTTCCGGTTTGAAATGTCAATGTCATTTTGACATATTCTTAATTTTTATAAAATGTCTTAATAGACTGCCTAAGTCTGACGTCACAGAGATGGGCGGAACTTATACTGACTCGCCAAAATCGGTATAAGTCGCCAAAAAATGTCATTTGAAATGTCATCACTTAGTTTATTTTATTTTAATACTAATGAAAAATTGCATATGGTGATTTACAGTTAGCAACGAAAATGTTTGGAGTTGGTATAAGCTCCGCCCATCTCTATGACGTCAAGGCTTAGGTTGTCTATATTTGTCACAAAAACAAAAATATAATAAAAAATTAAGGTTGGTATTAATATTTAAAAATTAATATAAATATTTAATGTTTTTTATTCTAACTTTTTTGTTTTTTGAGATAAGTGCGTCATCTTTGGACTCATTTTAAACGGTTTTTAATGAAAATGACAAATATGTCAAAATTGACGTTACGTTTCAAACCGGAAGTGATTGTATTTCTAATAATATTAAAGTTAAATATGTCGAGTTTGGACTCATTTTAAAGGATTTTTTATGAAGTATGTCAAAATTAAACGATGAAAGTTCGAACTTTTTAGTTTTTTGAGATAAATACGTCAAGTTTGGACTCACTTTAAAGGTTATTTTATGAAGATTACGAATATAATAATAAAATTAAAGTTGACATTAACAACTGAAAGTTTTTGTCACGATTAAACCTGAATGTTTCTAGTTCTCGTTTTAGTTATGAGTGTACCAAAGATATTAATTGGTAGCAAATTGAACTCAATTAAGGCATTTCAAAGGGTTGATCACCCTTAATCAATGGTCTCCTAAATTATTACCTTATTTCATGTGGAAATTAATTCTAAAACTTTTTTTATTCTTATTATTTTTTAAAAAACTCGTTTTTTCTTAGTTTTTCCAAAAAGAACTTGAAAAAAACTTTGGAGACGTCACTGTCGTTTCACACACAGTTGGTTGAAATATAAATCAATAAAAGGTGCATAAGCGAGATGCCACGAGAAGAAGAATTCCGAATAATGCACGTTTGTGTCTTCTTGATCTTACGCGAAAAGTTTGTATAGATGGGATTTTGAATTTTAATATTAATTATTGCAAAAATAAAACAATTTTAGGATCTGAAAATGTTACCAATCCTTCTATTTTTACATGGTTTACCGATTTTTTGAAAGACGGTCTTTCTATTTGATTGAGGGTAACAGCCCCATTTCATTTTACTCGAATTTACTTGATGGGTTGTATTTCACTATTGCTTCTTCTACACGACTCTTTTTCTCGTGATACTCTGAACAGTCGAAAGCTCTTCTTACTACTATTTTTGTAACTCTAACGGCAATAAGACGGCATTATTTATTACAAGTGCAACTTTTTGTAAATAAAAGGTGACAAGCGCTGTCAAATAGCCATTTTGACTCGAATGGTTTGAATACACAGGTTTCATGAACCGCGGTACTTTGATAATCTAGGGACTTTAATTAATAAATGTATACTCTATTATATCTTTCTGCTGTACCATTTAATTCATGCTGTCTGCCTCTATTATTACCTCTTCGTTGGCTGAAATTTTCTCAGTTTTACTGTTGCTGCTGCATTCCACCTCGTTTTCATCAACCTCTACCTTCACCAACCTGATGACAATCTTTCCTGAAATGGCCTGCTTTCTCACATTTATAACACACTTCCTGATTCCCTTTCTTTGTAAAAAAAGCATTTGACTTTTGGTCACAATTTGTAAATTCTTCATCTTTTAATTTGAGCAAGCTTATTTTACTTTTTAAATACTCTACCGTCTGATCCTCTGATTTTAAAACATTAATCAAATCTACAATATAACTTAATGAATCTGGTTATGTTCGCAACATGTAATTAATTTTTTCTTTTTCTGTTACTTTTACACCCGCAAGTTTTCATGAATTTACTGATTTTTCAAATTCCAGGCAACAAATTAATTAATAAGTTAATTGAGGCTATGTTTGTTTTGTTTTTGTAGAAACAAGAACATAAATTAGCAAAAGAGAAAATGAGACAAAAAACTATTGAGGAAAACGAAAAAGTAAATGGGGCGTCTGGTTCAGGTAGTGATAGAGCTGAAAGTGTTAATAGTACGAGTACAAATACTTCAATTGGGACTTCAACACCACCGTCAGTATCAGGTAAAAAAAATATTTAAATCTAAACCAATAAAATTTGAAAAATTAATGATAAACGGATTTTTTTAGGTGTTACATCCGCTTCAGCACCTTTGCCTCCGCCACCTCCACCGCCTCCGAATGGTATTTTAACACTTCCGGTTGTTACAACAAATGGAAATTCGCAACCTGATGATAGATCAGCACTTTTAACGTCTATTTGTGGTTTCAATAAGTCATCGTTACGTAAAACCAAAGTGAAATAAAACGATTATGCGAAAAAAGTTTGTTCGAAAAGTTTGAAAACGAAAAGGAGCATTTTATTTGGTTTTGTAATATTAAAATTTTTAAAAAAATGGTGAAAATATAGTATTGTGATATGTAAAATATATATACCTGAATGTAAATGGAAGTAACATTTGAATCTGCGAATTGATTGAGATTTTTGTGAAAAGTACGTTTTATATTTATAACTATTGATTCAAAAATTGTTTTTATTTTATTGGTACGTTTTATTTTGATGGATCAAATTTGTTTTATTTATATTTTTTTAATGAGGTTTTGTTAAAGATTGTAATAAAGAAAGAAAATATTACTGATGGCCCATTAAAATGAAAAAATTAATATTAGTGTTTGCACAAAGAAAATGAAATAATCTATTAGATTTTACAATCTGTTTCAGAAAGATATTTGAAAAAAGTATTTAGGTAATATAAAATTAAGCTGTTTCCTAACCTTTTAATCCTAATAATGTTTTTAAATAGGTTCAATTAAAAAAGAAGTTTAAAATTTGACACAAGTAAAGTTAGAATTAAAAGAAGTTTTTCTTAATTGAACTTACATCTTACAATTAGTAAATGGCTAATTAAGCGATTGTTATTGATAGATCAATAATGAATTTTTTAATTGTAATGAACCTGTTTAAGCTTTAATTAATGTGGAGATAACTATATAATATATAACAATCAATATATCATGGCAAGTTTAAACAAAAAAAATCTTGTATTCTAAAAATTTTATCCCCTTTTTTGAGTTATTTTCTAAAATTTGCGTTTTAATATGTTTAATTACAACTTTTAAATTATCCGTGCCATTTACGAAGAAATATTTTTCTAATTAAAACGAAGATCATTTTTGTTTTGAAGAGACGTATTAAACATATTAAAAAATAAAAACATAAATTATTGTATTTTATTCTTTTTTAGATATTCTGTGATTATACTGTCGTATTTATCTCTATTAATAATACTGTATAACTTAATAATATATTTTAGCGGTGCATATTAAACAAAAAAAAATTTTAACCAAGGGTCCACAGTTTAGCGTTTTGTAGTAAAACGTAGTATATTTCGCAAAAAAATTTGACAAAATTGTGCCAATCGTATCTAAATGTCTTTATTATTGGAATTTAATTTGTTGTATTAAAAGAGAACATGTATAAAAAACGTAAATTAATATATTCTATGTATATCATAAAAGAAATTTTATTTAACATATCTATAAACATTTTATTTTTATTTATTTTATTATTATGCAAATTTAACATCAGTTGTCCACTCCTGAACGATGGCTTCCTTTATGTTTCTCTGTTCTGGGCCACCTCAAACCATCTACTTCCCATAATTCTCTTTATGTCATCAATTCATCCGTACTGCGATTTGTTATTTTTGGCCTTCAGCACATCACCCTCGCAGTCCACTTCAGCTCCGCGTCTTGTGTTATTATGTCCATAACGCCAGTTTTCACAATCAGATACCCTCATTTCTGATTCTATCCATTAAGCTGATACCAAGCATAACTTGCTCTTGTGCTCTCTCAATGATATTCAATTGGTTTTCACTTTTCTTACAGAGTAGGGATATAGGGAACTTACCCAACAATTCAGGCATTGCAGAAAACCATCTCTTCAAAGACATTGAGGGTAATGAATAGGCGGACAAGCTGGCCAAAGAGGCCCGGTTGTGGACTACAAAAAAGCCACCTAAAACAAGCAATTAATAGTTGGGAGGCCTCATGTTGGAAAGAACTTCCAGGTCACAGACAAGCGAAGAATATGATAACTCCGTCGCAAAACAAAACCAAAGAGGGTTTATACCTCAGCAAAGGGGATCTAAGGTTGCTCTCAGGCTTCCTGACCGTCCCTGCGCCCCTAAAATACCACCTCTTCCATATTGAACAAGCTGAGGATCAAACTTGTCGACTTTGCAATGACGAGGCAGACAAAGTTCGCCTGACACCTATCGACATAAATGAACAAGACCTTGGAATAATACTAAGTTCATCAAGGACCTACATTTGCCCTCAGCCCTGCAACAAGAATAATAATAAAGAGGGAACCTAACTAACTGTAATACTTCGTTAATGTCCTGATTCTGGGCAATGATTCCTGTGATTTCCTAATGTTAGCGCTAATGATATTCATCATAATGATATCATATTCATTTTCCACTTGTAGTGATCAATTTTTTATGCTTTTAAATAATTATTCAATATGATAAAAAAAATATGCTACTTAAAGCCAAGTTGCCAACCACTGGATTAGATAAATATATTGCCCAGGTGTAGATAAAAAATTATGATCAAATAAAGACATAATTAAAATAATACCAGTAGATTAACTTTTATTCTTTTTGATCATATGTAAGACAGTCATCGTATCATCATCCCTTCTTATCTTCCTATTAATATAATTACAAAATACGAAAAAACACAGTACACAAAAAATTAAGTGTTAGATTTATCCATATGTATTTCATAATATTGTTAAGTTAGCGAATACAAAAACTGAAAAAAAAACTACACATATACATAGTGGTTTCGATCTTATTTTTTTACTTTTCTTATCTTTTTTGTCTCAGTTTCTCTCTACACAAATGGATATTTATACATAGCATAGGTACACAAAGATAATTTAGTTTTTATATTTAATAATAAACCTAGCTAAAATGATGCTCATGATGGGGCTCTTTTTGTTAATTATAATTTTTTGAGGATAAAAAGTCAGCGTTTGAACACACCGCGGTCCTTAACGTACCGTCTTACGAGGAACAATCACACAACTTAAATCCTTAACCCCCATAATAACAGAGCTCATATACATTTTTTTTAAATGTTTAATTTTTTTTAACTTTTTTCATTTAAACTATATAAACCTACGGCATAATGCAAGGCGGATCTAGGTACAGTGTGTGTGTGTTGTGTATTTAGTACAAAATCCAAATACAGCAGATATTTACATTTTTTTTGTTTTTAAAGATAAGTTTAGTTTAATGTGGAACCACAGCGAAAAATCATTAAATAAACGAAACACATTTAATAATAATAATTAGAGAACGGCCCGGAAAAAGAAATCAATTGACAGACTATTGTTATTTTTTTTACAATTTTTACCGATGCCAATCACTTCGCGTCAAAATTAATAATCATCATTAAAATTAAATGTAAATTCTTTTAAATAAAAAAACGAAATTGATCTTTTTTAAATTACATGTTAAAAAACTGGCCTAAGACAATATTGAAGGTTTTTACAGGTTTTTCTATATTTTTAATGCAATTTAATTGCACCGCCTCATTGCACAGATTAAACACATGCGTATTACATAAAAATTAATAAATACAAAAATTATCCCTCAACGTAATGGGAAAAAAGTAAAAATTCTTTTTAATGAATTTACAAAAGTACCTAACACTAAATATAAATACACTGAAAAAAATTCACTAGTAAGAATCAGTTTAAACAAATTAACTTGGACAAAGGGAACTGAGGGTTATTTGATGTTAAACGCGATTTTATACAAAAGAGCAACACATGAAATCTCAAAAAAACCTGTAAAAAATATGCATTATGACGTCGATTACCCCACATTTTGTATAAAATCAACGCCGCGTCATAACCATCAAATAAAATTAATAATAATATATTTAATAATTATTTTTTTGTTGAACATACCATCGATTTATCCTATAAAAATAGACAATACATAATTTATGATTTGAAAAAAAAATAATTTAGCAATGCAATGCAAATACTATAAAATATATATTATCTAAGTAATTATTAATAAAAATAATAAACAAAAGTAATTCAAGGCAGAAGTTTGAACGAATTCCATCTTTTTTTGATAAATTTAAATTTAATTTCCGAAGTGATCGGCCATCAGTTTTTAGTTTCACTTCTCATTATTTGACCCCTTTCCTTTTTCATCAGACTGCAACTTAAGGTTGGGTCCAATAAGCGGTATTTCCATACTTATTTCCACCCGACTTTGCTTGGTTTGATGCTTGAGAACGTTGACCACTTGTATTTCCAGAATCCTAAAATACAAACAAACACTTGTAAAAAATCTTTATTCAAACCACAAACCAATAAAATAATAAAACAATCATTCATACAAAAGAACATACAAAAACAAAGAAAAAAATAACATATTTTTTTGTTCAACTTCAAAAATTAATTAACAAATATCACATGCACAGTCATATCATTAAATAATAAATTATATTAACAATTTAGTTATTATTTTTTTGGTGTAGCAACTAATTTGTATTTCCGTGTATTGCAAAGCTAAGCTATTGCAAGCTAAAACTACGTGCAAAAAAAAAAACAAACAAACAATAATATTGAAAGCTGTAGATAGTGAAAGAAAGAAGTGTGTGAGACTTACCATGCGTCGGCCTTGCTGCCGCACATCCATCTACAAGCAAAACAAAACCTCGATAACCAAACAAGAAGAAAAAAAAACATGCTCGACACGGGTTGTCAAGTGAGAGCAATTTATTGTTACTTAAAAGTTAATTATTAAAAAGTGCTTTTGATTGATTGATGATAATTAATTTTATAAAAACACCTAAAAAAAAATTTTAAGAGTTAGGAAGAAATACTAGTACTCTTGTTACGTAGGAAGTGGTGGAAAAGAAGGAAATAAAAAATCTAAAAGCAATAAATTAAGTTTACGAGGACACATAAAAAAATCATGTAAAATAAAATTACGGAGAATCTAATTAAATACAATAAGAAAAAAATTAAGATTAATTAGTTAATCATAATACAAAAAATGCTTCAATTTAAATGGGGAGTGACACAAAATTTCCAAATTTTAACTAAAAACTTTTCTAAAGCTCTGACTAACTGTGCTATTATAGTGTATCAAATTGCGCTCGCTGCAGTGATTAGAAACATAGGAGAGAAGAATCCGCAAATGTATGGAAAAGTTTACCTGGGATTTATTGATTTGAAAAAAGAGTTTGATATGGTACTGAAATAAAAACTATGGGGAATATTATGAGAAAGAAAGTGTTACTTAAAGTCAAAAGAATTCATGATAAAAAAAAATCTTATACAAGGCAGAGTTTTGAGTCCAACCTTATTCATAACATATATAGAATATGTAAAATTGGGTAAGTAAAAAAATATACAACCTGTTAAAGTTCTAGAAGGAACATTCGTGGATAGCGTGGTTATTATAACTAGAGACGAAAAAGAACTAAATGAAAGTTCAAATAAATGGAATGAGACTACAAAAGATTTTGGAATGAAGATGAAGTCATGGTGATTGGTAGTAATGAAAGGTTGAAAATAGTGATTGGTGGAGCGAATATTTCAAATACCTGGAGATTAAAATAGACAACCCGGGAAGTCAAGGAAAAAAGATAAATACAAGAATATGAAAGACGCTGATAATGTAGTACGATGTGAATATGATATTTATCAGCAAAAACAGAAATATAGAAGGCTATAGAGATGTAATACCTGTGAAGAGTAAAGAGTGTAACAAGAGAGACAAGATTAGGAATGATAGCATAAGGAAAGAGGTTTTGTAGAAAAAGACAGCTCAGTTGGTGGAGACATCTACAGAGAATGCAAGATCTAGAGGGGTGAAACGAGTATTCTTCTTCTTCACTTCTTTCTCTAACCCCCATTACCTTACGGTGTTGAGTCCATCTTTTATACATCTTCCTATCTCTGGCCATAGTTCGTACTTTGGCTTCACTCTTTTTGCAACCATCTTCTCAATCTCTCTCTCCCATTGGGGTCTTGGTCTACCTCGCTTTCGCTTTCCTTCTGGCCTCATGTAGGCCATTTTCTTAGGTATTCTATCTTCTCTCATTAGAACCAGATGACCATACCAACTTAGTTGTTTTCCTCTATTTCCTGTACCAGGGGTTTAAGCTTAGTTCTTCACTGATGTTTTTGTTCCATACCCTATCTCTAATGGTTTTCCCCAATATCTTGCGTAGGTACTTTATCTCTGCTGCTGTTATTTTCTATTTGTGCTTATTCAACATCGTCCAAGTTTCTGATCCATAATTAAATGTGGGTATACAGATGGTTTTATATAATTATATTTTTGCATCAGTGTTCAGTTCCTTCTTGCCTACAAAACTGTTATATATTTGATAGTAGACTGCACTTGCTTTTGCTGTTCTGTTGCGTATTTCTATTTCCTGATCTATGTTTCTATCCTTACTTATTATAGTTCTAAAATATTCTTACATCAATATCTCCCGTTTCTTCTTCTTTTGTGATGTGTAGGATCTTACTTTTGTTCTTGTTATTACCATTTAACCCTTTCTTGTAAGTAGATATTCCATATTTGGATGTACATCTACTGTGCCTGACATTAGTACAACATCGTATGTAAGGGGTAAACAAAACGAGTATGGTTGCCAAAAAAGCAGGGGAGTGGGAAGAGAGGAAGACCGCGAAACACTTGGAATAAGGTAATAAACAAGATAATCACCAAAAGAGAAAAAACTATACAGGAAGACGACGGATTAGCAAGAAATAAGAAATTCGTACATGGCCAAAGATCGTCGGACAACATTTAATTGTGTAAACGAGATGACACTCCAGGGCACAAATGATATACAATACGAATCATAAGTAATACGAATGATACCTCTACATGTCCACATTTGATAATGATATTGATATTAAAGCTGATCAAGCCAACCCGACTCATTTTAATAATTTAAGAAAGACAATGGATAAACACAAAAGTTGAACTGAAATGCAGAAAGTCCATAACTTAGCTACAAATGAAACCACTTGCTGTAAATGGAACGAATAAGTCTCTGGTAGAGGAGGAAATCAGATTGCTTCTTGTTTATATCAGCACTCAGCCTGTTCCAAAAAGGACCTTATGAAAATTCTTTCCCTATTGATATGCACATTCGACCTTTTTACGAAAGATTTTATTGGCAGCGGATGTTGATGAGCAATTAAATAAGTTGATACCTAAATCATTATTTTACAACACACAGCTATCTCGACTTATCCTAAACCGTACCTTAATCTAAAATTGTGAATATTCGGATAAGTCGCTCAAAATACACTTGAGATACACTTAATTTAACAGAAACTTAATTTTTTCGAAATAGAAAAATAATTCAATTTCGTACTTTTGATTAATTCCATTGAAAAGTGAAAATAACATATCATAATTTAAGTATTGAACGTTTTTTAAATATTTATGTACTTAAACAGTAATTTTTACATGATTTTCAACAAATAATGTGATTGTATGTTTCGATCGTAAACTTAAAAGAAAGTTTAAATAATTATCTAACCATGCAACTAATTATATAAAAAGAAAAAAATTAACGTAAGTTAATAATTCAAACATCAAGCAAAACTAAACATGCGTAAGTGTAAGATAAAAAGAAAGAAAATAAATGTTTATCAAAGAAATGCTAATAAATAAAATAAAAATCTGTTGTAAACATGAAAAAATGAAATAAAACGAAACAAAAACGACATATGCATGTGATATGTAATAATTAGCGTAAAACTTAAACAAAAATAAAAAAATAAACAGAATTACCCTCATAAAAATTAATATTAACCATTAATATTTAATGTTGTTTTACACTAATAATTTAATTTTGCACTTTTGTGTAGACTTAGAAATATGAAAACAAAAAAATTTATATACATATTCTTCTTCTTACCTGATGTAATTGTTGATGCATCAATTGAGTCGAATGGTGTTGCTGATGCGGAGGCATCGTAGGAATATACATTTGAGGGGCGTACCCCGAACCGCTTGGCGCTAATCCCGCATTCTGACTACCATGTAACGTTCCGGAAAACGGGGGTGGAGTTCCAGAATGAAATCCTTGCTTATCATATGACTGCAACGTTCAGAAAAATAAAGTTTATAGAATTGAAGAAATTTATGTATACAAAATTTTAATTTTGAAATTAAAAATTAATCAGATTGCCAAAAATAATCTTAACCATCGATCAGAACAAACAACTTGAAATGTTACACAAAAAAGACTTTTGCATAACAAAAATTGATGAACTTAATCGATTTTTCATTCTCGTCATCGTATCATCATTGAAAAATAAAAAAATAGAAAAAAAATTATTGTTAAAATAAATCAATCAATTCATTTTAAATTACTTACGTTTACTTTACCAATAGCTGTATGTGATTTATTATACATAGCCGAGAGATCATTCCCTGTGGTTCCTGTAGATGACGCGTTAGCACCACTCCCTTTCGTCTGACCCTGTGTATTACCAACGTAACCGCCTTTTGTGTAATCTTGCGATTGACTTAAAGTATCATACGCGGAACCATAACCGCTACCGTATGGTTTAGCGTATTGCGTGTTATTACTTGAACCATGCGCATTTGTCGCAGTTGGAATTTGCTATTAAAAACAATAAAATTAAAAAACTATAAAGATGGATTTAATATTAAACATATACAATAAGCTCTACTTTTTTGAACGGCGATATTATGGTTCAAAAATAGGCAGGACAGCGTTGATATTTCTTAAATTCGAACACCATTTAACTACAGTAATAATACATACTGTGAAAATGGTCTCCATACTATTTCGCATAAAAATATTGGAGCATAGCGAGAATTTCATACAGTGTGTGCGTAAAGTAACGGATATAGACGATAAAATCATTATAAACGGTTTATGGAAAAAACCCTGAAACGGGTCTAAAGATTTAAATTTTTTGCAATTGTTTGGTATAGATTTTAAATTTCTTCCGCCATTTTTAAGCGAGTTATGACATCATCGGTATTTTTTTTCAAATGGCAATCCCCAATTTTTATTATAGAATATGAAAGAAGATTTTTTTCTGAATCTAGTACATTCAATATTAACATTGCTTACATAAGAAAATTTTCGAGAAAAATTACTTTAAAGTATAACTACTTCAGATTTGTTGACATGAGGAAAATAGCAGTAGCCATGAGTAACTATGGTAACCAATTATTTTAAACAATTTCCACAAGTGTCAAAAACTGATTTAGTAAGTAGTTGACCTCTTTAATACAACATATCCTGATCACCAACTCATTAGCCAAAGTATGGTGAGCCTAGCTGTGACTAAATTTAAACAGCATGGCCATCTCGCGAAGTCTGGCCTACTAAATGTTTTAAGGGAAGTTCAACAAATCGTGGTTTTGGCTGGGCAAGAAAACCCTCATGTTACTGCAAGGAGTGTATTGGGTCTAATTTGGACATTAGTAAATCAACGGTTCATAAAATTTTAAAACCCGCAAAATATTATTTCCATAAAGTAAACCTGATTCATGAGCAATGAATCGTAGTTTTTGCAACAATGACGAAGACTTTGTCAAAAACATAATTTTTTCGACGAAGGGACATTTAGATTGAGTGGATAAGTAAATAGACAAAGTTGTCGGTATTGCGCTAACAAAATCCCAATTAGTCAAGAAAGTCGCACACCCAATATCCGCAAAGGATTTGAGGAAACCTTAACTGGAAAGAGATGTTTAAATTTTTTCAAAGCGATGTCATTCCTTCCATACCGATAATGTTGACACAACTCAATTCCAACAAGATGGCGCGCCACCACACTTCAAGAAGCTTTACTAAATCAGTTTTTGACACTTGTGGAAATTGTTTAAAATAATTGGTTACCATAGTTACTCATGGCTACTGCTATTTTTATCATTATGCAAATTTGAAGTAATTAAACTTTAAAGTAATTTTTCTCGAAAATTTTCTTATGTAACCAATATTAATATTAGCTGTACCAGATTCAGAAAAAAATCCTCTTTCATATTCCGTAATAAAAATGAGGGATTGCCATTTGAAAAAAATATCGATGTCATAACTCGTTTTATTTTTTTTTTTTTCTTTTCTTGAAATTGGTGATTAATTAGAAAAATTAAATTACTTCTTATACTTGCTGTTTAAATATTTATCGATACCGGTTTCGAAGTTTTACTTCATCATCAGTCAAAACCTTAATTAAATGAAATAACAAAACAAAATCAAAAACATCGTAATTAAACCAAAATTTCTTTTTCCATTTTACTCACGTCAAATCCTAATAAATGNTGGCCTACTAAATGTTTCAAGGGAAGTTCAACAAATCGTGGTTTTGGCTGGGCAAGAAAACCCTCATGTTACTGCAAGGAGTGTATTGGGTCTAATTTGGACATTAGTAAATCAACGGTTCATAAAATTTTAAAACCCGCAAAATATCATTCCCATCGTAGTTTTTGCAACAATGACGAAGACTTTGTCAAAAACATAATTTTTTCGACGAAATGACATTTAGATTGAGTGAATAAGTAAATAGACAAAGTTGTCGGTATTGCGCTAACCAAAATCCCAATTAGCCAAGAAAGGCGCACACCCAATATCCGCAAAGGATTTGAAGAAACCTTAACTGGAAAGAGATGTTAAAATTTTTTCGAAGCGATGTCCTTCCTTCCATTACGATAATGATGGCGCGCCACCACACTTCAAGAAGCTTCACTAAATCAGTTTTTGACACTCACGGAATTGTTTAAAATAAGTGGTTACCATAGTTACTGATGGCTACTGCTATTTTTATTATTACACAAATTTGAAGTAATTAAACTTTAAAGTAATTTTTCCCGAAAATTTTCTTATGTAACCAATATTAATATTGACCGTACCAGATTCAGAAAAAAATCCTCTTTCATATTCCGTAATAAAAATGGGGGATTGCCATTTGAAAAAAATATCGATGACGTCATAACTCGTTTAAAAATGGCGGATAGAATTTGAAATCTACACCAAAAAATTGCAAAAAATTTAAGTCTTTAGACCCGAGCTGTCGCGTTTCGGGTTTAGCCATACGTCTCTCAAGACGGCAAAACCCGAATGATTCAAGTTCTAGGTCTTGTGTTAGTTCTAGTTTTGCACTAGCACTATCACTAGAACTAACACTAGATTTAGAACTAGAAACGTTCGGATTTAGCCTCATATCTCTTAAGATGGCTAAATCCGAATGTTTCTAGTTGTAGGTCTAGTGTTTTAGTAGTAGTTCCAGCACTAAAACTATCATTACTAATCCGAATGTTTCTAGTTCTAGGTCTAATGATAGTTTTAGTGCTGGAACTACTACTAAAACACTAGACCTACAACTAGAAACATTCGGGTTTAGCCGTCTTTAAAGACGTATGGCTAAACCCGAAACGCGACAGCTCGAGGTTAATGTTAACCTGTTGCCATAAAATTTATGGCACGCTCATGTTATAAAATCGAGGACCGATCGAAAATGAAGTACGTTAAAAATGAAAAATAAATATATTCATACCCCATAAACAGCTCCAAATTGATAACTTTGCATCGGACTATAAGGTGCGGCAAAGAAATAAGTCTGCGGTGTTTGGGCTAGTNGAGGATCTTTTGTCTGTTGTATCTTGGCTAAAAGCTTATTAAGTGTTTTGTGTGTGTATTTATTTTGTTTACCTAAATTAAAAATATAGTTAAATTCTTTGATTCTATTTTCATGTGATAAAGGGTAATCCAGTATTCTATTAAAAAAGAAACGAAAACTTGCCATTTTTTGGGAAAATGGGTGTGCTGAATCAAAGGGGATAACAGTTGAGATTGTGGTTTGTTTTCTATAAATGTCATAGGTTATTGTATCATTTATGTCATTTATGTTATCATTTATTTAAATATTTAAACAGCAAATATAAGAAGTAATTTAATTTTTCTAATTAATCACCAATTTTAAATATCGTTTAAAAATGGCTGATAGAATTTGATATCTACACCAAAAAATTTAAATCTTTAGACCGGTTTCAGGGATTTTTCGCAGGCACGTCTCACGTCTCTCAAGACGGCTAAACCCGAACGATTCTAGTTCTAGGTCTTGTATTAGTTCTAGTTTCGCACTAGCACTATCACTAGAACTAACACTAGATCTAGAACTAGAAACGTTCGGATTTAGCCTCATATCTCTTAAGATGGCTAAATCCGAATGTTTCTAGGTCTAGGTCTAATGATAGTTTTAGTGCTGGAACTACTACTAAAACACTAGACCTACAACTAGAAACATTCGGGTTTAGCCGTCTTTAAAAACGTATGGCTAAACCCGAAACGCGACAGCTCGAGGTTAATGTTAACTTGTTGCCATAAAATTTATGACACGCTCATGTTATAAAATCGAGGACCGATCGAAAATGAAGTACGTTAAAAATGAAAAATAAATATAGTCATACCCCATAAACAGCTCCAAATTGATAACTTTGCATCGGACTATAAGGTGCGGCAAAGAAATAAGTCTGCGGTGTTTGGGCTAGTATTGGTTGTCCGCCTTGGTGTCCTTGGGTCAGCGTGCTTGTTTGCTGGGAGAGCGTCGACGGCACTGGACTGGCGTTGTTATCACCGCGGGTGAATCGAGCGTCCGACATAGTGTACGTCGAGAGTGGCTGGTCCCGTACAGCAGTCATCGTCGTCGGCGTCTGGTAACTCATTTCATAGAAGGGGGTCGTCTGAATGCACAAACGAACACGTCACTCAACCAACATAACGATCAACCCGCGCTAATAATGGCGCTAACGGGGAGGTTTACGGGAACGGAGGTAATAAGCAAGTTTATTGTGCAAAATAGAGAGGACACAAAATCTTCAATTATTTTAATATTTAACTTTTTCATTATTGTACAAAAAAAATTAGGAAATATTCGCGGATTGAACAAACAAAAATAGGATTCTTTAACACTTTTACACTATAATGTAAAATTATTATTTACAAACAAAATTAAAATATTTCCAAATTGGCTTATCTTACAAAAAAACAACCATATTGTAATTATTACATTGCCGCTTTTTTATGTTATCTTAATTTTGTGTGCAAAAGGGTTAAAAAGGTTGATTGGATTTTTTTAAAGCGGACATTAATCAATTTTTTGAAAATTGTTGTTATTAATATTAAACTGATTATGCAAAACATTTAATGATCATTTCATTATCTAATTTGCTGATTGTTATTAATTATTTTAAAAAAATAAAACATGTCTTGTGAGTGAAGTGAGTTTGTACATGTAAATGATAATTAACACACAAAACTCTCAAAATTCAGTTGAACGATATCCACACATTTGAATATTGGACAACCAAAGTCTACTGATTTTTTTCATTAATTGAAACCTGTTCGTTAAGATTAACGTTACATAATGAGAAATAAAAAGGAAATTGAACCGAATTTAACGAACAAGTAACAAATGTTGTTAGAAACTCAAAGAAAGGACAAAACAATGAAATCAAAAGTTACAAAAAAAAGCCAAGCAAACAGTATTAAAAGCAAATGGGGATGCATACCATGTGTGGTAACCTGTGTGGAAGCAACTGCATATCTTCATAGGTGTAAATTGGCGGCTGGAAGTATGGAATTCCTTGACTCATTAAGTAAGGTGTGCTCATAACAGGTGGTGCTACTCCAGGTGGAATACTCGACACAACACCACTAGAGTTCTTTGCTATGAAAAAAAAAATCGAAACATCGGTTTAAAAAAACGCAACTAATTATTATTTTTATTTTACCTAATGTTGTTGTTTTTGTTGTTGTCGCCGTAGTTTGCGTTAAAGACAACGTCGTCGTAGATGTACTAACACTTGTCGTAGACGTGGTACTAGTAGCGACAGTTGTTGCACTGTCATATGTATTGTCTTTAACCAATTTATGATTGCTATTCGAACTGTAGCTGTTGTATTGAGGTGACGTCGTAGCATTTCCATAATTTGAACTGTTTGTTAAACCTATTACGAGAAATAATTTAGCTATAAATTACGTGTTAGGGTATTAGAGAGAGATGGGAAAACAACTGAATAACTTTTTAAAAACAACTCATAGTGCAACTTAAACAAAAGTGTAAAAGAACCTAGTAATAGGTAAGTGCAGAATATAGATTATGATTCCTAATTGAATTATAGTGTTGTTTATAAGAGTAGCATTAACAATACAATTTGATATCTAGATCTTTAATGATTTAACTTATTTTAAAACTATATTCTTAATTCTTTCGTTTTTGAAAGCTAATAAAAACACATTAGAAAAGAGAAAATAATTTTTTTCTTTCCGCGAGATGTAAACATACGCTTGCGCACTAATCAGTTGATGCGAGTTTAGAACTTCTGCCATCCACAATGATTCGAAATATCTATTGATATATTTCTATCGTCTTAGATCGAAACATTGGTAATTTTCTACTGAACTTGCTACATTTCAATTCTTTTAAATGTTTTGCGACCTAAGTCACTATGCATTTCGTGAAGAAACTACAATGAAAACAGACGTAAAATGACTAAGCGAAATGGACATTCATGAGATGAGGTTATTTTTACGTCAACTTAAGAAATGTAAGTTTTAAGAATTATATTAACTACAAAATTAGTTTTTTATCGAAAATTTATAGGGATTGCTCTTCTAAATCAACGAACTTGAAACATGGATGAAAGCTATAACCTAAAAACTCTATAATCTTATATTAAACTTATAAATGGAACTGATTGGGGCCTTAATTTATCGTCGTAACAATCATATCTTGTTTCTTAGCTTAGAGAGGCACATATTGATGAGTATTTAATTTTATTATATGGAAGTGATTAGGAAGAAAAATATATTCTATGATAACATAAAAGAAGCTACCAGGATAGTTATGCTGTTGAATAAAATGGGTTGACAAAGTTGTCTTCTTACACAAAAAGAAACAAGTTACTTTGAAAATAATCTCTTTTGGAGAAGTTGGTATGTGGTATCAAAACTTAAGGATGTTTAAAACCTTGTAGTAAAAATCTAACTTATAAGTGGAAAAACGTTTCTAGGAAATTCTCGTTTATAATAGTGAATTTCTAATTCCCTACACCAAAATATATAATAAAAATCAGATCTGTATAACTCAATTAAAACCAGGTGAGTTTTTTATTGCTGTTGAATAAAATTGGATAACAAAGTTGTCTTCTTACACAAAAAAATAATCACTTTTGGAGAAGTTGATATCTGGTATCAAAAACTTAAGGATGTTTAAAACCTTTTAGTAAAATTTATAAGTGGAATAATAGTGAAATTTATAATTCCCTATACCAAAATATTTAATAAATATCAGATCTGTATAACTCAATTGAAACCAGGTGAGTTGTTTATTATAAAAGCTCCTAAATTATTTATTGTTTTAGATAATTCTTCATACCAAGGCTAAATATATCTTATAAGTCAATCAAAAGAGTTTATGCTCCTCAATCACAATAATCATTCTGAGTGTAACACTCGTTTTAATAAATTTGGTTTCACTACGTTTACTTGAGTCATACAAAATTCTAAGAATAATCTCTTTTATTAAGGGTAGCTAAAATAAGGCGAAGAAATTTTGTTTTGTAGCATTCATTAATGGTAGAAATGAATCTCTTTATTCAAAATTTACATATATTGGCGTTTGAAACGGCTCCTATACGGCTTCATGAATTTCCTACCTACAAATTGAAAAACAATAATATACACATTTTTATAAATTGTTGATTTTATAAATTAGTTTTTGATTTAGATAATTTCAGTGTCCTATAAAAAACTAGATCTTTATAAATCAATTAAAGTTTTTGTGCCTTAACTACAATGCTCATCCAGAAGTATTCGTTTAAATAAACAAAAGTGTATTATTTTAGCAAATATTGTTTACCAATTTTAATATACCTATGAAACGATAATTATTTATTTCGCGACTTTATCATTATAAATTATTACATATTTTTTTGCAGAAACAAAATTGTTTATACTAGTAAAATGAGTACAAATGTTGTTTTGATATGTTATTTTTAATGTATGGGTTACCAATACACGTTTTTCTTTAAAAGTAAATTTTTTTCGAATTACTAAGTATAAAAGGCGATTTTCTGCATTTCCCAGCGTTAATGATATAAAAATTATGTATAAAAGTTTTCCCCTTTAATAAAATATAAAAATTTTCTTATTATTTTTTCTCTTACCACTGTTTGAACCGTAAACCGATTGATTAGCATTTTGAGAGTATGTCTGATTATTTGTTGGATACGAGCTGGCTTGCGTTATTGATGGTGGAAACGTCGCCACGCTATAATTCGATTGATACGAACTGGCCGACGTATTGTTTTGATAAGCGTTACTGGCCGGCGCGTTATATGATGAACCAGTATTGCTACTGACGTAATTATTTGGTTGGCTCGACCCGTATGAACTTGTCGTCTATAACAGAAAAAAAAAACGATTTAATATACTTATAAAATAAATTTAAATTAACCTATTTAAAAAAAAGAAAAATCAGATTGCCAAAAATAATCTTCACCAAAAAGACTCATTTTGTATTTCTCATAAACCAGCAAAAAACTTACTTAGAATATGATAGTTTACAACAAATCTAAATGGTATCATTCTCGTCATCGACTCATCATTTTTAATTTATGTAATACTTTTTTTCATTGAGTGAATTAAATATAAACATTAACATTACCTGTGTGCTACTATAACTGGGTGCATTATAATTTTGTGATTGATAAGAACTCGATTTGGGTTGATAGGAATTATACGTGGACGACTGAGAGTAAGAATGGGATTCCGATGGTTTATTAATCTCCATTGACGATGCCGTACCCGCCGAAGTCGTACTTCCAGTCATATTAGATCTTGTCGCCGTACTGTAACTTGTTGTTATATGTTCAGAGGTTTGTGGAATGTTATCGTTACTAGTAAGCTACAAATATTAAAAACATTAATAACTAATCTTAATTATCTGTTAGTTTAAGAATTTCAATTTCTACTTATTTTAACTTACACTCTGCGTAAGGGACGAACTAATACTGCTTTGAGCGTTTGTCTTCTGTTGGGTCGCGTATGATTCCATTGTTTGCGTTTGGTTAGTCGTGCTGAGATCAATGTTTGAGCTGGACGAATTTGTCACGTCCATCGAAGCACTATTCGACGAATTAAACTTCGCATCGGAAACGGCATCAAATGATATCCCATCCGAAATTAAATCCATAGCACCAAACTGAACATCCAGCAGCCCTATACTTTTCAGATCTCCCGGCATTTCTACAGCACTCGAAGGTATCTAACAAACAAAACAACAATTTATAAAATTCATGTTAAAACCACTTTACAGTTCGCAAGTTTCATTGCTGGCAAGAAATATTGCGGTAATTTATCTTGCACGCATGCGCAAATGACGCGTTCTTTTTGGTATACTTGCACTTGCAGATGATATAGGTATATGGACATATATTTCTTGCACTTGCACTGAAAGTATGGTGAGTTTTTTTAGTTACTTTTTATGATGCCAACTGTAAAATATAACGACATAACGTGTTTTGTTGGTTTGTTTGTGTACATGTGCTTCAATCTTTCAAAAAATATGTGTTGGCAGCATTGATTGCAACTGAAATATTGCAGTTAAAAGTTGCCAAATATAAAGCCAATAACTGCATGCAAGAAAAATTGCTTCCTGTAAAGTGCCCTTTACTTACAGAAAAATCACATTATTAACAAAAATACCAAAAGAGTACCGATTTAGAATAAATTTCATTTTCATAGTATTTAGATTAAACTTACTTTTGATGGTGGTGGTACTCGAGCTCGTTGAGTTTTGGTCCTAATCGGTTGTTGCGTTGGTTGGTTTTCAGGCACCGTCCCATAATTTGTACTAACGGGATTATACGTGCTTGCGTAAGCGTTCGAATGAGCGTTACCGTATTGATTCGCCGAGTACTGTTGAGTTCCCTGAGCGGTAGCGCCCCCGTATGTTTGGTTTTGGAGGTGAGTACTTTTCATGTCAGCATTTTGCTGCGTCAATTGGTTCAAGTACTGGGTCTGGGCGGCGTTCAATGTACCAACCATAGGAATAGGACTTTGAGATGGCGGTAATTGACCCTGTTGCTGCATCGTCATTTGGGTTCGTTCGTCTAAAAGTGGAGGAGATCGTGAATCTTCCGGTGACTCTTTAGGTGGGTCAGGCTGAATACTTGGTGTAAAGACTTTGGTGTCCGCGAGACTTCCGGTGTATTCTTCAGTTGACCATTCGTCAATATGTCCTTCATCCCAATTTTCTGTATGATTTGCAACGGTATTGTTATCCCAAGTGCTTGGGTTATTATCCCAAGTATCTATTGGACGATTATTAAAGTTCCGATTGGTCCGAGGTGGATATCTGCTTCCCACACGACTTCCACCACGTCCTCTACCCGGCCCTCCCCTTGTTGGACCACCAGATCTTCCTCGTCGATCGCCTCTATTATCAGTCCTATTACCACCTTCGAGATTACGTTCGTTTTCCGCCTTTTCTCTACCTCGCCAAAGACGGCTGTCGTTATGCCTATGATGACGCGGAGGTCCACCACTTTTATTGCGAGGCTTCTCCTTGTCATTGTGACCCTGATCGTTCCAATCTTCACCAGCCGCATCCGCGTTCTCTGTCTTACTGCTAGCCGGTTGTTTGCTCTTCTTCTTTTTGACCATTATGCCACCCCATTCGTCGTCCAGTAGCATATTCATTGCCGCGTGCATATCATTGTCGCATTCATGCAACGCCATGCACACGTCTTCTTCCGTTTTTTGTGTAAACTCCATTACCTGTTTTACCTTGTCGCGCATCGTGGGGTCTTCAGATTTTGAGCGAGCGCTATCGCCACCACCTCCGCCTTGCTGTTTTTCATTAGTACCTTTCCCTATTAAAAAAATCATCACTTTTACTTCTTTTCATAAACAAAAATTAATCTTTCATAAATGAAGTAATATATATTTACACAAACATTTTAGATTAAAGAAGCATCATATCAAGCACGATTTGATGGGTAGATAAGATTTATTAAGAAATCGTAGTTATTATGTAACTGCAATAATAATGTTGTTTACATTTGATTAGTTTTATTTTTTATTTTAATTTCGTTGAAGGAAATAGATTCTAGAACCACCTTCACATAATATTTGATGTTACCGTCGTCATGAAACGCACCCAGACGAGATTAATTTCTTAACGAAGGGCTCAATGCAAAAATATATTCATTATTTAGATAAAAGAAGCGTAAATAAGCTTTTTGATGAGTTCAATGTGGGTAAACAGATTTAATTAAAGCAAAGGTTAAAATTCGTTTGATTTTGTTGGCAAGTTGACGTATGTGTTTTGTGCTGAGTCTAACAAAGAATGGCTTGGAAAGCACATTTGAGACTATAAACATATACCGCTGAATGTACTCATTCATGGGCCTACCCTATATCATACATCTCCTAAAATGGCATCCCAAAAAATAATATCACTTATTGATGCTGGAAAAATGGCTTGAACAGTGGCAAGTAAAAATAAATCCGAATAAGTCCGCTGATATCACATTTACTCTAAAAAAAGGGAATCTGTCCTACTGTTACATTAAATAATGCTCCATTACCTATTCAAAATGAAGCTGGGAATTTACCTGGATCATCACCTAACCTGGAAAAAACATATTTGGACTCCAACTAGGACTGTTATACAGGAAAATGTACTGGTTGATGAATAAACTTACAACTCAGCCTAGACAATAAGTTACTTATATATACTGCCATACTGAAATCCGTTTGGGAATATGGCACCGCTAGCGAATCAAACATTTTACAGCTGCAGCGATTTCAGTCTCAAATTCCTTGGCAGATATGTAACGCACCTTGGTTTGTACCTAATTAGATCTTTCATGAAGACAAATTTTGCAAATGCTGCAAAATCATCCAAACCAACTTGCAAAAAATCTTTTGCGCCAGGTAACTATTAAAAGATTGAAGCAAAAGGACCTACCAGAACAATGCATGGCGGAAAAAAGAACATACCTATATATCTTTCTTTTGCTGTACTATATAAAAATGTTATTGTTTGTCATAACGATGCATTAATATGGTTTTCGTTTGGACCTATTATTGAGCGGCTTCCTACTGTGTTATTATTCTTTTTTTGTATTGTTAAACATTCTGTTTATTGTTGTTGTATGCGATAGATTGCAGCCTTTTAAAGTTTTAACTGTTCCACATATACTGCATGGAAGAGAACTCTTTAAAGAATTCAAGATGATTTTAAATATCTTAAAATGATCTTTAGAAATAAAACGTTTTGAAGTAATTGTTGATAGAATTCAAGGAGGTAATAATCAATTTCAGAGTTTTTTGATTAGAAAAACTACTGAGGTGTAGGTACAACTTGTGGAATTGGAGTTTATCTGTGAACATGGAATAGAGCAAGTTGGGGAATAACTTGAGTTGGAGTTTATTTATGAGCGCTAACATTTACATTTAAATATACTGATGTATTAAATAGTTAATATTAATAATATGACTTAAAAATATTTTGATGGTTATATCCCAAATTTTACTGTATTATAAACATGATGATGAGATAAGCAAATAAATAAAATGCGTTATCATCAAATAAACAACAAAATTCTTATTATGTTTCTATATAGCCCAATAGATAAGAAAATTTATAAACAAATCCATCTGCATTAAAAAATAAAGTGTATTGGGGATTTTCTTGACCACAATACATTCTCTTATTCCTTCTTGAAATTAAATACGCTGGTAATCACTGGTAATTCAAGAAAAACGTGATTAATTGTTTGAAAGATAACAAAATTCCATTACCTTCAATGTTTAATAACCTTGGTTCTAGGAATTTCTAATGTTCAACCAATAAAAATGAATCATTTGATAAATTAAGAGTTCAATGTATTTCAAAAATTCTTTTGTTCAATTTTTTTTAATACCAAATCTTAACTATAATAATATTAATAGTAAGCTTTAATGATGAATCAAAAAGATTCTATGAAAAATAACGTAATAGTTATCAGTTGTTTCAACTAAAATCGTCCAAAAAAAACTATGACAAATGTAATCAGAAAAGTTTTAGATGAGTCATTATTTTTTTTAAATAAAAAATTAAATGTTAATGAACTAGTTTGTAGTGGATATAATCCACTTAGTTCCAATTTAGGATTTCACAAAAATAAGATTTAGTTTTGACAACAAAAATGAACTTTAAAAAATTTTTATGATGGAATTCATTAAATAAGGCTAGACACACACATCAATATATTTAAATGTAGTTTAAATGTAAAAATCGCGTTAATATTCACCTACATTAAACTTAATACAGTTATGTCCATCGACTAAAATATTGGCAGACTAAAAATTGACTGTGTGCCTAGCCTGAATATTTATTAATAAAAATAACCTGGAAATAAATAACTCACCTGTGTCACCTTTTTCATTCTTGTGTGATTTATCAGCCTTAGGCCCTTTACCACCTTTTGAGGTGGTTCGATTGCTCGAACTCATTTTTACAGTATGTACAGTATTAGTATTTACAAGTCTTCTGAAAAAAAAAGAAAATAATTAAATATATTAGATATGACTCATTAACATAATAAAAGTTGTGAGTTTAGGTAGAGAAAGAATATTACTCAATCCCTTCAACCTATTACTTAACATGTGAAAGTTGGATTTGGTTAAAAGCATAAAAATATGGTTAATAAAGCGATTTAATCAGGGAAAATTAATAAAAGGGATTCATATGAAATACTCTTTTTGACGAATTGTTATTGTACTAACTGTGGGTACAAGTACAAAAGAATTGGGATTATTTTCAACAAAACCGTACTGTCAATTAAGGTTTATTCGTTTCGTTTCGATTATTTTAATAAAAATCGCGTTCAACAACGTAAAGGGATACGCAAAAAACGAAGTATTTATTTAAATATCCTGATCACCATGTGGAGGGACGCCATTTCAAAGAGACTTACAAGGTAGACTATTGACATCCCGAGTGAAAAACGGTACAAAATTTTGATATGAACGGGATTCGTCTTTGCAAAATTATTATTGTAAATGTTAACACTGAAACGAAACGATTATAACCGAGACACCTTTAACTCACAACTCGCGCCGCAATAAGTAGACAGGAAATAAAAACGCAGAACTGATTTACCATACCTGAAAAGCCGAGAAACACAACGCAGCTAGCTATCGGTCACGTGACCTTCCCGCAAAATGGCCTCCGAGCGCGTTCTCAGGGGCGCCAAACGTTACCGATAGAGCAACGATTTAAACTTGATATACTGAAACCGCTTATTTTTAGAAACAAAAATATCGTTTGTACAACAACATTAACACGTTTTTTTAAAATAAGTTTACGCTACGGGGTTTTCTTTTAAATTAAACTATTTCGTTAAACGTCAACTTAATTTCAAAAAATAAGTCAATGTCAAATCGTTATAGCGATCTAATTTATCGACTTGCTAAGAAGAAAAAAGCGAACATAACCTATATTTATACTTTTTTTTGAGGTATAATTGATTAAAAAATGTTTCCTGCAAGCGGAACCGGAAGATTTTCTAAATATTCCTCAAAAATTATTCGATTTACACGTAAGGGATGTACAAATCGTCCTTTTTTTCATATAGTTGTGACCGAAGTAGGTTCATATTTAAATAAGTAGTCATACAAAATTAAATCGAGATATTTCTTAGAAAAGGCGACGCCAACAAGATGCCGTTATTGAACAATTAGGTACTTATGATCCATTACCAAATCAGCACGGTGAAAAATTAGTTTCACTTAATTTGGAACGAATCAGTTATTGGATGGGACATGGGTCCGATGTTTCAAAACCAGTTAGTCAATTATTAGGTATAAAATTGTTAAAATTTACTTTGTTATCAATTTTTATTGATTAATATTTAGGTTTATCTGGATTTTTACCAATACATCCTACAAGTTACATGACTGCGTGGAGAAATCGAGAATTAACTGAAAAACAAGAATTAGAGAGGTTAGAAACCAAGAGAAAAGCAGCTGAAAAGGAAACTGAAAAAGAAATTAAAGAAGAAACTCAAGCATAGATAATTTTATTTTAGTTAATTCTTTAGTTACTTTAAATTGTTTTTTATTGTAATAAACAATTAGTTGAACTTTAATTTGGAACATAAATTATCTCATAACTCCTATAAAAAAGTCTTGGCATAGAAATTATTATAATTTCAATAATTTTATTAAAACTGGTGTAAGAAAAATAGTAAGGAAAGTTAAATTCAGTTCAGTTTATTTATTAAGTTTTAAAATATAATGTGTATCGTTTTTTTTTGGTTTAATTGTTTCCAATACAATCTTTTTCACAAAATAAGCTTTTTTCGTATATCATCGAAATTGTATATCTTAGAGAAAAAGCTAATTTAAATATAACACGTTTCTAATCTCACTACGTATAATATGAAGCTAAAATTGTTTAAGATAGTGTATTTAAAAAAAAGTAAGATTGAAAAATATAATCACAAAATTTGATTTAAAAAATCCTTCGAAAAGTATATAAGATAAGTGCTATATAAGTGCATTACAAGTGATTTACTTCATTTTTAAGCAATAAATAACTAAACTAACCAATTTAATAATGAAATAAAAGCGAAATACAGTTAACATGACCACAGAAAATTACTTATAACAAAACGATTTTAACCTAAAACTACCTGTAAAAACGACAACAACCCATCTTCCAACGTGAACCTTAACGCTAATACGGAACAGTAATTAACACTAAAAAAAGAGTAATAAAAAAAATCGAACGCGTCATCTTGGTATTTATTATTTTTTGGTGAAATGGTTTGATGTGTGAGGTTTTTAATCCTTTTTGTCAAAAGCTTGTTTCGCTGAAACACAAATTTAATTATTAAATACAATGGTATAAAATTCCCGTTAAGATTTATTTTAATATTAATAAAGAGGTATACAAGAATTTTTTTATATAAACATGACTTAAACGGGTTACAGGAAATTACAAACGGGATTTTAGGTAAAATCTTGTCATTTTGTGGAAAGTTGGGAAAATTTAAAACAAGGCGGGTTACAAACATCACCAGAAGGAGCTAAAACAATCCAACTATTTAAATTTATTTGATAAAATTAAATATACAGTTTGATTTTAGTTGTCATAGCAAATATCTTGATTATTGTTGAAGATATGATTAAAACTTATACCAGGAATTTCATATAACTCGCAATATATGAATGTAGTAACCTATATAAATGCAATATAGCTTAATAGTACAGGGTAGTTTTGCAAAGGAAAAGTTTTGCTGGGAAAAGGTGACATCCTTATAATAACTCTCTGAGTTTCCGTCTTAAGAGACGCACTGCTAAACCTGAATGATTCTAGCTGTTGATCTAGCGTCAGTTCTACTTTTAGTTCAATACAAATATACAACAATCTAGCGCTGCAAAACAATTAAAACTAGAACTAACACTAGACCTAGAACTAGAAAGTTTCGAGAAAATCCGGATGAAAACCCGAATGATTCTAGTTCTAGATACAGTGTTACTTCTAGTTTTACACTTGCACTGTCACTAGAACTAACATTAGACCTAGAAATAGAAACATTCGGGTTAGCCATGCGTCTCATAAGATAGCCAAACCCGAATGATTCTAGTTCTAGGTATAGCTTTAGTTCTAGTTTGACACTAGCACTGTTACTATGTAAAACTAACACTATACCTAGAACTAGAATCATTTGGGTTTAGCTGCACGTCTCTAAAGACGGCTAAACCCGAATGATTCTAGTTCTAGGTATAGTATTAGTTCTAGTTTTACACTTGCACTGTCACTAGAACTAACATTAGAACTAGAAGCATTTGGGTTTAGCCGCACTTCTCTAAAGACGGCTAAACCCGAATGATTCTAGTTCTTGATCTAGCGCTGAACAACAACTAAAACTAGAACTGTAACACTAGACCTACAACTGAAAAGTTTCCGGTTTAGCTGTGTGTCTCTAAAGACGGCTAAATCCGAAATCTTACGCCTTCTTTTGTCAAACAGCGGAAACTTATTTGTACTTCCTGTTTGGAATACTATATTAAGCTTAAATAATAGAATATTAAGTCTGAAGTAGCTTTCCTTCTATAACATTTTGTCTTGTATCTCCAACAATATTAAAAATATCTGTGGTGACAAAACAAAACCAAACACACTGTATATGTTTTTCGACATACCTTTATCCAAAAGTTGATCCACAGCAGCGTGATGTTTTAAAAAGTACGGTCTAACGATTCTATTGTATAAAATAATAGATCCGTTAAATTCAGTTGGAATCATTAACCAAACCATCACACTACACTGCAATAAGAAATTTAAATTTTAAATAAAATCTTAGTATAAAATAATATACTCGAATTACCTTTGCCAACCAATAAAGTGGAAACCAGCCAACAATTGTGTCGGCAAAAAATTCCAAAATGGAAAAGAAAGCGAAAATAACCCAATAGGTAAGCCACTTTGTGTCGTCATCTTTATTGTGGGATTCTATGGCGTGTATCGAAACATAGGCAGGATAAATGAAACCGATACAATTACAAACCAATTGGGCAGCAAAACCAAAAATTAACCAAATTGTTGTGATCCCCACTGCGGCTGTTAAAATTAAAACGATTAAACATTTCGATGAAACGACCATTTTGTGATGTTTAAAACAAAATTAAATGAAAATTAACGATTTAATACGGATTCTTAGAAATAAATGTGATAAAACGGGTGGGGTGGATTAAGATTAAATCATAAATAAAATAATCTGAGAAATAATTACAGTTTATGTTGATAACACATTTTTGGTAAAGGTAAAAAACTATTTAAGAATGATACTTTTAAACTAATGAAGCGGATAGAAAATAATATTAAGGACAAATTATCAATTTTGTTTAATCCTTCGTAGACAAAAATGTTCATATTAACGAAGGCTTTCACGAAATTGTTATTAGAAATAAAACTAGCAACTTCCGGGTTATGCCGTGCATCTATTATTATTCAGAAATAAGTTCAACAGTCAAAACCTGTGGAAAGTTGAGAATGGAACAAAGGCTTGAGGATTTCTTAAGCTATTTAAACAGTCAACATGGTAAAGCTCAGCACGGAGGAAGAAAAGAACAACTAGGTACCATTCGTTAATGTGTAGTAACCAGGACTAACAATGGATAGGTAACTTAAACATGTTTTATCGAGATTTTATTGTAGTGAGAAGCGAATCAACGTACGAGGATTTTTATGCTCTAATAAGCGGACAAAAATCTTAGAACCAACCCCAAACGTATATATTAGATATTTACAGACATGGGGATTTCTGCTTTTACGATTTAAGTTATTAGTTTTGTTCGTTTCCGTGTAACGTGCGTAGAAATGGCTTCAAAAGTGATAAAGAAACAGATGTTTATGTTAATGGAGAAAATGGAAACAATAAGTTTATTAGATAAAGAAAAGTTGTCAATTTATAATAATACTAAAAAATTTGAAATCGGGAATCCACAAGCGGCAAGAATAGTTAAAGATAAAGAAGAAAAATTCTGCTTTGAATGGATTGTGAAAACTAGAAATCAAAATATTGCTCTACCAGGACCATTTGTGAAGAAAAAAGTAAAGGAAATTGCAGAAATATTGGCATGGGAAGTGGGTTACAAAAGTGGCGTTTTAGAAATAATATTAAAAAATATTGCTTCTAAAGATTTACTGGTTATCTGGAAATCAAACAAAAAAGTTTCAATTTTTAATTATATTATCGCGATTTAATAGTAAGTTACTTATTATCAAAAATGGATTTCGCAAGGATCAGATAATTTGCCACTCGTGAGACTAGCTGATTTGCATAAATGTAGTAAAGAACTGGGGATAAATAATGTAAAAGCAGCAGAAGAATATTTAACTGTTGACCAAAACGTTGATACAGAAGATAAGGACTTGGAATTTTCGGTAGAGACAGAAAATGTTGAAATTGAGGGAAAAGAGGATGAAGAGATGTATTGTATGTATAAAGAAGCATTAAATGTAATTTCCAAACTAAAATCACTCGTTATTCGAGAATGATAATATATGTGTATGTATTATTGTTTAATTTAAGTAGTCTTTTCTCATAAACATCTCTGGTAAGTGGACAAAAGTAATGGAATCGTCACTGTCCGCTTATTAGAGCTTTTACTGTATATCATAACTTATTTGTATAAATGGTTGTTAGAGTCATTCATACATACTTTTTACCCTTTGGAAGATTTTGTGCCTAAGGCTGGGCACACACAACTGATTTTCAGTCAGCCAATAGTTTATTTTATAAACATAAATATTATTAAGTTTAAATGTAAAAATCGAATTGATCTGCAGTTTTGTTGAATAATTTATTTTAAATAATAAATAAATATATTTGCAAAAACATTTTTATTTAAAGTAAAATACTTTGTAATTTTATTAATAGATGGAACTGATGTATCTACTTAATTGTCAAATGATTCACTCACCAGACAAATGAAATTGGGTTTTTAAGAAAATCAACTGAAATTTATGTTTTATGCAAGATATATAACATTTCCTGCATATAAATTTGTGTTATTAACTTAAACCCTAAAAGGAAATGATTTCTCACAAACATGTTTTCAAAAATAATTCCTTTACATCAAAATTGTATTGATTTATTCTAATTTCTTATCGTAATGCATTAGCCAGTATAAATCAATAAAGATATCAACAAAATTTGGTAAAAAAACAGAGATAAATTCTAAATTTTTTCTGATATATATATATACATAATAATATAAAGGTTAATTTTAAGTCGTCGTAATAACTAAAAATATATGTGACGAGATATAAAAGTAATTGTATTAAAAAGTTAAACAACCAAATACTTGCTTTCAATGGGGAAAAAAGCGATTGATTCAAAAGACATTGCATAAAAACTTACCGACGAAAATATACATGCGGTCAACACCAGTTTTGCTCTCCATCATGTCCAAAAGAAAGGTCCAGGGTTTGCTCCCGTCACGAAGGGATTTATTTAAACTGTCCTTAATTTCGACGATTTTTGCTGCCATATTTTTTTTGAAAATATTAACGTTTTTGACGTGACCTTAAGAAACAAAAGCGGCTTCGTATCAAGGCAGCAGATGCTTTACGGATTTAAGGTTAGATAACAAATTGAAGGATTACAACATAAAACTTTTTTTCACGAAAATCCCTAAGTCGTATACAACTTAAAATCAATTCTCTTTTAATATAAATATAATTTAATAAATTATTTAGAACCAAATCAATTATTTGGAACAATCCAAACATAACATTAAATGAACACATTAAATTTTTAACTTTTTTAAAAATTGCGTAATAAATCAATATCATAAAGGTTGGCAACATTGAACTTTAATACCGTGCGTACCGTGCTCCATATTTGTTGGTTACCTAATAAGATCTTCAGGGTAAATGTAAGAAAATTTGTTTTAATTTAATCAATTTAAATTAGATTTAAACTTAATAATCTTATTTTTAGAATGTTGGCTTTAAGTAACGCAGTCAGGTTTGCGCCTCAAATTAGGCAAATGAGTGCCATCCCAACCAAACCCTTGGTTAGAATATCTTTTACCGAGAAATTGGTTCATGCCGCTATCATGACTACAGGATATTGTGCTATTCCTGCTTGGGTACTTTACCATCTTCGTTCATACAGAGGATTAGAATAATTCAAATATTTTGGTTATGTAGAAAATGTGGTAGCATAAGAATATATTAATTATTAAAACTTAATAAACAGTTTTTCATTTAACCCTTATCTTATAAGATACATATATTGAATTGCTTGATGCTTTAAAATATATATATTTGAAATAAAACTTCAAATTAATAATATAAAAGAGATTTTATTAACAGTCTTTTTAAAGAAATCAAAAATCGTTTTTTTTTTCTTTTTTTTTTAAACATCTGCATTTTAACACAGTTTTTTTCTGAAGAAAATAGGGAGAATTGTACAAGAAAACGCACCATGAACTATACAGAGCAAATAGAATTATTAAAAAAGAAAAATAAACCATTAACTTACGTTTCTACCCTGCTACAACTTACAAATGTTACAATGAACTGTTTTTTTGTTTAACTGCATACTGAGAAAATCTCATTTATTCAAATATGAACACAGAAAAAATAACGAGTAATGCCAAAAAATACTGAAAAAATGCAGCGGGACAAATGTACAAAGTGCCACACACGCGAGGGGCTTTCGCGATACCATCGAGAAGCTTAAAATTTAAGACGGATGAAGTCCTTTTTTTTTCTTATTATTTAAGTAATCAATGAATTGTTTTATACCATCATGAGTACACATTTACTATTAATCGTTTAGCCCTAGTAAAAAAAAATGATAGGGTAAGATGTGGAGTCAACACAATGGGGGCCAAAAACGATTCTTATCTTTTCTTTAAGCACATAGTGAAAAGAGAACACTTAGAGATTGGTCGTAATTAGAAAAAATCGGTGCCCGTTAGGAGCTTATACCTCGTCTCTCATAAACGACCACCAACAAATCGTTTAACGCCGAATTTAATAACCTCAAATTATCTAGTGTTGTTGGTTCAGAAGCAACTTTTTGATCCTCACTACTTTCCTCACTACAAGTTGTATTTTGTGTTTCAGAATCACTTTCATTTTTTTCTTCGTGGCTCGTTTCTGGGTTTGCGTCATCAGCTGATCTTGATGTACTTGGTTTTGGAGTATTGTCGTTTGATTCTTCTTCACCATCATTAGTAGATCCCATTATCGTTGTTTCTAATTCAAAAATTATTTAAAAATGGTATATTTTAAAAACGATTATGCAATTACCTGTTTGTGGTTGTAATTTGTTGAGCTCAGTTTTTACTTTTATTTCTAATTGTGCTATTGTTAACCACAAAACATTGGGTACATCTGTATCGGGACTGCTATAAACTAAAGTTAAAGCTCGTAAATCGCCTGCGATTCTTCTTGCCATTTTCTTTATATCCCACGTATTCATTTGCTCACTTAAAACGAGCACGGTATTATCAAACATAGTTAGGGTTTGTTCTGACAGAACATGGGCGGAAATCTAAATAAATTGAATAAGACGAATTTTGATAAATTTTTTTTAACTAATATTTACCTTTGGGAAAAACGCTCTAATGAATTGATAAATAACGTCTATCGTTAAGGCCATACGTTCATCCAACAAAACCGAATCAACATAATCAACAAAATAATTACAAGATGTCAGCAATGAAATAAATTTTCTATCCATATTCTAAAAAAATAATAAAGACAGTTTAGATTTTTTAAATTTAAATTTGTTTTAATAATTACCTCTAACCACAATTTTGGGAAAAATGTGGAATGTAGAGGGACGGCTTCAAATCCCACCATGGCGGATAAAGTTATTAGTTGTTCCGATAAAGCGTCCGCGTTAATCGCCACACGACACAAGGTATCAATAAATTCGTGGTATGGCTTGTAAAATTTATCTAATGCTTCGTCATATTCAGGATCAACACCCTGCAACAAAATATATATTAAAGCAAAAATTATTAAAATAGGTTTATAAAAATGTCTATTAAAACCTTTAAAGCTCACTTTAGCAAATGTTATAGTGTGAACTTAGAACAATTTACACTTAATAATTGCGGATAAACGGAAAAATATTACCCTGCTTTGTTCAAGTTGATTTTGAGGAACTGTCATTTGAACCATAGGCCTTAAAGGTCTAGCAACACCTTTTCCAGTGATGCTAGGTAAGGGATGGCCCCTTCTTGGAAAATACGGCCCCAATGGAACAGCGTCTTGACTGTCTTGAAATGCTGAATGGCAGTGGGATAATAATGGAACCAATATGTTTAGCGCTTCAACCGGCATTACAAGTAAAAATTCTTTTAATGTTTCTAAAACAAAAAAGAAACAAAAATTGATAGTTGGTCTAATTGTTAACCCTTTAATGCATCTGTTTTTTAAAGTAAAGCAATGATGAAAAATCCTTTAAAATATGCTCAAACATTTAACTTAGAAAGCAATAAAATAAAAGCATAAAAACTTTGTATGCACTTATTCTAAACGATTTTTCATTTCAATGAAAACCACAATTATTCTGAAATATGTGCATTAAAAGGTAAAAACAAATGTCAATTAAAAAAAACAGACCTATACAACACATTCGCAAATCTGGAGGATTATACGTATTCAATAATGATGCTAGTTTTTTAATAACTTCAACCCAATCTTTACACGCAAGTAAAATTCCTCGGGAATCTTTCGGTTCCCTAAATAATCGAACGCAACGGATTAAATCTAAAAGTATTAATAAAACCTCTTGTAATTCAGCTGATACATGACATGCCGTTGCTTCATGCAGCATTATATGAAGATTTTGAAAAGCCTAAAAATAAAAATGTATAAATTAATCCAACATAGAAGTAATTGAAAAAAATTTTACATCACAAACAATTTGTAATCCTCCATTATAAACGACGTAAAGTCTATCGTCGTTACAATCAACTAAAATCCTTAAAGCAGATATTAAGGTCGACCAACTCGTTCTACCATCTAAACACTGAAGATAAGTGGTTAAAGTGTTCCTTCGAAAGGAACAAATTTCCCTTTGTTCAATATCGGACGCTTCCGGATGTTTCATTACCATCAATTGCATCAGTTTGAATAATTCCTCGACAGCCGCCGAATACTGGGTCGGATGTGGTGTGATGTTTTTAAACGCCCATTGTAAATTTTGATGATTCGCTAAATGACGTGTAAAAATCCTCGATTGTTGACACATCATTCGTAATAAACCATAATACGCTGGTAACATCGTACGGTTATACATTACAATTTCTTGATCATCATGGTCAGCTCTAACACAAATTTTTATTTTTATCATAAAATTTTTGAGTAAAATCAATTTGAACTTACAGAATGTAATTGAAAGCTATATTTTTTGTAATGTGAGCATTTTGAAGCATTATTTGTACATTTTCTGGGCAATCTGTACATGCATGGTTCCAAAAAGCTAATAATGCTTGTTTATTGTGATGTGCTGGAACGGCTGGTTCAGAAAGTTTTGGATGGAATAAATGCCATAGTTGCATTAAATATTGTCCAAACTAAAAAATGAATTATTTAATAATTTTGTTATTCAAAAATTTTTCACCAACCATTAATTTTTCAGTCCTTGATATACAACAATACATCATCAACGTAAAATAAGTTGTTAATTTCATTGTGCCATGATGTTGCATGTCTGTGTAATGTTTAGCTGGACCAAGAAGTCTTAATAAAGCGGTGTAAACTTGATGAAGAACTACTTGAGCCTCCCCAGTTAATTGGGCTTCTCTGTGTAAACGGTGAGTTGCACGAAAACCAAGTCGAAATTGTGTGCTAGGAACTAGGGATACTAATAAAAATCCAGCAGCTATAAAAAAAATGTGTTATAAAGATTATAAACATAAATAAGAAATATTACCGCTTCTAACTCTTTGATTAGCATGGCCTAATAAAAAATGTTCAACCCAAGTATCCAAAGATGATAGAACCCATTGATGTACTAATCGACTTTTGGTGACTTGTAATGCCAACCAATCTAATGCTGAGTAAGGACAACATTCGGCAGCTTCCCAAACTCTTTGTAAAACAAGTTGAGTGAAACATGGTAAACCAGAAGGACCTGCAGAGTTTTGACTTCCGCCTTCAGTGAGTAAAGTAAGTAGTTTAAAAAATGGCTGGCAAGACTAAAAATTAAAAAGAAATGTTTTTTTCATAAATAAATATGAAAGAATTAATTTTTTACATCTGCATTTCTACTAATCGCTTGAGATAGCATTGCAATAATTGATGTGGCTAAACGTTCATTTCCTCGACATAGAGAATGAATTAAATTTCTTGTTTGTTGGAGATTGATGTTGTCTTTTATTTGTTGGTATAAAAATGGGAAACCCTTATAAAAAATCGTATTAGTATTAATCTCGATTATCTTGGACTTTTTTTACCTTTCCACCAGCTACCGCGTTATAATCTTTAATACTAAGTTTTAATCTCAAATCTGTATCACGACTTTTTTCTACTAATGATGCTATTAAAGTAATCATTTTATCTAAAGAAGCTGGTTTATATTTATCCGTTGGTAAAGCTACAACTTCTTCTTCTTCTTCACCTTCACTTACATCAACCTAAAGTAACAAAAATAAAATGTATATATAAGTTATGTGTTAAAAGTAGTAAAAGAAACTTACAAAATCATGTACTTTATGCCCTAAATAAAAATCAATCATTGTATGAATTGTACCAATCATCAATAAAAATTTTGATTCTTCTTCACCCATCCTACTAAATTCATACAAAAATCCAAAATATTCTGTTAAATGTTTTAAGTGAGCTTTAGCACCATGTTCCATCTAAAAAATTAATTTATTGTTTTTTTTTTTTTTAGTAAAAGACAATGTTAGTAGTCAAGAGGTTAGAGAGGATGTGGTGATCTACTCTGACCAAAAGGAAAACAGCAAAAAGGAAATCATGGATAGAAACCAAAGAGCTAGCGATGGAGAACAGCGAATGGAACAAATTTGTTCACATGTATTGAAACAGTAAAAAAAACCGTACACTGAGATTATATAAAACTGGATTTGATTATATATATATCTTACCAATGAAAGTAAAGTTTTAACAAATTTTGTTACACAAGAAGCATTTCCAATTTTAGTTGGATCAACGTTATATCGATCATCATCAGCTCCACCATCATGTCGATGATTACTATCATCAACAGCTAAATATAAAGATGAATGAGTAGGTCTAAAAAAAAGATATAATTAAAAGAAAATTTGTTTTTGTTGTAATTTTTACTTTAATCGTTGTATAACATGAATACACAGCCTTTGAAACATTTGTCTAACCATTTGATTAGGACATTTTAATAAAACCTGAACTGGCCACCATGTATCTTGCGCCATATGTTCCAAAAACCAAACGCAAGCTTCCTGACAAGCGTTAAATTGTTTTGTAACTAATTCTACCCATTGTACCATAGTTGGCTAAAGAAAATTAAAATTAGATTTTTCGTATTGAAATTATTTTTGTCTAATGAACCTTTTCTTTAGCGTGTATGAACGTTTCGATAAAAAACGATGTTGATAATCGTGCTGCGCTTTGTGTTATATCGGGTTGAATTGGCATTATTGTTTGTGGTATATATCCACAGATTTGCCACATAAAACTAAAATATTGTCTGTTTTGATATTATAACTAATTTAGAAATGAAACTTACTTGAAATAAGTGTGTTCAAAAATATTTTTATCTTGAATGAAATGCATATTATCCTGCCAAATCCAATCTTCTAATTCTTTACTTAATTCAAACGTCATCGACGGTGTTGGTGAAGCTGGCCTTGGTGAAGAATTCGCGGAAGTTTCCGCTGAAGATTCTAAAGTTGTTGATGGGTATTCAGTGTTATCCGCATTTATAGGACAACGTTCATAAAATAACATATATGCACTATTAGTTTTTTCAAAACTGAAGTCCATAAATTTATCTGTAACACTATCGTAAGTTTTACTAGTCATTTCACCACCAAAACATTCCGCAGCGATTTGATTTGGATCAAATGGTTTTACTTCAGCGTCGTTAAATAAAAACCATTTATCTCGAGCACCCGCTGTACGATCCTTTATAAAACTATAATAATGTCCACCATCTGCAGTTCCCGTATGAACTGTAACACCAATCAAATCATATTCGTATTGTTCTTCTTCTTCTTCATTTGTTTTTAAACGTTCTTCTTGGTAATGCTGTGGCATTAAATATTTTTCAACGTAACTAGCCATGCTTAAACGTAATGGAAACGAAAAATGTGTGTTTACTTTTTCTTTTAACATTGTGAGCATGTTAAAAGTATATCTCATTGTGTTAAAACATAAAATATGGGGTAATTTTTTAAAACAAGCTCGCTTTTCGGCCCGAACTTTTTTTCCACATTGACTACAAGTGTACATGTTGTCACCTTCCAAGGTATCTTTCACAGTTACTTCGTCCAGTGATTCGTAAAGATTTCGCATATCAGCCACTTGACAACGAACCGTATAAAATTCTTCTAAAGTACGACTAACATGATCACAGTCCTAAAAAATGTTTTTTTTATTTTTTCGTGGGGGTTTATTTTGTGTTAAAACTTACTAAAGAAACAACATTATTACTAAGTACGCCGCAAAATAAATCTTTAACCACCGTTTTCAAAGCTGGTGTCATCTCTTCTAATTTACTCACGAGATCTATAAAAAATTCGGCCATATCTTTTTGTTCTGCTGTATTTAATGGTTGATGATCCATTGTATATACTTTACAAAAACTTCTTGGATTGTACGCTTTTCTTTCACTTTCCTATTGATTATTACACACATTTTTTTGTGACTATTATTAAAAACATTTACTTACCAATAAATATGCAAACATTCTTTGTAATTCCTTTAATGTCAACTCATGTTTTGAATGTTCTGTATTTGCTGCTAAAATAGAAGCCCTAGCTTGTGGCATCATATACAAATGTTGCATACAAGACGCCATATAACAAGTAGCACCCAAATTCGTTAATCCAACGTATCCACAATCGGATCTACCGTCTTCATGGGGCCAATAATCCCAAGGGTATGGAGAATTAGGTCCTGGTTGATGTTGTTTCAACAATTTTTCATGTAACATATTGTAATTTTCCGGTGCCCCTTTAACCAATTCGACCAAAAGATCGAAAGCGGCCGTTCTGGATCGCGCAGATTTACATTTCGGAACGTGTCTCAATTTTGGACTTGGTAAAGCAAAAAGAAACTCGAAAACTTCACAAAGTAGTTCTTGACCTTGTTTGCTCGTTTGAAACGGTGGTTTTTGTTTAACTAGATTTGTTAGTAAATTTAAAAGGCCGATGAGACCATCATCGTCTACAGTTCGATGTCTCGTTTCTAAGAAATCCCTTGAGAGGACTGATTGAGATATACGCGAGGTGAGGCCGTTAACATCGATGATTGAATTTTGGGGATCTTCAATACTTTCTAAAAAAAATCCTAAATTATTAAAACTAAAAATGATTTGATTTCAAAATTTACCTTTAATGAAATCATCAGGTAGACTGTCAACCAATCGTGAAACTAACCAAAAATAATCTCTACAAGCTGGTCCATAAGGTTCTTTACCATCTTCAGGAACTTCAAGTTTTTGAGGTCTCATTCCTTCAGCTTTTTCCATGTATAGCAACAATTGAGATAACATTGGAGCAACTAAAGTATTATCGAATGAATCTCCTTGCGAAGAAACACCAAGACACAATTTGTAAAGTGCTGAACAAACTTCTCTCCGCACAGAGGGTTCTGGATCTTCCAAAACTAATCGTTGAAGCCAAATCGAAAATTTCGGAGTTTGAAATAAACCTTGTCGAGCTTCTTCACTACAATGTAACCAAGAAACTAATAAAGACATTGCGTAATGTACAACTTGCGCTCTTCCCCAAAATCCAGTTTTATAATGGTTTGGATCTCTTGGTAATGAAATTTCTTCTAAAATACTTGTTAATTGTGGCATTACAGTTTTAACATTCATCATGTTTTGCATTGCTTCATTTAGGCCGGGAATTATCATTTTATCTGACCTACTTGGTCTTGATGATTCTAAAGGTGGATCTACACCTAATTGCCACATTAACTTTAATAAAGAAGCGAGACAATCTTGTTGCCATTCGCTTCCGTCATCACCAACACGTTGTAAAACACCAGACATGAAAATATCAAAAAAATGACGTAATCCACCGTGTTGAATGAATATTCGACTCCAATCTTCTTGGATATCATTAATTTTAGGACCATGTAATTTAACACTCAAGCTTTCAACAATGTATAAAGAATACATTAATTTTTGGGGACTTGATGGATCTAATAGTTCGGTTAATGGTGTGTCAAGATTTTTAAATCCCCGTAAAAGTGTAGGGCTTGTAGGTAATAAACTGAGTATTTCCCAAACTCTTCTACTTAAAACTTGTGCTTTCGTATGTGGAATATTGTGCCCTCCTTTTACAGAAGCTTTCATGGCACTTAATGTCCTCATTAAGCTAAATAATTGCTCAAAATAAGTTGGTTCTAATAATAAAAGGGTTGGTATTGATTCTCTGGGTGGTGGGGGGTGTAGTGATGGTGAATCCATACATTCTCTTTTTTTTAAGTTGCGAGAAACCCCCATTGATATATACACCATCTGAAATGATATATTAATTATGTGCGTTAAAAAAATTAAGGATTAAAAAGAGAAATTACCTGACTATCTTTAAGTCCCATTTCCCCTAATGTTTTTTCATCACAATCTGTGGTTAATTCTTGTCCTTGAGTGATTATTCTAACAGGATTGTGCTGAAGGACTATTGACGTTGGTGTTTTCGTTTCGCCTTCGGTATTTTTTAACCTACATAAATCTTCCCACCATTTTACAATTTCCGCTCGAAGGTCAGCCACATAATCAGAACTTAATAAGTCCAAAACGCATCGTTCCGACATTCCAGCTGGTTGGACAACCAATCTAATTGGTGTACATGAACGTTCTGTGGGGGTTACAACATGACTACTTACACCTTGACCTTCCAAAGCCCATCTACGTAAATGATACGCATATCTAAAAAAAATTTTTTAGATTAAGAAATATTAATAATATAACTAATTATAACTAATATTAATATATATAATAACTAATAATTGTTATATTAATATTAATATAACAAGTTAAAAATAACTTACCTTCTTCTAAATGTTTCCATATGGGTTTTTAATAAAAGTAAAGCTCTTTGAATACACAATAAAGGAGCATCTTCCTCTCCTACACCATCAGCACTTGCTAAATCTTTTGTGGCTGCTTCTAAATGTGTCATACATTGCCAAACAAATTGTTTCTCATGCTTTAAATTTTGTCCCATATAATAACTATTAAGGTATTGAATTGCCGCCATGCTTACATCTATTTAAAAGATAATAAAATAGAAAATTTAATAAAATATAAATATTACTTATACATATAGTAAATGTCTCACAATTTCTTCAATTTAATGAAATTACCTGTATTTGCTGCTCTTAAAGCAATTTTCCACATATGATCCATCCCAATCACATAACCATCCTGTCCATGGGCATCCATATTAGCTGTGGCAATTCTTGCTAAATTACATAATTGTTGAAATAGACTCAAACAAGTCATGCTAAAATTTTCCGGTGCTAAACTAGGTAAATGGATCAGATATAAACGTTTAAGCGCTTCAATTCCTAATGCGTGTAAATCACTGCTTTTCGCTTGAGATAATAACCAACTAAAAAGTTCGTCAGCACATTCAGAATCGTGTGCTAAACATTGCCATAACGTATCTACTTGTTCTAATGTTAATCTAAAAAATATATACAAAATGAATAACTTCATTAAAAAAATTTAATTGAACCCAACTTACTTAAAAGTATTTGGGGATACTAACGGTGAAAATACGGCTGACAAAAAATGCAATCGAACTTGAACTTGCATAATGTGCGTATATAATGGTAAAGCTTTTGTTTTATCTGTTGTGTAAGTTCTTAAATTATTGAAAAAATGGGACATCATAGAATGTTGTCTTTCGGCCCATTGAGTCACGTGATGCATATCAACGCCGCGAAATTGTTGAAATGATGTTAATAATTTTGGGAGTAATCTTAATGAAACGATTACAGTCCTTAAAAAAATTATAAAAATATATAAAAAAATAAATCAAACATTTTAAAACTTACATATTATTAGCTAAATTATGTAAACATCCTTCAATAAATTTCATACGAATTACTCTATCGGTATTATAACATAAAAGATTACATAGAGCCTTTTCTGCTTCAAGTGCAAGCCCTTCACCGAGTAAACCAATTTTATTATCCTGTAATAAATCCCATAATAACGTATTTCCCGGTTGGCAAACGTTATCAACTTTAAAACAAGCGGATAATTTTGGATCAACGCGAACTGGAGATTTTTCTGGAGAAGATTGATTCCCAAAATTGTGCAAATTCATTTGAGCATGTTCCAATTGGGCAAGTTCCTCTTCGCAAACAGAATCTTCGCCATCAAAATCAGCCATATTTTTTTCTGATTTATTACTCATCCTTGAGGAGTAACTTCCATCAGCTTCACCTTCTGCTTCTGCCTCCTCACCACTTAACAATTCCAAAATATGACTATAAACTCATACGGTTGGTGGATTTGGATCACTTTAAATATTAGATTTAAATAATTACCTTGCACCGGTCCGTGGGGCGATCGCCAAAAACGAATTGGCACATTCCGGTTCACGAACTTCCATGGAAACATCTTTACCTAATTCACTGGATGATGAACTTTCCTCTAAATAAGCTGCCTCTTTTAAATTGGCCTCAACCAAACTATTAACGTTCGTTGGAATAATTAATGCCGCTGCGGCCTCTTTAATTGCTGCCGCTCTTTTTAATTCTTGTTCGCTATCGTCAACCTCAACATCACTTAATGCACTTATTCCTGGCATATTTGGAGCGGCGCGTTTTGATTTTTTACTTTTTGTCCGAGTTTTACGCAACACTTTTCGACGTTTTCGGAACTTTGTTGATTCCTCTCCCATTGCTTCTTCTTGCGAACTACTTGAACCTATCGTTTCGACACCATCTGGCATATCACCGGAATTATTGGGTTTCTTTTTTCCAGTAAACATTTGTAGTTTTTCTGTTAAACTTCTTACACCGATTGATGTTGATGGTTCTTTCGCTGTATCCTTACTTATATCTGAAACTGAAAAATGTTAAAAGTAATCAAAATTGGATAAATTTAGATCTAGAAACACGATATGCAATAATGCAGTGTTACTTGACGTGTGCGATAAAAGCCTCCACATTATGTTACAATGAATCATTTTATGATTTCTTGGTATAAGTTCGTTGTTGGAACTTTTTTTTAGAGAAATAGAGATAAGGAGAAAGAGATAGAGAAGTCTTTTTATGGTGTTATAATAGACTTTTTAATTTAAAATAATTACCTTCGCAAGCAGCTTGTTTTCTTGCAACTTTACAAGGAGTTGGGCCTTCGCTACTATCAATAACGATGTGTTCTTCAATTTCTTCGTCGATTTCAACACCATCAATATCTTCACTTTCAGATTTATGACTTTCCGATTGAGCTGAAGTTTCAGCCTTATTAAAAGTAAAAAATAAAATTATAAAAGAAACAATTTAATTAGATATGAAAATCCAAGAGAATTATTTAATTTTTTTTTCAGATTGCATGCAATTTTTTTAAATTAAATTATTGTTATTATTATAAATGAAAAACTGCATTTTGTTAATACACACGCACACTTTGCGACAAGACAGAAAAAAAGTGGGGGAACAAAACGGTACCAGAAATAAAAAAAAAATAAGCAAACACTGCGTTTTTTTAAGACGAAATGTACCTGATGCAGTGAAAGCAGTGAGGGCGAAACTGCAATACAAACCAGTCGTCCGCGAACCTGCAAATAATTATTAACCTGTCAAATTGTTGGGCTGTCCAAATTGGAGAGATTTACTACCAAGGGGTAATCGAAAAACATATAAACAAAAATAATGTTGTTGAAAGGTTAAAAATTATTGTGCAAATAATAAAATTTTACATACAAAAATAATTATTAAAGAAGTACAAGAAAATATTAAGCAAAAATCACCATTTCATTTCCATTCAAAAAAAAATTCTTCACTTTTATTCAAAAAATATGTCAAAAATAACTTACGTGTTCTTCTTCAGAATTACTAGCATCCAAACTAACACTATTTTCAGATGAACTGGGACATTTATGCAAAGGAATACCAGCTTGACTTGCTGCTAACCCAATTAAACCCGCTTCAGATCCAGCACCACCTCGAGTCCAAATAAATTTAATTAAAGCTGACGCCAAAAATAAAGTCTAAAATTTCAAATTTGATTTTATAATATATTAATAATCCATTATAATGTTAATAAAGACCTGTTCTGTATGTTCTTTTGGTTCTAGCTTCACCAACAAACTGTACAAATGTAATGCAGGCGGTGCCGATAAATGCTTTACCAATCCCGGAAGTAAATCATGTACCGGTCTTGCGCAGTGTTTGAGTTGAGCCGCCGCCCAGATTATATCCATATGTTCACAAGTTATTCTCCCCTCCATCGCCAAGAAATTTAATATTATATGACTTTGTTTTATAACCTTAAAAAGAATTGTTTAGACATAACAAAGATAAACTTTAGTAAAGCGTTTGTATTCACTTCAACGTGTAAGTTAGGTCCAAATATATGAGAAATAATATTATTACTAATCAACCAATCTGCCATGTTTCTTGGAGCCGATTCAGCTTCAGGAAGTGCCTCACCAACACATAATTCGGCAAGAACACCAATTTGGTTATTAATTTGAGTAATTCCAGCTAAACGCATCGTTAAGGTGCTTGATGTAAAGTATTTAAATGCTAAATCTAAGCCATCTAAATCGAATGCCATCGGGGTATCTAAAGGATCTTTTATAGCGTTCCACATAAAATCTACACAGAACATTTTAAAAAGTAAATTATGATTGTAAACAATTTATGAAAATTATTAACTTACCTGCCATGCTTTTTATAGTGGGTGTTCTTAAATCTTGATCGGAAAGTTTACACATATAACGCAATACGCAAGAACGTAAGGGTACCAAAAGAGAGACCATACTTTTAAAATTCATCCACAATTTTAAATTACAAACTAAAATAAAATTATTATAAGTGATTAAAAGAATACTACGTAAAAAAATCAAAAGAATGCGATAATAATGAATCATCATTTTTGATATCTTTAGAGTTAAATTTCTATTTAAATCGTTTTCGTTTGCTTTTTAATAGTGATTGATTGTTGCGACATAAAATGAACAAAAATTGAAATTTGAGATTGGGGCTCTTTAATTAGGTTACATTTCAAGATTTTAATAAAATTCATCTGATTGAAACATTTTGCTGGATAAGGTACATAATAGTTTTCAGTCGTAACCACGCCGTGGACGAGTGAGCATCAAGATTTTGTATAGTAATGGGCACTATCGAATAATGCGATAATTGCCAAGTATTCGAATAATTTGATATCAAGAAATTTATTCGAATGTTTGAATAAGTATCATATATTTGTTGATTTCTAAAACAAATTACCACGCAAACGGATAACTTAAAAAAAAATATCGAAAGTATGCTTACTCATTCAGCTATACGACAAGAATCACTATTCATTGTATGACTACATCTACTATAAAATATTTATTTGAAATATCGGTAAGTAAGTACAAGATGGGGCAGAATGGACCTTTTTGAAAGGAGAATAACTCAGCTGTTGTTTAATTGACAAAAAGTTTATTTATGAAGAAGTAAAATTTAGATGTTGCCATTTAACAAAAAAAAAGTGAAATTATGTTTTGAAGATAATGTCAGGCAGATAACGCCCGTCTTCTGCAATGCACTTTCTCACACAGGTCGATGTCAATTTCCCTAACTTGTGCTGTGATAGCTTGTTTCAACTCTTGCAGATTTATCAAAGTAGACCTTCGCCTTTAGGTGTAAACATAAAAAATAATCAGGAGCTGTGAGATCAGGGGAACGAGAGGGCCACGGCACATCACCGAAACGGGAGATTACTTGTCCAGGGAAAACGCGACTCACAACTTCCATTGAGGCTCTGGGTGTATGTGCTTGTTACAACCAAACATTTCTTGTGTTAATTCTCCGTCGACGCAATTCTGGGATCAAAAAGTTTTCCAACATGAAAACATATAGCTCAGAGGTTACAGTTACAGCAGCCCCTTGAGCATCTTCGAAAAGATAAGGTCCAATTAATCCAAGATGACTTACAGCACTGTACGGCGACTTTCTCACTGTGAAGTGGGCGTTAATGCACTTCACGATGGTTTTTTGCTGCCCAATATCGGAAGTTCTGTTTGTTAACAGAACAATTCAAATGAAAATGAACCCCATCTGTTATTATTATTACTGTTTCATCAGCAAAACTCATTTCCATTTTTTCAGCGAATTGCTGGCGTTGTGCAAAATCTCCTTCTTTCAGTTAAGAAATATAATAAGAAATATATAAGATAAGCTTATTATTAAGGGCTGAAAGCGAAGGCCTTGGTGTAAAATTCTGCGAAGTATTATTCGACTACTCATTCGGAGTGCTGCAGCTTTTGAGTCATTGCTGATGCCGTCGTTCTAAAATTCTGTACCCATCTGTCGATTGTGGCACGTTTCAGAACTGAACCGTTACGACCAATATTGAAGCGTTGGCGAAAGCGCCTCTGTACGACAATAACAGACTCGCCTGATTTTAGATATTCCTCAACTGCGAACGCACGATGCTCTTTTGTCCAGATAACCATTGTTACTTACAAAAGGGTGACGTTAGTGACACCTTAGCTAATTAATTAATTAATCAATTTAATTTATTTTCAAAACTTATTTAAATAAGTACACTTTACTTTTTCATTGTTAAATGGTAAAACCTAAACTATCATTTTTTTTATAAACTTTTTTCCAATTAAACAACTGCCCCACCTTGTATATACATGTGTTGTATATCATTTTAAACATAGTATTTATGTCTAGAAAACTATTAAAAACAAATTGTTTTAATGAATGAATTTATTCGAATAAATCATTCATTCACTAATTATTCAATAGTCAAATTCATTTGATGGTGCCCCCATCACTAATTTTGTAGTAGAGGCTTTATTTTGAAATAGTGATCAGTAGGGCAACCAAAAATGTGCAAATGTATATTTTTTTTTTTTCATGCGCTCTATAAAAGAATGGACTAGACAGAAATTTGTTTCAGCAAATGCATATTTTCAATATTTTATTTATATATTTAAGGTTCAAGTGATTAGAAAAGAGTAAGTAAGAGTAAAAATTTATTTAAAATTGTAGTAGTAGTACAAATTGGAAATTATTATAGAATTATGCCGTAATAAAGTCGTCCAGGTCAGAAAAACTATCCTAATGTGTGAGTGAAGTTTTTGCAAAGTGTGCAACAAATCTGTTTCAGCCAAGAAAATATTGTCGGTAAAATAGCATCTAGCAAATTTAAAACACATAGAACTGGAGAAAAGAAATAATGAGAAGAAAACTACTTTGGCTTTTTTGCTGAAGTTCCACATCCAAATCAAAAGATGTTCAATTTGCAGAAGATCTATGTAGTGCACTAATTTCCGTTGATATACCTCTATATAAAATGCACACAACAAAAAATTAGTATCGTTCCTAAAATCACACACAGACTATGAAGTACCATTGGAAAGTACACTTTGCACAAAATATTTTAAGGAACTTTACAAAAATACCATAGACCACATACAGAAATGCATCAACGATCGCTTCTTGAGAATTTCAATTGATGAAACAATAGATCCAACAAGAAGATATGTTGCAAATGTCATTATTGGTATTTTGGATCAGATGAGTTGACCCGTAAACGATTATTTTTGTTAAATATGTATAGCAGTGCTTGCTAAAGCGAATCATAGCACTATTGCACAACTTTTCGATGATTCTATTAAAATTTTGTGTGAAACTTTCAACAGAGACATGATTTTACTCTTTATCAAATGCTGCTCCCTACATGGTAAAAGCAGCTCAGGCCATACAAATGTTTTATCCAAAAGTGACACACTTAACTTGTCTTGCACATGGATTTCATCAAGTTGGAAATGTGTTTGATGCATTAGACGAAGAGGACGATGTATCAATGAAAATTTCAAAAAAAGAATCTACTAAATGATAATACAACAAAATCAGACTTGATTTTTATTGCATCAAATTATGACTTCCTTAAAGCAACAATAAAAACATTACAAATATAGGGGCTTCCGCTTTCTACTCAGGTTGATATAGTGACACAAGCTCAGGGCATAATTAATGGCATAAACAGTGAAGCTGCAAACTTAGTAAAGAATAAAATGGGTATGGTTATTTAAAAAAATCATGGTTTTTCAATAACAGTAAATACATTGTTAGTGAAGCACTAGCATTTAAATTTGCACTATAACTTCAGTGGAAGTAAAACAAAGTTTTTCAATGTATAAAAATATTTTACAACCAGACAGACAAAGTTTTTGATAACTTAAGTGATATGTTTGTCATTTACTGTAATCAAAATTTAAGCTAAATCTGTTTCTGTTCTATTTCCAATTTCTTTGTATTTTCTTCAATATTTTCTAATACTCTTTTAGTTTTTTAAGTGGAACTAACAAAAAATATCTCATGTATGACCTACAATACCTACAGATCTAAAAGATATCCATATTTTAATATTTAATTTCAATTTTTTTATAGAGCATATTTTCATACTTAAACAATATATTTTGATTTTTATAGAGCATTTTTTTAAGCGCTTAAATTAACATTTTTGGAGCATATTTTTAGTTGCCCTAGTAATCAGTAAACATGACTTATTCTAACCTATCTTTTAAACTTACCGACTGAGATCATGGCATGAGCTGTTGAAACAGGTAATTCCTCGGGTGTTAAATGTGTGAAACAAGCCGTCATAGCATGCAACCCTCCTGTTTTACAAAATAAACTCACATTTCTCAATAAATAAATTGGTATTTCCGAATCGTGTAAATCACAAAATAAATTTAAAGTTTGCATTTCTTGTTGGGTAAGTTCATCCAGTTTGGCTTGTATGGTATGTTTAAAAGCGACGTACAACGGAAAGTTCAACAAAAATATTTTTGTAACCAATATTAATAATTTATCCCGTTCCGAGATCTTATGTTCTCTTTCTTCTTTTTCTTTGGAAGATTCTTCTATTTCCCCGATTTTCTTGTTCTCATTTTTGTGTTCAACATGGGATTCGCTAAGTTCTTTTAACTGACACACAACCAAGTATATAATACCTTGAGTGACGAGACTAAATCGTTCGAGGTTTTTCGGGTCTCGATAACAACACATGCACTGCCTCGAGGGCCATGTGTGCGAATAGTTTAGTACAGTGGTGACATCGTGTTTTGATAAGTTTGGCAATTCATTGCTGTCCCTGCTTATTTGACTTTCGTCTGAAATAAAAGAAGCAGAAAAAAAATTGGGACATCTATTGTTAATGACAAGAAAAAAAGGATATAAAATTAATTTTTGTTTAGAAAAAAAAAAAAAAAAACAAGGGAATCTCAACAATAGGTTATTTGATTACTGTGATTTTGCGATTGCGGTTTTAACTTTCATTCTGGGGTTTTAAATCTGTTGGCTAGTTTTGATTTTTTCTAAGAGATGATTTACTTACACGAAACGAGCAATTGGAGAAACTCCGAACATGCATCGCACATTTTATGTTAATATTCGATTAGGTGGCCACAACGAATTTATCATTAAGTCATGTCAATTAATTAAACTTTTTATTCTGAACTTGAGTACGCGGTGTTATTGTCGCACGTACATTATGGAAATTAGATGGAAATCATTTGATGACAAATATCCACCATTTTGAGTCAATGTTTTTAGAAAATAGAATACTGTCAAAACACCTAATTTATGAAACGTAAACATAAACACTGAAAATCTAAAAGAAAACAATTTTAAAATACATCGAAAACTTTTAAAATCAACAATTCAATTTTATAAATTATCGTTTTTTCATTTTATTTATTTTATTATCCGTTTTGAAATATTTAAATTAAATATTACAATTTAGGGAAACGGTTATTATTATAGACAACCCAACATACACTTTTGTCTATTAATCATAAAGTCTCATAGATGTCACCACACTTTTTTTATTAATTTTTTACTTTTTGGAATATACAGCAAAACCTCGATATAGAGGACTAACACGGGGAAGAAGTGTCCGTTATATCATTTTATTGCCCTCAATGTCTCTGTGACCTGGAACCCCCCATAGAGTAACATCATTACTCCTAGTGAGTTCTCTCAAGTTGCTGGTGCACTCTCTGATCAGTGCAGAGTCACACGTATAGGCCTGAATTGCCTTTAGGGCGGCCCAACTGTCTATGAAAATGTTTATGTTATTTTTCTGTCCTTTTTCTAAGTTCAAAACTGGAATATACAGTAAAACCGTGATATAGAGGACTAATACGGAGAAAGGAGTGTCCATTATATCATTTCATTGCCATTAATGTCTCTGTGGCCTGGAACCCACCATAAAGTGCCAACATCATTGCCCCTAGTGAATTCTCTCAGATTATACTAATGCCTATACCTATTCTGGATCCAACTGTGTTTGAAGCATCGGTGTACCAGGCAAGGGCTCAATTTTGTAATGTGAAGGAATGTCGGTTTTCTTTTGAACCCCAATTATAGCGTGAAGGAATGTCCGTTTTCTTTTGAACCCCAATTATAGCGTGAAGAAACTCCAATTATAGCGTGAAGGAATGTTAGGATAGGTCAGTTTTGTTTTGAACCCTTAATTATAGCATGCAGGAATGTCGGTTTTCTTTTGAACCCAAATTATAGCGTGAAGAAACTCCAATTATAGCGTGAAGGAATGTTAGGATGGGTCAGTTTTGTTTTGAAACCCTAATTATAGCGTGAAGGAATGTCGGTTTTCTTTTGAACCCAAATTATAGCGTGAAGAAACTCCAATTATAGCGTGAAGGAATGTTAGGATGGGTCAGTTTTGTTTTGAAACCCTAATTATAGCGTGAAGGAATGTCGGTTTTCTTTTGAACCCAAATTATAGCNCCACCAAAGGAGTAACAACATTACTCCTAGTGAGTTCTCTCAAGTTGCTGGTGCACTCTGATCAGTGCAGTCACACGTATAGGCCTGAATTGCCTTTAGGGCGGCCCGACTGTCTACGAAAATGTTTATGTTACTTTTCTGTCCTTTTTCTATGTTCAAAACTGGAATATACAGTAAAATCGTGATATAGAGGACTAATACGGAGAAAGGAGTGTCCATTATATCATTTCATTGCCATTAATGTCTCTGTGGCCTGGAACCCACCATAAAGTGCCAACATCATTGCCCCTAGTGAGTAATCTCAGATTATACTAATGCCCATACCTACTCTGGATCCAACTGTGTTTGAAGCATCGGTGTACCAGGCAAGGCCTCAATTTTGTAATGTGAAGGAATGTCGGTTTTCTTTTGAACCTCAATTATAGCGTGAAGAAACTCTAATTATAGCGTGAAGGAATGTTAGGATAGGTCAGTTTTGTTCTGAACCCTTAATTATAGCATGCAGGAATGTCGGTTTTCTTTTGAACCCAAATTAAAGCGTGAAGAAACTCCAATTATAGCGTGAAGGAATGTTAGGATGGGTCAGTTTTGTTTTGAAACCTTAATTATAGCGTGAAGGAATGTCGGTTTTCTTTTGAACCCAAATTATAGCGTGAAGAAACTCCAATTATAGCGTGAAGGAATGTTAGGATAGGTCAGTTTTGTTTTGAACCCCTAATTATAGCATGAAGGAGTGTCGGTCTTCTTTTGAACCCCAATTATAGCGTGTCGAAATGTTAGGATAGGTCAGTTTTGTTTTGAACCCCTTATTATAGCATGAAGGAATGTCGGTTTTCTTTTGAACCCCAATTATAGCGTGAAGAAACTCCAATTATAGCGTGAAGAAATGTTAGGATAGGTCAGTTTTGTTTTGAAATCTTAATTGAAACCCCAGTGAACCTTCGTGGTTTAAGACCTCACTTGCTCCCAAGGAGCATGCGACAGATCTGGTTAGCCATAATGGCTTTTTTCCTCACCTTGACTATGTGGGAGTTCCAGTTTAATTTACTGTCTANTGGTCAGTTTTGTTTTGAAATCTTAATTGAAACCCCAGTGAACCTTCGTGGTTTAAGACCTCACTTGCTCCCAAGGAGCATGCGACAGATCTGGTTAGCCATAATGGCTTTTTTCCTCACCTTGACTATGTGGGAGTTCCAGTTTAATTTACTGTCTAATATTACCCATAAGTATTTGACGTCTGTTTTGAGGTTAATAGTTGTTGTTAATTGTAGCTTTCTTCTCCGAGTGAAAGGGACTATTTCGACTTTGTTTGGATTAATGCTGAGCCCATTGTTTCTGCACCAAGTGTTATTAAGTAGCAGGACTTTCTGCATTAGTTGGGTTATGATTGTGTCATATTTACCTCGAACTGTAATCTATACCATTTGATCGTCGACGGATGTATGTCTTTTGCGTATAGAGCTTTCTTTATGGATTCATAGAAGGTGTTATCTAAAGCACCCTTTATGTTTATAAAAGCACATAAGACTATCTCTTTGGCTGCAATTGTCTCCTCTAAAATGCTTGTCAATGCATGAAGAGCAGTAATTATTGATTTTGCTTTCTGATAAGCATGTTGACTTGGATGGAGTGGATTAGTGACAAGCTCTCCATTCCTAAGGTATTGGTCAATTACCTTTTCCATCCATTTGAGGAGAAATGAAGTTAGGCTAATTAGTCTGTATGCCTTGGTATCGGCGTTTAAACGCCTACGACCTTTAGGTGTAAAGACCACCTTTAGGTGTAAAGACCACCTTTAGGTTCCTACATAGTGTAGGTATACTATAGCTGAAACTATAGCTTGTTGTATATAAAGATATTATTACTGGGAGCAGGTCTTCTATGCCTTTTTGCAGAAAAATAGGTAGAATTTGATCCCCTCCAGGTGATTTTAAGTAGTTCTACTTTTAGTTCAATAAAAGTATACAACAACCTAGCAAAGAAGAATAAGTAAAACTACAACTAATACAAATTATTGAGGTTTTACTGCACTTGAATGTAAATAGGTGTATCACTAAATGCAAAATTACCACATTATGAAAACAGCAACTATAAATTAATAGTTTATTAAAAAAATAAACATTTTATTCCATATAAACATAAATTACATCTATTTTAAACTTGTAAATAATGAATAAACGTTTTCAATAAAATCTTGAATGAACAATATTCCAGAAGAACCCATTTTTATAAAGTGCTCAATTTTCCTTTCATTTATATTTACATCGCCTTCAATATCAGGAAAAAGCGGTGAAAAGGTGACGTTTTTATCCGGCTGAAAATCATTTTCACACATACAGATAACAAATCTCCATGCGATTTTTCGACTTGGAAAGAAAACGTGAAATATAACACGATAATTTTCGTCCATAACCAATTTATATTTTCTGGATAATCGTTCAAATTCTTGTAAAAACTCACGTTGTTTTAACATTTTCTCTCTCACAAAATCTAATAATGATCTTAAATCGAATTTGGAACCCAACGCGGCTTTTATACGATTCAAAGCCAATTTATTAATGAATACTTTATGAACATACGCGGCGTCCATTTCAACATCATTTTTTAAGTTATCAATAATAAATAAATCTACCACTTCATCTGAATTCTCTTTTAACGTTACATCAAGAATTATAGAGCCATATAAAGTGGAAAATTTATAAAGTTGATTATTTTCTGTTGATAACAATTTCCAAAAACGTTTATTATCTTTCTCGATTGATTTTATAATTGTTCCAATTGATTCTATTTTGAGTCCTGAATCATCAACCGAAATAATTGACTCAACCGATTGATTCGCTGTAATTTTACAATTTTCATTGTATTTCTTCAAATAATTTCGAGTCAAATCAAGATACTTTTTCAATTTAGCACAAAACGAAGTTAAGTCCGGTTTTTTTGATTTTTTTGTAATTTTTTCAACATCTTTTCGAAAATTTTTAACATCAAATAAAATTTCTAATTTTTTCTTTTCAACGATTTTTCGTTCTAGTTTTCCGCTTAAATCAATATCCATGTTCAATGTTGAAACGGAATTTTCCAATGTTAAATCAATCAAGGAAGGTTCTTGTGTATGTTCGACACTTTTTAATTCACTTAAAGAAACTTCAAATTCACTCGGATTTAGACCTTCACCTAAAGGCATCGATTTTAACTTTGAAAATGATGGAAATAAATCTCCAGCCGCTATTCGAGAAAATTCTGATTTTGATTCGAATTGATTATCTTCTACAATTAAAGGATTTTTTAAGGAACACTCAAAATTTATTCCATCAATATCCTGAGTTAAACTCATATCATTTGTACTGTTTTGATTATAACTTTTTTGCTCATTAACTTTCAATCCAGAAGTAACTAAACAAGATTCTGATTGATTTTCGTCTCCAATTGAACAATTTTTTAATGAAATCTCTAAATTCAAAGCATTGTCTATACTATGACCACCCACAGCTTGAGTAAAACTCATGTTATTTGAAGTTTGATTTAAACTTTTTTCGTTATCAACTTTATTTCCCATAGCAACTACAGAAAATTCTGATGTTGATGGATTTTTTAATGTATTCTCCAAATCAACTATATCTTCATTACAGTAATCACCCACAGCTTGAGTAAAACTCATATTAATTTCAGTTTGATTTAAACTTTTCTCTTTATTAACTTTATTTCCCACCTCAACCACAGAATATTCTGATGTTGAAGGATTTTTTTCTTGAATTAAAGGATTTTTTAACATATTCTCCAAATTAACTAAATCTTCATTATGATAACCACCCACAGCTTGAGTAAAACTCATATTAATTTCAGTTTGATTTAAACCTCTCTCTTTATCAACTTTATTTCCCATAGCAACTGCAGAAAATACTGATGTTGAAGGATTTTTTAATGTATTCTTCAATTTAACTGCATCATCATTATGGTAACTACCCACAGCTTGAGTAAAACTCATATTAGTTGCAGTTTGATTTACATTTTTGTTCACAGAAATATTTAAATTATTTGGTAAAGTTAAATCTGTTGCTATTTCATCATTACAAATAATCGTTTTATTTTCATGAACTGCTTTAACTTCTAAAATATTATAACCCACCGGTAAAGTAAGATCTAAAGTTTCGTCACAGCTGCTTTCCTTTGACATTGTACAACTTTTTTGACTTTGAATTAAACAACCAACAATGGGTTTAGTAAATTCTAAATTTTCTCCATAATTAATAACACTTTTTTCAACTCTCTCTTGTACATAAGAAACCGGTATGGTAAAATCCATATTTTCATCATAAACAACATTTATTTTACTAGAAGTTGTTATTGAATGTAAAGTATTTACAGTTGGTGGGGAAACTTGAGATGAACCATCAGCAGTTTCTTCATAAGTTGAATCCCAAATGGTGTTTTTTTCTTCATCCGTAGCAAATTGTCTATTGTAAATAAAAAATTTTAAATAAAGTAATTTCCTTTTTAAATATGATATACTTGACTTGGTTGTTTGATGCAAAACTAACTCTTCGAGTTTTTGGTGTGATGGTAACATTTTCTTTATCATTATCGATAATGTGTTCTTCAACATCTCCAAGTGGATTCCGAACTTTTCGAGGTTTTAAAATCGAAGAACGACGACAAGTTTCTTTATATTCGTCCATTGTATTTTCTTATACACCTCAAAATCTACTCAAACTAAAAAAAAATAAGTGTTAATAAAGTTATGTTAAACTTTAAATGTCAGTATAAGATTAAACCTAACCAAAAAGCTTTTTAAGCGGCAACTTTAGCAGATATTTACTTACACTTAATGAAACATAAGTAATGCGTTATTACATCAATAGATAATTACGAATATGATTTATTTTTTAATAGCCTCTTAAACCGTTACAAATAAAAATTTAAATACTCAAACAATTTCGGATTGGTTCTCTTTAAACATGCTCTGATAAAATAGATCACTGTAATTGTAGTAAACATTTATTATATATATTAACTACATTATTAATACAAATACGAATATTTTTACATGTTCAAATCAATCTCTTCATTTTAGTTCTTTATTATTTAAAAATATTACGAGAATTTTTATTTTTTTAATAAATTTTTCTGTTGGTAACATTACGTTCGGTCAAAACATAACCTAGAAATTCAAAAAAATTTGATGAGAACATGCCCGTCGATCACAAACGAATAAATGGTCCCGAAAATACCGTGCCTTATAGGCTCTACACAAAATTGAACGTAAAATCATTTAAGGAATTATTTAGTGAAACCGTCAACGAGAATGGAAGCAGACTGGATCTCCGAAAACCCAACCATCATCGAAAAATTTGTGAGTTGACACATCCTCGTTTTTATTTTAAAAACTAATTAATAGATTCGTTTTAGTTTTAAAAACCGGTGTGGTAAGCCAAGCGAAAGGTTCAGCTTATTTAGAACTTGGAAATACGAAAGTTATTGTCTCGGTGTTTGATCCTCGTGAAATCCCTAATAAAAATGAGTACAGTTTGAATGGGGAATTATATTGCGAATTTAAATACGCCCCCTTCAGTTGCCCTAAACGTAAATTACACCAACAGGATGGCGAAGAAAAACAAAATAGCATAGTAATGAAACAGGCTTTAGAACCAGTTGTTTGTCGTCATGAATTTCCAAATTTCCAAGTGGATGTTTATGCTTTGGTTTTAGAAAACGATGGGTCCGCTATCGGCGCGGCTATTACATGTGCGGGTTTAGCACTGGCTCATGCGGGAATTCCCATGTATGATTTAGTAACTGCTGCAACCATCGGTCTACAAGGGAAAATCAAACTTTTAGATCCTACATTGAAGGAGGAGGAGCTATGTGGAATTGCAGTGAAGAAAAATGAGAATGACACCAATGAGTATAAAGAGCATGGAATCATTGTTTTATCACTTTTATCAACACATCAGCAAGTTACAGAGTTTTATCAAACGGGAAACATGGGAGTTGATGTTATCGAATCTTTAACTGAACTATTAATTAATGCTAACAAATCGATTGTGCCTTTGGTTGAGAAATGTTTGGCTAAACATGTTATGAAAGGTCTTAAGAATAATTCTGAATAAAATTTCTATACTTAATTTTTAATTTTAAAGAAATCTAACCAAATTTATTTTCAAGCTAGTTTAATTGCGATTTAAAACAACCTCAAGGAATAATTTAAATTTTTTTCAGCCGGCATTCAATATTGTCAGCTAGACCCAACAAGTTGAGGTGTGTCTTTAAATGCTGCTATGAGCAAATCTTAAGATATTCTAGGTTTGACAGTGGGGATGTTGATAAACAACTTAACATGTCTCATTCCAGGAGAACTAGACCATAGTAGGCTCTCTTCAGCCCACAGTCCAATTATATGTTTTGCCATCGCAAACGATAGCAAAACGCGGCTATGGCTCCACATAAACATCGATTTTAAAAAAAATCATATCTCGCTTATTTTTGGGAATAAAGAAATGATTTATATCTTAAATTAAAGGTTGAAATGTCTTCTTTAAAATGATGTATAATAATCAATATGTTAATACTAAAATTTTTGGAGAAAAAAATGTTTTAAGTTAAAATTTCAAAAAAAGATTAAATTCAGAAACATCGATTTAAAAAAATCATATCGCTTATTTTTGGAAATAAAGAAATGATTTATATCTTAAATTAAAGGTTGAAATGTCTTCTTTAAAATGATGTATAATAATCAATATGTTAATACTAAAATTTTGGGAGAAAAAAATTTTTGAAGCTAAAATTGCAAAAAAAAGGAATAAATTCATAAACATCGATTTTAAAAAAATCATATCTCGCTTATTTTTGGGAATGAAGAAATGATTTATATTTTAAATTAAAGGTTGAAATGTCTTCTTTAAAATGATATATAATAATCAATATGTTAATACTAAAATTTTTTGAGAAAAAAATGTTTTAAGTTAAAATTTCAAAAAAAGATTAAATTCAGAAATATCGATTTAAAAAAAATCATATCTCGCTTATTTTTGGGAATAAAGAAATGATTTATATCTTAAATTAAAGGTTGAAATGTCTTCTTTAAAATAACGTATAATAATTAATATGTTAATTCTAAAATTTTTGGAGAAAAAGCTTTTTAAGTTAAAATTGCAAAAAAAGATGACGGAAGATGACTCTTTCCGGTGTTTTTGATACAAATATCTGCTTGAACCAGTGAATTTTCGTTTTCAATCCAGGACTACCGTTCAGGCAGTACAATCTGGTGTCGAACATTAACTGATAGTGATCCCGCCAAATCTGACGGCATTGATAGCACAATATCAGTGCTTGTAGTGTGTTCCACAGCCCATTGGTAAGACATGTCGGAACAGTTTTGAGTATATTTAAATCTGTAATTGGTTGTTCTAGCCACTTTCTCTATATGCACATGTAAAGGAGGTAGGCCAAGCAGAACGACCATTGCTAGAGTTGGCATTGTGAGATTGCCAATCCCGCTACTCGTTGAATTCGTGAAAGTTTACTGATAACTGAAGTCTGTCGGACTTTCCTATACCAGGCTGCCGCTCTGTAGGTAATCATAGGTCAAACCACAGTCACATAAAGCCAGTCCAGTCTTTCAGGGGTAAGACCCCAATTTTTTCCACAAAGACTACGACAAGTCCACAATGACAGTCTAGCTATGTGTAAAATTCCCTGCAAATGTCCATTCCATGAGAATGTTTTATATAGGATCACTCTAAATATACAGATTGTCCGGAAATGACGTGTGCAACGCAAGACCACAAGGACCTTGACCAAAAATATGATGATTTAATTCAACTTATCTAGATTATATACAAAATGTATTACAAAACAGTTTATGTCACTTAAACTTGACAGCGGTATTCGTATTTTTCGTTTTATCTTTGATTCATCATGAATTTTTAGAGTTAAATTTTTTTCTCTTTATGCTGGAATTCTCTGGATTCTCTACCAACCAAGTTGTGTAGAGCCAATACTGCCGACTTTCCAGCTTGATACAGAAATGACAAGTTTTAAGCATTAGGAGTAGGAAACCTTTAGGTATATAAAACACTTGTTCTGAAAATTTTCACCAAAATAGGCAACAATAGTGACCTTCCTTTCTGTAACAAAGCTAAGCTTGGTAGATGGATGTGTGTTACGACTTTTTTTGGTGTTAGAAAATGTACCAACTTTAATAAGTAATAATAAAGTTTGTAACTTAAAGGAAGATATTTTTAATTTAATTGCAAAATTATATACAAAGACAAAGAAAAATAGCTAAGCATTATTTAACAATAAATTTATTACATTTACACTTCTATTATTTAGTCTAAGTCACAAGAGCTTATGTTTATAAAGGGGCCTTGTGGACAAGCGAAAACCAATGTCCGCATTCACAACGTCTCGGTTGACCCTTGTGTAACCACATCCAATTAACGCTAGTTGCATCCTCCTCACAGATACATCCGACTAGACGAGCTTCGAACGCCGAAGGGATTTCGTTGGGAGTGGCCTTCGTTCCAACTCCTCTCTTTAAGACTTTTAAATCGAACGGATTTTCAGTACCCGCCACTTTAGCTAAAAGTTCTCTTTTTTCTAAGCCTGTAGCGTGTTCTACAGGGTCGCCCATAGTAGCTAAACACAAAATAAGGCAAATTAATTTTAACTGAAAGTTAAACGAATATTATTTAACATTTCAAGTGCGATCGGATTTATTTGGGAAGATAAAAGGTGAGACAAAATGGCAAAGATACCAAAGTTACGTAACACGTAATTTTTTACGATAACAAATGAATTTCGAACGAAACAATCGGTTAACGGTTAATTACTTTTTGATGCAAGACGACTAGATGAGTAGATAACATTTCTTCTAGCCGTGGATACCACGATTCTTCCACACAACGAGGCCATTTTTACTTGCCGTTTCTCAAATGTTTCGGTCGTCTACTGGGGTGATGGGATTGAGAAGGCGTGAAAACCTATCTTTATTAAATATCCCTAGATACATTTGAAACATTTTAGATTTCATTTAAAAATTCATTTATGATTAAAATGATTAAATTTAAATTATTTATACATATATTATATTGAGCTAAATTGAGAATTAATTTATTGCGGAAGTAAATATCCATAGATAAATAAAAAATCGAATATATAATTTTTAATTTTAAATTGATTAAATTATTATTAGATTATTATTATCGATTAATTATAGTGATTTGATTCAAAATTTTGTTATTAATTAATATTTTTTTAATTAGCAACTATTATTTAGGGAAATTTCATTTCAGACAGATTTTTACTACCCAACTAGCGCCATCTATCTCCCTCTTTCTATTTGTGCGGAATCGTCAAGGTACACGTTTATTTGTGTTTTTATAAGTTTTAAATCGAATTTTCTCGCGTTATTCACTAAATATCATTAAAATATAATTTTTTAATCGTGTGTTAACTCATCGGGTACCCGTGTAAGTAATTTGGAGCAAAGATGACTTCGTTTCTAAAAGATATTTTTGAAATAACATTTTGTGGTTAACATTCGACACATACTTTTTTCTCAACGTTTTGAGATATTTTCTATTTTAAATTGATATAAACACGTTTGTAAACGTATTTTGTTGTTATTATTGCTCCAATTTGTTTACTTGGTGTTGTAAAATTAAAAATGTACTTTGAGGTTATGTTATTAAATGCATGTTTCTTTTGTAGATGACGTCCAAAATAATTAAGTCCGGCGGGACGGAGCCCGATCAATTCGAAACTCAAGTTGCTCATGCTCTTCTTGAGTTGGAGATGAACTCTGATTTGAAAGCCCAACTTAGGGAATTACATATTACAAAGGCTAGAGAAATTGAACTTAACAATAAGAAGGTAAACAACGTTTTCTTATTCACCTTAATTTTCTTAATTGGGATATCATGATGAATTTTATTATCTTAGGACACCTAAGACTAAATCTTTGGTTATAATCTCAATCTGAAAAAATCTTATGATACATCCTTTTTATAAAATCTTATGATTTATTCATATAAATTAAAAAAGAATCTTTTTGCAGTCAATAATTATTTACGTGCCGATGCCCAAATTGAAGCAATTCCAAAAAATTCAAACGAGGTTGGTGCGCGAGCTTGAAAAAAAATTCAGTGGAAAGCATGTAGTTTTTGTTGGTGAACGTAAAATCCTTCCAAAACCAACGCGTAAAACGCGCACGAAGAACAAGCAGAAGCGCCCCCGTTCCCGTACTCTCACATCAGTATATGATGCCATTTTGGAGGACTTGGTGTATCCGGCAGATATTGTAGGGAAGCGAATCCGTGTTAAACTTGATGGTTCGCAACTTATTAAGGTGCATTTGGATAAGAACCAACAAACGACTATTGAGCATAAGGTAACTTTTTATTAAAATTTGTTTGATTTAATTAAAATTGATGTTTTTAGGTGGATACCTTTGCTGCTGTTTACAAGAAATTGACCGGAAGGGAAGTAACTTTTGAATTTCCTGAACCTTATTTGTAAATGATAATGTTTATTTAATAAAACTTTTTTGAAAAGTTTTATTTTGGGTTAGATATATTTCTCCTATTTGTTTTATTCATCCTAATCATTTTTTAATTAGAATTTTAAAATTCTTAAGGGGATTGATGGGTTATCCATATATGGCAACTTGCATTGTAAGTTTTGTAAAAATTACTCGATTATTACCAACTTTATATATCTACAAGGTCAAGTTTTTGAAAATGTAATTACTGGACTTACAATTATTAAGTTTGAAGCTGTACAAGCTCTGAAAATCGCAAAAAAAAGAATTTAAAAAACATGATTTGGAAGTAACAATCATATTGTGAGCTAATAGGTTCCTTGTAAATGTTCCAAAGACCTTATATACCAAAATAGTATATTATTATATGCGAGTAGAATACTATACTTTGTCCACGACTATTGAAATTGACTCCATAAATTTATTTTTTAAATAAATTTTTGAATAAAGGTTAAACGTCAAGTGACACAAATTCAATGTTACTAACTGCAACCAACTTCACAACAATTTGTCAAAATTAAATGTCAGTTTTATAAAACGTCGTTTTCTTTTCGAAAATTAATCAATTTATGCTTAAATCATACGAAAAAAGGAATTTGTTTAGGTTTTTTTAATGTCAAATATTTAGAAACTCCATAATTATATGATAAGTATTAAATGAAAAATTCATAATAAACGATTACTTAAGATGATGGGTAGAAAATGTTGTCACCTAGGGTTGCAATCCCAGGAAATCGATAATGATTTCGGTATTACGTTTGTCATTAATTTAATATTTTTGGAAAAATAAGGCTATCTATCGGTTAACACTGCAACCACGGATTCGATATTATCCTTGTTTATACAGGTGTCCCGTATCTTCCGCATCAGAAAAATTGCTTCTTTAAAAATAGTTCTATGCATGGTAGATTTTTCATCTTGATTGCAATCCCTATTATCACCTTCGTTAATAAAATATTTCTTAACTCCGCCCATCGTCCATTCTTTTCTAACTAGTTTTTCCATAGGAAATGTTTTAGTAGGTACTTAAAAAACCGCGAAGGTTCGCTTCATTGAAGTCAGTTTCTGGATAAACGGCAGCTAGCTGCCAGAAAGTAAGTATAATTAGCTTTTGCACAATATGGAAACAGAGACAATTAATCGGCTGTGATGGTTCGTAGATTTAATTTTAGCCCAGCTGTATGAAAGCGCGCTTTATACTTTATATTTACATCTTATTTTTTTATTATTTACATAAATTACATATCGGGTAGGCGGACCAACCAACCTTGCACCGCGACCTTAAGGATTTATTATACCTTGATAGATACAATTATCAAATTTCACCGTGCCATCCAATGCTCTTAACGAACATTAGTACCTTGCTCGGTGAAAAGACGTTCAGATCCTTTTGGGAGATAAACTGCGACCCAAAAATCGATAATCTGATACGATTGACAGCAGTGGCATAAAACATTCTCAATAGTCTCTTCGCCTTCCGCACATAGTTGGCATTCAACATCGTCGGCTAGGGCCAACAGGTTGAGATGTGTCTTTAATCGGCAGTAATTTGCATCTAAGATATTCCCGGGTTTGACAATTTAACGTGTTTTATTCCAAGAGAACTGGACCACAGTCAGCCTACAGTCTAATAATATGTTTTGCCATCGCAAATTATATAGCAACTGCTGGCTCTGGCCAGCAACCGCTTTAGCGCTGCCCTCTCGTGCTAGCTCGTCTACCGATTCATTGCCAGCAACCCCAGAGTGACCTGACACCCAGATTAGAGAAACTGTTATCACAACTCAGTGTGCTTAATGTTCTTTTACAGTCATTAACTAGAGCCGACATCGTTTTCACGGCATGCAGCGCCTGAACTGTTTGAGAAAAATCGTACTAGTATGTTCTTCACCCCTCTCTCAAGAAGGATTTAAGACCATTGTCAATAGCAAATACTTCCGCCTGGAATACAATACAGTACGTCCCCAGGCTGTAAGCTTGCTTCATCCGAATTGTCTGGCAGTATACTCCTGCCCCGATCCCTTCCGGCGTTTTCGATCCATCTGTGTTTCGATCAACAATCGTTATATGTGCAAAGACGAGCGGAAAGTACTATTCTGAGTACCACGAAACAGAAACAGAGAAAATCATCTTGTATTGACGATTACAACCAAAACCTGGGGCTGGTTGACAAGTCAGACATGATGCTGAGCACACTAAAGAGCATGAAAAAAATGTTAAGTGGTACAAAAAAACTATCATTCCATTTCTTTGACATTATGTTGTTAAATGCTCATGTGTTATATCTTACGAAAACTGGAAAGAAACCTTCCTTGGCTGATTTCCAGTCAGCAGTAATAAGACGTTTTCACCAATTTCAAAATGGTGGTCAACGACAACAAATAATTCGATGCGCTTGATCGCTCGTCATTTTCTAGCAATGGTGGAACCCGGCTACAGAAAGGAAGAAATATGCTTGTCGTGATTATGTGTAGTGCCTTGCTTCCAGGAATACCACAAAATGTTAAATTTTTAGGTTCTAAAATAGTTTAGTATAATCTTAAGAGTATTATAATATCAGTATTGTTGGATTTCATTTTTCTTTATACAAAAATTCGGCCCATTCAGTGTGTTTATAGAATTAATATAAGGCATCCATTACAGCTGGTACCTAAAATTTGTTTCATTTTTCCCTTCATCATGGTCACAAGACCATGCATGACCCGTCCCTCATGCTACCTCCCCTCACATAGCTAATTACAAGACTATAGAAAAAGCTCTTAAATTAAATCTCCAAAATTATTTAATTTGCGAAATAAAAAAGAATTCTGAATTAATTTCATTTTAATGATGTACTTAAAAGATTATTGCAACTTCAATTAAAGTGTTGATTCCAGGTTAACTTACTATGTTTATTTTATAAAACCTTGATCTATAAAAAAATAATAACAATAAGGTATTGTTAATGGTTGCAAAATAAGCAAATATTTATTAGTAATGCACTAATTTTAACTTTGATGTTTCTAATTCAGTATGAATGTAGACAAGAAATAAGATATAGCAGCATACAAGGGGTAAGAAAAATTTTGGAGCTAAATTAACTTATAAAAATCTTATTTTAATTTTTCCAATACATTTACAACATAATTAATATTGACGATTGTAATGTAAACAATATACAAAATAACGAGTACTGTTCTGTAATTTAATTAAAAATCATTAATGAAAATCTTACGCTATCACACACTGAATTTATATTGTTATCTTTGTATCACTTGGAACTCTCACCATCCGCATCATCTGCTAGCAATGTTTGCAAATCAATATCGGAAAACTTTGATTTATCTGTAGTACCAGCATGCGCCAAAAACAATTCTTTTAAAAACCCTAATTCTTTTGTCAATGTATTCACCTTTTCCTGTAATATTGTATTTTCATTCTTTAAAGCATTTACTCGAGTCAAAGTTTCCATTGTCTTCACTTTCGATTTTTGCCTGCTTCGTTTTACAGCCTAAAAATTCACAAATGAAAAAATTAACAATCATAATTTTAAAGATCATGAAATACCAAATTATTTCTATCCCTCTTCTTACGGTATTCATCTTCGTCTTCTTCCGAATCCACATCCCTTTTATTAGGTTTAATTTTTTTTGGGGCCATATTTTGCTAAATAAAAAAACGAAACGTATTAAAAGATGCACTTGGAACATTCGAAGAATGTTAAATTTTGATTACCAATAACGTCATGTTCTGTTTTAGATAAATTACTTATCGAGCGTTTATATTTGCACACATACGCTTACGGTCTCGTACTTACTTATTGTAAAAATTAATTTACATTGTGCAACACCCAAAAAAACCTATCTTCTATAACTGTCAAAATTATGACGTATTCTAGAAAAAAAATAGATGTTACCAACATAACAAATAATTACTATCTTACGTTTCGTTGATTTGTGGTGTAATTTTATAGTTAGATTAATTATTTTAACTAAATTTCATTTATAAAAACTAATTTTATTATAAAATTCATTACTATTAAATTTCTTACATTTAATTTTGCATTCTTTTGCAATCCACAGATGGCGCAAGTTATTTTTGTTTCTAATTTTTATTATATTTATTATTTTCAAACTAATATTCTAAAATTATAATTTTAAATAAAGATTTCTTTTTTATAATTTCTAAAAGTACTAATTAAATTACGCAGATTTCTTCCAAATAATTAATGTGGTTAGAAATTGAGGTTATGTTAACTTTATATTTGTTTAAATTTGAAATTAGCAATCAATTTCAAATTTATAAAAAATTTTGTGTCTTTAATAGCAAGATTAAAAGAAACAAGTCTAAAAGGATAATTTTATATAGTAAACCATTGATTTTATGTATTTATAAATTTGTTTACGTTTTGATATTTTTACATCTGTTTATCTTTTATCTTGCTACGGACTTCCTCGAATTAAATGTTGAATTACATATTAAAAATTCGTTTCATCTCTGGATGTGCAAACAACTTTATAAATAGTGAGTATATTTCTTCTATAATCTAGTAATAACAATAAATGGAGGAAATAACCTACAGTATGCAAAATTAGTTATAAGAAATTAGAAAATTACTCAAGAATGGCAGTACAAATTTCACATAGAAGAGTAAAAGCAAAAGTGGATGTCTTGGTTACCTATACAGTTCAACAACTGTATTAAACTGTATGTAAAAGAGGATTTCATTAACAATTGACAGCAAAAACCGTATTGGAACAGTTCGCCAGATTGTATTTTTGTGTGGATAACTGCTGTTATACAAGATTTTTAATCGTGTTTTGTCCTTATGTTGGTTGTTAAGCGCTGTTTTTTTTCAAAAAACTTTGCATACTGCTATATACTACTAAAAAAAAAGTTAGATATTTATCTTGTATTTAAGACTATAATTTTAATTTTGCCCAGAACTTAGTTGTAAATTGATACAACTTAACTATTAAATGCAGCTAATATAGCACTTTTAATTTTTCCAACCATATTGAGGTTATGTCAATATAGCGGTATTTTACCGATTTTTTTTTAGAGCAGATTCATGAAAAAAAATACATTACATGTATTACATTTTATTAGTTTATTACATCTTTTACTTTTTCATTTTAATCTAAATTTTTATTCTAAATAAAAATGATTTTAATAATAATAATAATTAAGGTCAAATGTCAAATAACAGTATAGCCAACGTTATAGATTTTTCATAACCCTCTAGACCATTTATTTATTTAATCGTTGTAATCGTAAAAATTATAAATTGATAACATATTGAAAATGTTGTTTAACTAGTATTTTACACGTACTCGTTTAAACTTGACGTAACGATAAGCGCAACTATTTTTCTATTTTAAAAGTGGACGCAATAACATACGCATTCTTTCGCCCTCCTAGATAACAAATATGCCTTCAATACTGTTAAAACTCGCGTATGCCTTCATTTGCATTTATTATGTGGTAATACCTTTGGGATTTGTAACAAAGTATAGATGAGAACTTTACTAAAAGTTTTTATTTTTTTGTGTTCTTATTTTTCTTCTTTTACTTATTGTAATTAGGTGGTGCTTTGGTGAGGAGCAGTTTGAAATGACCGGGAAAGCTTTAGTATTGGTCACTGGTGGTGCTGGCTATGTAGGATCTCATACAATAGTTGAATTATTAGAAAATGATTATGATGTTGTGGTCATCGATAATTTGGTTAACAGCTTTGCAGAGTACAATCAAAAACCCGAATCTCTCCTAAGAGTTGAACAGATCACTGGAAAGACTGTTCCTTTTTACAACATCGATATAAGGGATCGAGCTGCATTGGAAACATTATTTGAAATGGTAAATTAATTTAATAAAGTATTAATTTATATAATTACGTTTTATTTTATATTTTTAGTATAAATTTGATTGTGTGATGCATTTCGCTGCTTTAAAAGCCGTTGGAGAGTCTGTACAAATTCCCTTGACTTATTACCAGAATAATATAGCTGGATCAGGAACGTTATTTGAGGTTATGAGGACACACAATGTAAAAAAAATCGTATTTTCATCATCTGCTACTGTTTATGGAATTCCAAAATTCTTGCCAATAACTGAGCAACACCCCACTGGTCAAGGTTGCACAAATCCTTATGGAAAAACGAAGTATTTTGTAGAGGAAATTTTAAAAGACGTTTGTACTTCTGATCAGGTGAAGAAGGAACTAATTTTAATCTAAATAACCCTAATAACTTATATTGTTTCTAATACAAGGAATGGAAAGCAATAATTTTAAGATATTTTAATCCTGTTGGAGCTCATCCTTCAGGACTAATTGGAGAAGATCCTACTGGAATACCAAATAATTTAATGCCCTATATATCTCAGGTAGCCGTCGGTCGTAGAGATAAAGTACAAGTTTTTGGTAATGATTATGACACAGAAGATGGCACAGGCGTTCGAGATTACATCCATATAACCGATTTAGCAGCAGGTCATGTGAGTGCTTTAGCAAAATTTGATGATACCACCTTTAAAGGTTTCATGGCGTACAACTTGGGTACAGGGCGCGGTTATTCCGTGCTAGAAATGATCGAAGCATTTGCTAAAGCGTCTGGGAAAGAAATCAAATTTGAAGTTGTCGCGCGGCGACATGGGGACATTGCGTCAAGTTTTGCAGAAGCTTCGTTAGCTAAAAAAGAATTAAATTGGACGGCGACGAAAGACCTTGATAGTATGTGTCGGGATACATGGAATTGGCAAATTAAGAATCCCTTCGGATATCAAAAGGATGCATAGTGATTACTCCTTTAATAAATTATATATTGATTGTGTTTGATCTCATGATCCAAGTCAAAATTTTACTTTATACCTTCTATTTTTTATTAATTTCAAAGTTTACAATTAACTATTATGTAAGTCTAATAGCATATTATAAAATTAAATAATAAAAGAGAATTTAATCGAAGATGTCCTACATTTAATTCATTAAAATCAAGATTTTTAAAACTACATAATAACTCGCAATATACAGGTGTCCGCAAATTGCGTCTATATATTTAAAGAGATGATTCTACATCAAAGATCATGAAGAAAAGTTTATATAAAGTCTGGTCTGAAAATGCTTCCTAAGAGCGCACTCAAAAAGTAATAATACAACTTTTCTTGGAAACGACTACTATCCCTGCAAAAAGTCAAGGCACCTCACTTTAGAGATCGATATCTTCGTAACCGCTCCATGGAAAAAATTGCGGTAAAGTTTATTGTAAACAGTGAACATTTCTGCGTATCACATGTTAATTTGGAAATTTTTGGGTCCGCGGTTTTTCTTTTATTGTGAGTTAAGTGAAAAAAGTACCCGATTTTTGAGAGTGCCAGCAACTTTGTATACTTTGCGATTTTTTTCTCCAAAACTATTTGACGAAAAAATTTCAAATTTCAACTGGTGGTAAACCGATGTGTTGTTAATGTGGGGTATATTTTATTTTTTCAATATTCCTTATAATTTCGCGAAAAATCGCGGTTTAGTAGGATGCGGTTATTTCGAAAGCGACCTGGCGGATTTCAACGTGGTGTTCACCAAAATATGTCAAATAATGTCGGATTCCGTTATCAGTTTTTCAAAATTAAGGCTCCCTAATTTTTTAGAAGAGATTTAATGGAATTACAAATTGAACAGAAACAGAAATAAGCTATGCGGGGAGAGGAGGGCTCCGTCCAATCGGAACAGATGGTGTGTCCCAGACAGTACGTCTCGCCTTTATCTTACCTCTATAAAGAAATAAGGCGCGACGTCCTGTTTGGGACGCACCATCTGTTTCGATTGGACGGAACTCCCATTACCCCGCAGAGCCTATATCTATTTCTCTTTAATTTGTAATTCCATTAAATCGCAGTTAAAAAATTAGGGAGCTCTAATTTTGAAAAACTAATAACGGAATCGACGACAACCGACATTATTTGACATATTTTGGTCAAATCCGCGAGGAAATCCACTCAGCCGTTTTCGACATAACGGCGGCTTACTAAACCGCGATTTTCCATGAAACTGTATGGAATATCGAAAAAATTAAATATGCCACTCGTTAAGAACATATCAGGCTACCACCTGTTCAAAATTCAAATTTTTTCGTACGATAGTTTTCGAGAAAGAAAATCGCAAAGTTGTCGGTACCGTAAAAAATTGAGTACTTTTTTCGTTTAACTCGCGATAAAAAGGAAAGCGTGTATCCGAAAATTTTCAAATTTACATATGTTACGTAGAAATGTTCAGTGATTTCAACAAACTTTGTCGCAATTTTTTTTATCGAACGATTGCGAAGATATCGATCTCTAAAGTTTTAGACAATTTTTTAAATAGTACCTTTTTTATGTATTCTTTTCCACAGAATTGATTGATGCAATTAAAATGGCAGATAAAAAAAGTATAGTACTGTAAACGTGCCCCTACATCTTATGTTGGACCCCATAAATTATTTTTTTTTCTTTACACCAAATTTCGGCATTCTAAACCTTGTTGTTTTTGAGATAACGCTAAAAAAGTATGCCAGTATGGTTGGGCTCTAGCCATACTGGCATACTTTTCTCTATCTTTAAAGGGCTCTAGCACTCTTAGGACGTCTCTAAAGATGGCTGAACCCGAATGATTCTAGTTCTAGGTATAGTGTTAGTTCTAGTTTTACACTAGCACTGTTACTATGTAGAGTGTATCTTCAGAGACGTGCGGCTAAACCCAAATGATTCTAGTTCTAGGTATAGTGTTAGTTCTAGTTTTACACTAGCACTGTTACTAGAAATAATATTAGAACTAGAAACATTTGGGTTTAGCCATACGTCTCTAAAAACGGCTAAACCCGAATGATTCTAGTTCTAGATATAGTGTTAATTCTAGTTCTACACTTGCACTTTCACTAGAACTAGAAAGTTTACTGGGGAATTAATTCATAGATATAACCCAAAAAAAATCACGCAATTTGACGGTTCATTGTAAGCTTGTTTAAAAAATGTATTTCTCAGTAATCATTAAAGATAGAGAAACTAAATTTTACTGCCTTATTCAGAAATGATCAGCAAATTTAACACTGTTTGATATCTCAATTAATTTTTGAGAAATAAATTTGCGAATATAAAAATCCACTTCTAACCTTAAAAAAATGACAAATGCAGTGACGTTAGTCAAAGTATAATTGTCAATACTAGGGTAGCCAACCTGCGAAAATTTCTATGGTACTCTAGAGGTTTTATTTTTTATTGAGCTGTATATCACTGAATTTATTTACTAATATTGTGATGTGTTTCATGTCGATATTGTACTTTGAGTGAGTACATAACCTTACTTTATTCACTCTATTTTTACTTGTATAAATCTTACATATATGGTTAAGTTGTATAAACATAAAACCTTCGTGTTAATAAATATGGATTTAGATAGTTCTGTAGCTTTAGATTTAAAACCAATAGAATTAGATTATTATTGTGATATTAATTCAGGACCAATTTGTCGAGTTTGTTTAGAAAAATGTTTACCAAACAAAAGTGTGTGCAATATTTTTAGTGATATTAAACAGTTCAATAGAGTTTCTACAATGATCATGGCTTGTTCTAATGTACAGGTAAAAACCAAACAAGTTTTACTTTTAATTTTCTCATTTACTCTGTTTCTATGTTCTACAAAAGTTAACTGAAGGTGATGGACTTCCAAACCTAATCTGTGAAAATTGCATTGCCAAGTTAGATATCGCTTGGAATTTCAAGGTCCAGTGTGAAAACTCGGATTTAAAGTTACGACAAATTTACTCCCAACAACAATTAGAAAGTCATCAAAGCTTGGATAACTTTGCTATCGGATTAAGAAATGATGATTACTTCAATGTTAAATCAAATGAAGAATTTATTACAAATATGTCACAGATGGATGATATTTCTGTAGGAATTTAATTTTTTTTTTTATGAACAAGCCATTTATTTTTATTCCTTTTCATAGACAAACCAAGTTATTGATGAAAACAGCCAAAATCACACATCACTACAATTACTTCCAAGTAAAACTAAACTTCGATCACCGGCATCTAAACCAAACAAATTACAAAAAGAACTTAAAACCCACCAATGTGATACTTGTGGAAAAGTTTTTAATCGCAGAGAATATTTAACTCAACATATTAGAATACATACAGGTAAATAAGAGACGTTTTCATAACAATACTTTCTTGTAATTTAATTAATTTAAGGTGAAAAACCCTATAAATGTCACTTATGTGAACGAAGATTTGCTAACTCTGGCCATTTAACTACTCACATGAGAACTCACACAGGCGAGAAACCTCATTCATGTACTATGTGTACAAAAGCTTTTTCAACCCGTCAAGAACTTCAAAAACATATAATGGTAAGAAAATATATTATTTCAAAACTAGATATAAATCAAATAATTCGTTGATTTTAGGTACATAATGGAGATCGCCCTTTTGAATGCAAAATGTGCTCAAAAAGGTTTGGAAACATAAGTAATTTGTATTCGCATCTTCGACATCACACTGGAGAGAAGAATTTTACATGTGAACATTGTGGGAAAGCATTTTATTCTAAACAGGAGTTAAAACAGCACAGTGTTGTTCATACAGGGGAAAAACCCTTTTTGTGCCAATTTTGCAACAAACGATTTTCACAGCTGGGCCATTTAAGAAGACACTCCAAACTGCACAAAAGTTAATTATTTTTGCTTACCTTCACTATATTACAGTACATATTCGTTTCATTCAGGATTGTATAAGTTAAAAGAAGTCGCCTAACATGTTCACAACTCTATGTGTTCTTAAAGCAATTTGCTCAATTTGAATATTTTAATTTTTTTATTTAATAATACGTTATTATTTAGGAAATTAATTTGAAATAAAATTTATTTAAACGTGAATAAAATATTTATATAAACTTTTTAATAGGTAGAAAAATTGTAGGTTAACTTTGAAAAAAGATTTTTATAAATTAAAATTACCAGTAAATAAAGATTAAATGACCAAGAGTTTTATTTAATTTAATTTAATTTGCCCAAAAAGAAATATACATATAAAGTATATACATATCATATATATATATATATAGGGTACAGCATAGCTGATTACTAGAAAACTGGAAAACTAATTATGCGTTTAATGCGTTTAAACTATTATTATTTATGCGTTTAAGATTTCTTTTGTAGCCCCTTTTTTCTTAAAAAGGTAAATATAACCTAAAAATGTGGCGCCATCTATTTTTAGTTTTTTGAAATGTTACGTTAAACTATATTTTTGTTGAATAATATCATGTAAATGAAAATTATACGAAAAGACTTTTATTATTTTTTATTTTTGTCAAAATTTATTAATTACGCTACTTTATAGCACAAAAATAATAAAAATTAAATTTTTTAGTTAAATAATTTATGGCGCCATCTGTAAATTTAATTTAGCTTGACACATCCGACATTTAGGTTATGTTTTAAAAGACTTGTCTCAGTTTGTTGCTTTGTCATTGAAGTTGCAATTTTCAATACAATTTTATAACGTTCAGTAAGTTTTCAACGCATAAAAATGGCTTTGGCAGAAATATGCGGCCTCCAAGATTTCGATTCATGGAAAAATAAACACGAATTGAATATCGACATTGCTAATTTCAACCAAAACTTCCAAAATAACATGGAATTCGCTGTTCCGCCTACCTCTAACGTTAGTAGAATTTGATTTAAATGGAATTAATCATTATTAGTGTATATTAATTTTTAATTATATTCACAGCCAGCAGGTATGTTTGGAAAATTATCAAAAGATGAAACCGGGAAGGATATCAAAATACAATTTGATCATGGTACAACAACTCTAGGATTTCAATATCAAGGGGGAGTTGTTTTGGCTGTTGACTCTCGTGCTACAGGCGGAGCGTTTATTGGTTCACAAACGATGAAAAAGATTGTTGAAATTAATGACTTTTTATTGGGAACGTTAGCTGGAGGTGCTGCAGATTGTGTTTATTGGGACAGAGTCTTATCTAAACAATGTCGCATGTACGAATTAAGAAATCGGGAGCGTATTTCCGTAGCTGCTGCTTCAAAGCTTATGGCTAATATGGTTTATAATTACAAAGGCATGGGACTTTCAATGGGCATGATGATTGCTGGATGGGATAAAAGGGGTCCTCAGCTTTATTATGTTGATTCTGAAGGAACAAGAACACCAGGAAAAGTCTTTAGCGTTGGTTCAGGATCGATTTATGCTTTTGGTGTATTAGATGCCGGATATAATTGGGATATGAAAGATGAAGAGGCCTACGAATTGGGACGTAGATCAATTTATCATGCAACCCACCGTGATGCATACTCTGGTGGAATTGTTAGGGTGTATCATATGAAAAATACTGGTTGGGTTCATATTGATAATAATGATTGCATGGATATGCATTATAAATATTTGGAAGATAAAAAGGTTGCGGAAAATCAAATTGTTTAAATTTAGGGTTCTTTTTATAATTTAATGTGAATGATGATTTTGTAACGTTTAATAAAATTCAATTCAATCATTTAAATAATGCATTTCCTTTTTTTAAATTTGATATATAAATAATCAAGAAAATCGATATGTATGATTAGATAAAAGTACATTATAGTTCAACAGTGAAAGAATACTTATACAAACATAACAGTACTGATTTATACCAAAATGATGTGTTTTAAGTAGGAAAGCTGTATTATGTTTTATACCTAGTGGATTTTATTAAGAAAAATCGTCCTATTTTGACATTTTGTGATTTATGCTATCACTAGAAACTTGTGATAGATTAATATGAAAAATAATTATGGATTACGATTTCTTAATGCATTAGGAATATTTTTTATTCATAACGTTTTTCTTCATTGTTGAAGTTTATGTACAAGTGTCGCCATCTATGGAATCAATGGTAAATTAGAGTAAGCAAGAAGTAGTTAAATGAGTAAACTAAAATAAGTTAATGTGAGATTGTGTTAAAGTTAAGAAGATAATAATAATAAAAACTCAAAAAGGATATAAAACCACATCCATCAATTCTAGTACATACGTTATAGTAGTTGTATTATTTAGAAAAATCGTCCAATTTTTTGCAACCAACATTGTTATTTTAAATGGGATGCATGCATATATTTCTTTTGCATACTTTGATAGAGGATAAATCTCTCTATGCGATGAACATATCAAATCATATGGTTGTTTAAGAAAAAAATCGAAAAAAAAATGCGTTTTCTTATTCAATTTACAATCAAAGTAGGCGCCGAAATAACAAGGTTGACAACTTTAAATGTCAAAAAGATGACAGTTTCAACAATTATGAAAAAAAAGGAATTGTTTATTCAACGAATTTTTTATGTAACTCAAAAAATTTATTTCTTAAAACTAAGTCATTTCAACCCAATCTTAAAGTCGAAATTCCTTCCTAACTTCAATATCATAAGGATACTTCTCATTTAAAAAAGTAATTCGACACAAATTGGTTCTTAAAAAAATGCGTAAAAGCTAAAACCAGAACTAACACTAGACCTAGAACTGATCGAACCTAACTGTTCGAAGTGACTTAGAACTTGTTTCTCAAGAAGGTTGCAGCATGGTATCCAAAACATTAAACACTCTTTCAAAAGATGCACGACTTAACCAGAAAGTTTGCAGGTCTAATGAAGCTGTTCGTGAGCATGAAAAGTAAGAAATCAACACGGTACTCTTCTTTCATTCAAAGTCAAATTGAGGAAGTCGTATTTTAATTCCTATGTTATCAAAAATGTGTTTATGGTCAATATAGAGCCATCTATTAACAAGAATAGACTACAGAACTGTTCGGAACTACAGAACTCTTGAAGCACAACAGGCTTAATATAAAAACAAGCCGGCACCTCCCGCACACGACGAATAGAATGGCGCAAGCGCAGTTAAAAAAGTTGACCAATAAGTCAAACACAGCTGTATTTTACCTGTGAAAGCCCATGTATACATAGCCATGATATTTATGCCTTGAACAAGTCGGTCAACCCGGAAAAAAACCTATAAAAAACCATAAAAAAAACTTAAGTTGTAATCATTTAAAAGAATCATGTGATAATCGGCTTTTCAATCGGATAACAATAATAAATGTGCACAAAACCGTCAAATCTCGTCGTCATGTTTTTAAAGTTAAAGTGGCTCAATTTCTTTCTTCAATTGTGCATCGATGTTTTCTAAATGGGGAGTTCTGTTTTTTTTTATTGAAAACTAGATTATAAACATTCCCACGTTCAAAATGCGACTCTAAAAAAGGATTGTGCCATTTGGTGCAAGAAAGCTGTTGATTTCTTCTAACAGGATGGCCACAATGATGTACCCAACGTTATCAAAATCGCAAAGTATGCGTTCAAAACGGAAATCGGCCGTAGAACTCCTTGCGGAGAGTAAACCCTTTTATGTTAAGTCCGAAATTGTTAGAGATACAACCCAATCAATTCCAACGAGAACTATTCAAAGTTTTGGGTGCGGGTATGGAACTTATGTTAGAAGCAAATCGGTTAATGTTACTGCAACACATGGCACACATAATACTACCAATTATAAATCCACTACATTACCACAATGTAAGTACTTAAAAAAATAACTCTCCTATATTATGTCATCCATAACATTATTATGAATCATTAGATATGGCGGTTTCACCATCACGATCTCTTCCCCCAATATCTCATAGACGTTCGGTTCATTCAGGAACAAGTGATCTTCTTCAAAATAAGCTTAGACAGCTCTTGGTGTGCGACAGTGCAGAAGAATTGAGTGTAGAACAATTGGGTCCATTGAGTCCTCCCGCCGAGTATGCTCAAAGATGCCACAAAAGTCTTCCGGATCTTCATTGCAGGGCAGAACCAAGTTCCAATAAAAGTAGCAACAAGAGTTTGTCAAACAGGGATAGTGGTGGTTCAAGTGGACATTATACACAAAGAAGTGAACCTCCACCACCACCAAGACAGGTAAATATTACTTGTAAATCAAGAAAAAATTATCCTCTTATCTTGATCCTTATGTCTGATGGTGTTGGATAAATCTTTTTCCTATTTCTCCATCCATTTCTTCCACTCACTCCAGTTCCTGGCTAAATCCTTTATATCTGCTAGAGTCTTCCATCTCTTCTTCCCAACTTCTGGTATTCTTTCCTATCACCTTTTTTCCTTATCCTTATTCTTTGCTTCAAATATTTTTTTTACTATTGTGTTATGTTCCATTCTAATTATGTGGGTGTACCAGTTAAATTGCTTTCTCTCTATTGATCCTTGATCCTTATGGCTGATGGTGTTGGATAAATCTTTTTCCTATTCCTCCATCCACTTCTTCCACTCCCTCCAGTCCCTGGCTAATTCCTTTATATCTGCTAGAGTCTTCCCTCTCTTCTTCCCAACTTCTGCTATTCTTTCCTATCACTTCTTTTCCTTATCCTTATTCTTTGTTTCAAATACTTTTTTTTTTACTGTTGTGTTATGTTCCATTCTAATTATGTGGGTGTACCAGTTAAATTGCTTTCTCTCTATTGATCCTTATGCCTGATGGCGTTGGCTAAATCTTTTTCCTATTCCTCCATCCACTTCTTCCACTCACCCAGTTCCTGGCTAAATCCTTTATATCTGCTAGAGTCTTCCCTCTCTACTTCCCAACTTCTGCTATTCTTTCCTATCACTTCTTTTCCTTATCCTTATTCTTTGCTTCAAATAATTTTTTTTTACTATTGTGTTATGTTCCATAATAATTATGTGGGTTAGGTTGGGTTGGGTTGGGTACCAGTTTAATTGCTTTCTCTCTATTTTACTGATGAGAAAAAATTATATATTAGAAATATTTTATATATTTCAGGATACACGAAGAGATTCTGGTTCTAGTACACAACATAGTGGGGGAAGTTCTTATTTTTGCTGTCAAGAGACAGATTGTAGAGCGCGTTACCCTCAACCAATCACTAGTTTTAAAAGACAAAAATGTCTCCGTTATAAAAGGGACCGCCCGATTTTGCGATCAAAATCCGATATCAGCGATAGGTATTGGAGATCTGCGGAGCCCCCAGTGAGCCATCTGGAACAATTTTTTGAGCACCTCGGGCTTACGAGTGATAGTTTCGAGGATATGTTAAGCGATAGCAGATCCTCGGATAGTCCTGTCTTTTTCTCGGATGTATCCACCGTCGATTCAAGTCGACCCATCGATAACGTTGATCACTGCCAACCTCAAGCATTGAGGCCAAGCGAGCCCCCATCCATTGTGGAACGCAACGCTCGGATCATTAAGTGGTTGTGTAACTGTAGGAAGTCGCAATTATCATGAAGAAAAGAAGGTATATGAATTGAACGAAGAATTATTTCTTTTTTTTTATTAATGTTTCTTCTCATTTGTATATTGTGATATAAAAAAGATATTATTGATTCTGGAATAGTTAAAAATCGTTATTGTTGATTGGATTTTTTATTTTGATATTAATAGTTTAAAATTAAAAAAAAATATAAATTTATTAAGAAAGATTTAAAAAAATGCCAGTTTTGCACAAATTACTTACAAATTGGTGCTTTAATATTGAAATATATTTCTTAAATCATCATGTTAAAACAAGATATTGTTTTATATTGAAAAAATAAATTAATTTTACATTATAATTTATTGTTCAAAGAAATTGTCGAAATTTATTTACGTGATAACGCGAATATCTTAAATTATACACTTTTATATAAAAAGTTAGATGTTAAAACTAAAAGTATGGAACATGTTATATTAAATGATGTACTCTACGAGAATATTCATTGCCAGGTGTGTGATGAAACGTTCATATTGAGTTATAATCTTCTAAATCTATCTGTTACATACCGGGAATTTCATATAACTCGCAATATATGAATGCAATAACCATAGTTACGAAACTACTATGCACTGTCCCACATAAAATGCAACATAGCGTAATAGTACAGTCCAGAGATCTGTAGCGAATGGCTCACGTAGTGCATCATATTCGCTGATTCGTTGCTTGAGTGTTGCCTTCATTCGTCAATAGTTACTGTGAATCATGTTGTATGGTGATCTTTCTTAAGTTACTGTATTGTCGACTTCCCATCACATTGGAAAACGAGGATTATCAAGGTTTATTCCAGGGAATTTAGATAATTTTAGACACATTTTGACAATTTTAAATTCAATTTGATAATTTTAGGCAATTTTATAAAATTTTTCAGTTTTGAACAAGTTTAAACAATTTTAGACAAATTTTGCACTTTTAAATCATTTTGAGCAACTATACATTTAGCCGCCATTTAGCCTCACGTCTCTAAAGACGGCTAAACCCGAATGATTCTAGTTCTAGGTATAGTGTTAGTTCTAGCGACAGTGCAAGTGTAAAACTAGAACTAGCATTAGACCTAGAACTAGAAACATTCGGGTTTAACCGTGAGTCTCAAGGCGGCTAAAAATGATCCTAGTTCTAGGTCTTGCGTTAGTTCTAGTGATAGCGCTAATGTAAAACTAGAAGTAACACTAGAACTAGAAACATTCAGACATGTTGCATTTTATGTGGGATAGTACGCCCTGGTTTCTATGGAAATATATTTTTGTATATTGCATTTTAAGTGAAATTCCCTGTATAAACAATATTTTGAATAAAATCATAAAATCAATTTAACGATTTATGAATTAAGTAATAATAATTTTTCTTAATTTCTTGCAATATTAAGGTGATGTCAACCTTTTTGGAAATTTTATTTTATTGAACACACTATATTAATCAGACTTTATAATCTAAGAAAGAAACAATTTATGGAATTAATTCACCGAAGTATTATATATCACGTAGACGTTATTGGCTATAGAAGACAATCATTCACATTGCAATTGAGTTAATATTCCTGAATCACTCTCAAAGTACATGTACATTAAAAATACGATGTGTCCACATCGTATATGGTAACGACAAAAAGCTTACTCAATATTTAACATATAATTTCGTAAAAAGAATGATAATATAAAATGTGACAATAATTTCGATTGTACTCAATTCTCATTCTTCTAATCTTTTTCATCAATCTTTAAAGTATTCTCATTTTTTTACATACTTTTCTTATTAACCTAAAATCTGTGATCACATTGAAATTCTTTTTTCTATTTAATTCTATTTTTTAAATTTATCTTTAATAAAAGCTTTAAATTATAAACAAATGTATTTATTTTTGTTGTAATTATTTAATTTTGTCGATTTAAATTGACGAAAAAAGTAGACTTTTTGCTATAATACTGAATTGAAACGATACATTCTCGGATTTGCAAATAAAGTACGTTGTACCACTATGTGTAGTTTTCTAGATATGTGTCTCTGTATCATTTTACGTAAGTTATGAACTAGCTTAACATATATTTGATAAGATGTGTGTTTTACGGTAATTATATCTACATATACGCAATGTAGCCCTACTTTGAGTGTGGTGTGCACGTGAATTATATGCCTAAATACTAAGTTCATTATTATAACTAATTAATAATAACAATAATCCACTTAAAAAGAAAATAACCAACAAATTACTCACAAAAATTGTTTGGTTATTACTCAATAAGATATTGTTGTAGTTAAAGGGTTTAGACGAACAACGTTCTTATACTTTGGCTTTAATTATAAAAAGAAATTTCTTTTCTAATAAAAGAACATTGATTGTTATTCGTCTGAATTATTCAATTAAAAAAGTTATTTTTGTTTGGAATGCCCTTTTTATAAACGATCCTGTGTGTATGTATATGTATATCTAGTCTTGTACTTAATTATATCATATGTACGCGTTACGGTTTATGATTCTTATAAATAATACATTATTACACATTTTGTTGTTTGATTTCTAACCAAAAAATTTTTTTTTTGATTTTCGCAATGTTTTGACTTCTTTTTGGTATCATTTTCCTTCAGCTCATCCTGGAACTCAATAAATAAGTAAATAAGTTTTATACCTATTTTCACCACTATATAATGCTCTTAGACTGATAAAGTCTTCACAATCTGAAACTATAGCGAATATGAATATTGCTTCGCAAACACTAAAGAAGAGGAGGAAGATGTTTTGAATGCAAGTAGAAGACAAAAGGAGATTGTTCAATATTCTCATATTAAATTTGCAGGAAAACCACATCCATCAAAATACAAAACCTTGTCAGTTATTCACTTCTGAACCTCTTTCTATGTTTCCATGTTATCTGTCATAGACCACCTCAGACCATCTGCTTCCCGCAATTCTCTTTATGTCGTCTATCCAATCGACATTGCAGCTCCGCAACTCGTGTTATTATGTCCATGACGGCAGTTATCTGGCGGCTATCTTCATTTCTGAATTTGCGCTCTCTGCATGACTTTCAACTGTTTTGCACCTTTTTGGTCATCGACATGGTTTTCAATCCTTAGGTCAACACTGGTAGTACGCATGAGTCGTATATTCAGTTTTAATTTGCCAAAGGCTGCCCATGTCAGTTGTATTCTGAGCTTTATCTCAGTTATCTGATCTTCTTTGCCCATCTTAATGGCATGTCCTAGGTAAATATATTCCCCTACACTTTCTACCTATTCGTTGTCTATGGTGATATTTTCGGCGGTGTTGCTGATTATTTCTGTTTTGCTAAACTTCAGTTTCATTGACTCAGTCTATCGTTTTGAAGCTCATTAAACCAATTAGCAGCAGAAATGTTACTAGTGACAATTTTTCCACGTGTTTTTGATTCCTGATAATAAAATGTAGAAAAAACATCTTATTTTGGAACGGCCAAAATTAGAGACTTTCGACAGCCTCATGAGTTAAAACCGCCAAGTAAAGTATTGCGCAGCTAACAGAACAATCAGACTTTGCACCCAGTATAAAAAATATACATGCGGAAGATACTTAGTAGAGCACAATCAACTGTAAAAAGTGTGGTATTGAATAAGAACATATTCTTTTATGATTAGGGTGTCAAAAAACACATGGAATAGGTATATACAAAATCATGGTAGAAATAAGATTAAAATCCTAATTTAGATATTTATAATATTCCCCGAAAAAAATACCCATTTGACTCATATGATATTATAATAATGCATACATGTTAATAAACAGTGAAAATCATTGTGCGCAAGTCTTATGTAGAAATAATTGTGGCGGTGGCGCCATCGCGGAGGAAAACAATATCTCCCATCGGGCCAGTTCGGTCGGACATGTTCGATTTATTCGTTCGTTTTGCGTTAGTTTGAGCTGCGAGTGTTTTTTTTTTTCACTGCAAGAAAGGAACGTCGAGTGTTCCGCTAGGTGTTTTAGTGCATAATTTTGGGTTGGGTGGCCCCGTTCGGCGAGCGGTTGCGGTGGTCTCAAGGGATTCCTTCAGAGTCAGTCGATTAACTGTCAAAGCACAGTCGGAGAGGGTGTATCAAATCGCAGCCGCCGTGATCGTGGTCAACCCGATTTCTTTGGGTGAAAATGATCGGTGTGTCAATGAATAAAAAAGCTTAAAAAAGGTCGCGAATAGGGCTTGGTTCCAATGGCTTAAAGATAAAAGTAACCGCTAAGTGCTTTGGAGAGAGATTTTCCGAGTGCGTGTCGCGCGCGCGCGCGCTCGCGGTTGTGTGTCTGTGTGGGAACGTAACTGGTTGTGTTGGAGGAGAGAGTTACTGGCCTGGGCCAGCCATTTTTGTGGAGGTATTTTCAATTTTTGGATGAGTTTTGTGTGTGTGCGTGTGCATTTACAATTTTTCAAGTGTTTTATGGCGTCAACATTTTGAAGGTTTTACCTATATTTAAAAAGTAAGTTTTTTTCATATTTATATCGCTGTTATTAAAACGTTAGTATTACAACATTTTTTTCTTTTAAAATTATTCATTAAATAACTAAACGTCCCGTTCTTTCAATTAAAAACTGAAACACAATCTGATTCTGACAGCTACTTGTCAAACATTTTTTCAATTGTTTTAATATTTATTTATTACTTTTTTTAATTACATGTTATATTATTGAACCGTTTTATCAAATTACAATCAATTTATCAAACTTATACACAGTTTGCGTTCCTTATTCATAACCAAATGTTATTTGCAAGTTTTTAATACTTGAGTAATCAGCTGTTGCTTATGTTAAACGTCAGGTGGTTCTTTTAATTGATTCAATTTTAACTTGTACAAACCTATTTTATTTAATAAAATAAAATCATTTTTACTTTGTAATGTATTTTTCAATCAAATTTAAAAAAATAACTTAATTAAACTCGAAAATTTAGTTTTTTTTAATTGGTACATAACCTCAATTTTTAATTTTTATATAATACCAACTTAAAAAATAAAATCAAATTTTTTTCAATTAGATTTCCCAATCTTGGTCCATCATTATGGTAACCTCCGCAACTTTAATAGTCCTCTTGAAACAAGAACCGTCGCCCCAATAATTCTTCGTTTCGACGCGGGTGTCGATTTAAAAGTGCGACGGACACGAGTAGGGCAGCCACGGTGGCGGCGGCGGGCCCGGCGGAGTGCGGCGGCCCCGGCGCCGCCGAAAAGGGAGCCGGATGTTGGTGGTCGTCCCTGACGGCGATGGGTTGTTTTGGAAATCGGGATGCTCAACCGCCGGCCGGCGGCGCGGATGACTCCAGAACGCAGAAAAGAATCAACAACCAAATTAACCGGCAGCTTCAAAAGGACAAACAACTTTATAGGGCCACGCATCGTTTACTGTTGTTGGGTGCCGGTGAATCCGGAAAATCAACAATCGTCAAACAGATGAGAATTTTGCATGTCAATGGGTTTAGTGATCGAGAGAAAATGCAAAAAATTGAGGACATTAAGAAGAACATAAGGGACGCTATTATTGTAAGTTAACCTGTCTAACCTACAAATTTAAGTTTGACCTGTCAAATTTCAATTTGCCAACTTAAAAAAACAACAGATTTTCTATGACACTTCAGAATTTTTATTTTATTACACTTCTGATTATTATGTTTCAAGTACCATTAGTTTTTAAGTGTCCACTTTGTTTAGAAATGGAGATACTTTTAAAACTAAATTTGTGTTTTGGATTTGATCTGAAGTGTTGTTTCATATTTTTGTAGACGATAACGGGCGCGATGTCCACGTTATCGCCTCCCGTGCAACTGGAACATCCTGAAAACCAAGCGCGAGTCGATTGGATTCAGGATTGCGCATCGGGAGCAGACTTTGATTATCCTCCTGAGTTTTATGAGCACACGGAGGCCCTATGGAAGGATAAGGGTGTCCAGGTATGTATTGACACAACATTTTAGTTATTTTTTTAGGATGTGTTAAAAGTATTGACTTCTACAGACTAACTAATTTATGTTAAGATTCATTTTGACATTGGTTCTATCTTATCTACTTTGTACAAAACAGTATACTTCTGTCCCTTTTAATTTAGACTTTCTGACAGAGAAAACAAAAACTCCAGTAAAGGTGTCTACTTTTGCGCTCGTTGCAAATCATTGTAAATTACACAACTATTAACTACAGATACCATCATCATTTACAAGACTTTCATTCCATATCCCACATCTGGTCTGTGCGAGATGCATTCCGCCCATTATTTCATTGCAGAAAACAATTACAAGTTTTGTTAGAGAAGAAACATCTTCTCTTTTGCCAGTTTTGTGTTTTCCTTCATACTTGTTATTTCATGGCTGTGGTAGTTACACAACAAGCTTGCTTGTTTTTGAGCTTGATAGATTAGACAAAAACTTAATCATTTTGGTTTTATCAACATTGTTGGTGTAAAAAATCTGTCAGATGCCAAAACCAACAAAAAAATATCCCCTCCACATAATATATTTTACTGCGGAATTCTGCAGTGTTTTAGCATAGTTAAAATAGACTTTAGATATGAGAAATAAATATCTGCGTTTAGATAGTAAATGCTGCAGATGATGTAGTTGTAAAATTACGTGAAATACGTTTCATGTAACAATATTTTTTGTACGTTATTTCTGCCAAAACGGGACAAATTAAGTACAATGGTTAGCATGGAGTATGTGTTGGGATTAATATGTCCTATTATTTAGGTTAAATTTGGATCCAGGAATTGTGTCTAACTTTTGTTAGTTTATACGTCAGAACTGTCAAAATCATATGGAGAAATTCATGCGTTGCGTTCTTGCTTTTATTTTGTAAATTGAAAATGAAATAAAGGTGGATAATCAACATTTTAGGTTTATGTGGGATTTATCATAACCGATTAGTCCCTATCTGCTTAGAATTGTAGCAGTAAAATAACTCGAATATGTATAAAGTCAGTTCGACTAAAAATTCTTTAATTTTGTTTTCTGCTAAACCATTATTCTGGATTGATTACCTATTTATATATGTAGATTTTTAGAATAAATGTATATTATATAATATATGTTAAATGGAAATAACAACAAAATAACGAAATTCCATCAAGCATTCTGGAACAAATTACGAATTTTACAACTGTATTTTTCCGTTCAATGTGGTGAAATGAACAAATTTTTATTACTTATCTTACATTCCTTCTTTTAGAGTTTACAAAAAATCGCACAAAAACGTGGTGTTTGTAACAAAGTTTTACTCAAAGTATTTCGTTTTAATCACAATACATAAAGATAGTAATATAACAACATTTAATTTAATCTATAAGTGGGAATGTTGTTTAAATGAGCTATTAAAGTATGGTAAAGTTGGTATTAGCCTCGCATAGAAGTGTTTCTGACTGTAAGTTTTCGTGTCGCAAATACACACTTCAAAGCACGTCAGGTGTAATTACCTCGCAAGTACTTACTGTTTGTTGCATCATGTTTTCGATAGATAAAAAGCAATTGGCAAAGGTCCGATCGAAAAATTTTGTTGACATCCAGTGATTACTGTCGTGTTGAACCCGTTCTGCAATATATTGATGAGGTTTTCCTGCAATCTTGGTTGTTCCCCTTGAAGAAAGTTTCGATATTTGACATCAGTCAAAATATTGCCAAATATGATTCTGATTATTATTGAAAAAATGATTCGATAAGTTTATCGTCAATAATTCCACACAAAAGTTTAATCGATCAAGGCCGCTGATAAATCAATTCACAAATTCAGCGTGAGTTGAACATTCCAATACTGCATGTTATGGCGGTTAACGTCATCGTGGATCCTAAATATTGACTCATTAAAGAACTAAAGAAAAAACTAAAAAATAGTAAATAGGTTTATTCGTATTTGCTCAACTGCTCATTAACAAAACGTTACTTGGAATGGAGGTCATTGCCATACAAATGATAATGCATGGATACATGATATGTATGAACGTTTATCTTTCTTGGATGGGCTCCTTTCAAACACAAATTCTGTTTAGAACTTTTGTTGATTTTTTTTCAATCGCCCGGTTCCCATTGTATTGGCTGAAAACGACTTTTTTAGAACAAAGTCAAACCTGAAGTTGATTTTTTTTGTTCTCTATTTTGTTTTCTTAAAGCATTATTTATGGTAAAATTTAATTTAACATGCAATTGCAAGTTTAGTGCGATAAAATGATAAAGTGCGATAAAAAGCTGTATGATGTAGGCAAAAATGATTAGATATTAAAATTTATAGTAAAATTTCGCATCATTTAGTACAATTAAATTTTCCGATCCTTATCTGGCTATAATTATTGAACTCTTACGGGCAAACATTACTAGTTCTATGAACGCGGCGTTCTCAACAATTACATTGAATTAAGTACCGAATAGCCGGAAAAAGAGAAAGCTTGGTGATTCCCAGAAACACTATACTATACTTTGACACCACGTACGTATCAGGATATGCACTGATCAGGAGAGAAACGTTTACACCAACATTACAAGTACCAAGGTTCAATGACCTCATGATATTATAAGGGTTAATATTAATTGGTGGATACTGAGAAGTAGAGAAAGAGATTAGAAGTAGGTACATTTCATTGCCTCCTTTCGCAGTATTGCAAAACATAATATAACAAAATTTCCTGTTTATCTTGCCAATTATTTTATAACAAATTGACAGGTATTATAAAAAAAAAGAGTGTAGACGCGTATTATAAAAACTTTGTAATAAGTAAAAGTAACATATTTGAACCCCAGTATATTCCCCCATATAGCAAACAAACCCAATCGATTCGAACCCTAATGCTTGATTGAAAGGTTATCATTATAGTAAAATTCATAGGAATTTTATCGAACACCAAAACAATTTTAACCCATTTGATTAGGAATAAAAAAAAATACTGTTTCGATCCGAAAGTTATCGAACGTTTAAATTGATTATTCCCGATTTAAACCGTTAGATCAGAGGATAATTTGTACATTTATGGCATTATTTCTCCATCAAATATAAAATGAATCACTTTTTGTTATGGAAAAAAGTCACAATTTTAGATTGTGTTAAACATGTCGGATTATTATAAAACAAAATGAAACAACTCTAAATACGTTTTAGAAAAAATTATGTCCAGATGTAGTTGGAGTTGACAATCTTAGATTACCATTCGTGCATGAATATTCTATGATAATGGAACTGACACATATTATACAATTTCGTGAGACATTTTCGGTGAGAAAGATATTGCTGCATTAATAGTGGACGCAAAATGGAATGAGGAAGATTTAATTAACATGGTTAACAAATTAAATTGTGAAAATGATTCATATGAAGAGCAGTCGGAACCAATTGGTTCCACAGCTAAATTAATCCGCATAGGAGTTCAATTAGGATAGAAATTAAATAACCATTTTATGCAAAATGATCGTAATGAGGAATGAGCTTTCCGGTTTCAGAGAGATATTAATAAATGTTTATCTCAATATGAGGAGGCCTATAAAAACATAACGGTTAATTACAGGATTCATTGTGAAAGGTGATTAACCTAAAATTGTTAATCTTACATTTGAATCAAATCAAGTAGAAATAAGCAAGTAGTAGATTAATACTCTATGAGAGTGATTTCAGTTTGTAATAACTTCTAGTTACTTAATTGTAGTTTCATGTTTCTATGTGTATAATAAATTTTATACCTTATTAGACCTTACTATTAATTTGTTATCTATTTTATTAATAAACTGCCACCATTATGTATTATTACTATTATTGCTGAGGGGAGCGGCCCCTCTCGTCACCGCGACCTATAAGATCTATTGTAACTTAATGAACCTTAGTATTGCTCCAAGGTCTTGTTCCTTTATGTTGGTAGATGTCAAAAGAGTTTTACCGAAAATTTTGTGTCTGAGGCGGCCTCTGACAACGCAATTACACAGTATACATATATTCAGCCGTTTCTGACTCGTCGTTGCAAAATCGACAAGTTTGATCCTCAGCTTGTGTAATGTGGAAAAAGAGTTATTTTAGGGGCGCATGGCCGGTCAGGAGAGCGTCCTTAGATCCCCTTTGGTGAGGCTTAAAATCTCTTTGGATTTGTTTTGCGACGGAGGTATTATACTCTTTGCTTATCTGTGACCTGGATGTTCTTTCTAGTGTAAGGCTATCTTTGTGGCCTCCCAACTGTTGATTACTTGTTTTAGAAGGCTTTTTGTAGTCCACGGGTTTTGGTTCAATAAAGAGCGTTTTCGCTACCTCTTTGGCCAGCTTGTTCGCCTTCTCATTGCCCTCAATATCTCTGCGACCTGCAACCCTCCTAATAGAGTAACATCATTGCCCCTAGCGAGTTCTCTCAGGTTGCTAGTACACCTTGTGATCAGTGCGGAGTCACACGTGTAGGCTTGAATTGTCTTTAGGGCGGCCCGACGGTCTGTTAAAATATTTATGGATCTATGTTTTTGTCCCTTTTGTACATTCAAAGCGGTGCTGAAGTTTATAGCAAGTACTTCTGCTTTAAAAATGATTATGTCCACCCTTCGTAGAATCATCCCTGCTTCAATCATTATGTATTTGAAAATACTTATACTTTTTATTTTCGTCCCAATATTAATTTATGTTGAAATAAAATCTGAATGAGGCATATTTTAGACTATTTTCGATTTAAATGACTGAAATTATGAAAATCTGTGATATCAATTCACACATCTTTTATGCAAAACTTTGTAGACTAGAAGTTTTTGAAACTATAACAGTTCCCTAAAAAACAGTGTACACATGGATGAAATTTTAAATTGTTATTACAATGTAATTTTTTAAGTATAATTTAAATGTGTACTATTTTTGATTTAAAGTAATAAAATTAAAACAAATTGATAAAAAAAAACGTTAAAATAATATAGTGAAACTATTTTAAGTCGTAAAAATAAAACGTTTGTACGTCAACAATTCAAATTGCCAAATAGCAGGTGCGTTATACTATTAAAAAGTTACACATTTCTACGAAACAAAAAGAAATCTATTTATACCATCTATTCATTAACTCACTATCTTTTGCTCGTCATTGGATGGTCGAATAGAGAGAACAATTAAAAACTTTGCGAATAACTTTCATAAAATACCCTCTTCGTCTGTGAAATGGTGGTGGTGATGTATTTATTATTGCGAACCGGGCGTAATCAAAACTTAAATACTAAAAATACCATACGAAATCGATTAGGAGTGCCTTACGTACAGCTAAAGATAGCTACAAGTCGCGATACAGAGACGAAAATAGAATCAGAAAATCTAATAATGTACATGTGTCTGTTGTGTTTTTTATTTATCTTTTTATTTTTAGTTTTAGATAAATCCCATTTAACATTAACTACATCTCAACTAAAAACACAATAAATAATTTTAAAATTCAAAATTAAACGAAACTTTTAAATTAAATTAGTTATTTATGCTTTAAAAGATGATTTAACGGTCATTTCTAAGAAATTCGAGTGAATTTGAGTAGAATAGCTTGGTAGTTACGCTAATGGACGTGCAAATGTAAACAAGTATATGTGTGTGGATTGAGTAACTTGAATGGTCATTAAATGTTGAAATTTATTATTGGCAATTAGAGCACCGTTATTTATCCGATTTTATTTATTATCTGAGGAAGAGAATCGATTAGATATTATTAATAAATATTGTATATTCAATAAAATAAATGAGGACCATGATTTTATTAATTTCAAGTTTTAATAATTTTTGACGTTAATTTAAACGTTTTTTTTTTATTATTTTTTTCTTTTAGGCAACGTTTGAAAGAAGTAATGAATACCAATTGATAGATTGCGCCAAATACTTCCTTGATCAGGTGAACATTATCAAACGATCCGATTACACGCCCACAGAACAAGATATTCTTCGCTGTCGTGTACTTACTAGCGGTATCTTCGAAACCATCTTCCAAGTTGATAAGGTTAATTTCCAGTAAGTTCAACATTATAAAATTAATTTTATTTTATTGAATACAAATGGTTTTTTATGTTTCGATTTTAACCTTTTCTTTAAGTATGTTTGATGTGGGCGGTCAAAGAGATGAACGCCGCAAATGGATCCAGTGCTTCAATGATGTAACTGCGATCATCTTCGTGACGGCGTGCAGCTCCTATAACATGGTCCTTCGCGAAGATCCAACGCAGAATCGATTACGGGAAAGTTTGGACCTGTTTAAATCGATCTGGAACAATCGTTGGTTACGTACAGTTTCGATCATCCTCTTTCTTAACAAACAAGATTTGCTCGCTGAAAAAATCCTCGCAGGTATGTATTTAAACAAATTAAGTTAATTTTTGTTTACGGTCTTAAGATTTTGATTTAATAACGTCTTAACAAAAGTTGCATATTAAGAGAAATATTACTGTTAAAAACTTCATTTATAGTTTTTATTTTTTTATTTTTAAGTGGTGATTAAGCGAAACATTTTTTTTTATTTTCTTTCGTGGAATCCACTTTGCGCTATTTGTTCATCAAAGTTATCGTCGAGTTGTTGAGCGCAAAGTTTCGCTTGACGTATCCATGAATTGGCATTATTATTACTCTATTACTCCTCGGTCTTGTCGTCGAATTATCGTTGCAGCTGCTTCAACGCGGTTACGAAGATTATCTAAATTAATTATTTCGTTGGTGTATACCATGGTCTTCATAACATCCCGTAAATATCAATCAAGGTGCTTAAAGTTGGGAGACCGAATAGGCCGAAACGTTGCAATCTAATGATAAGTTTCGGATTGATTTAATGATCAGTTTCGGGGTTGTATGTTGGTGTAATCATAGTTACGAAACTACTATGCATTTGCACTGTACGATATAAAATACAACATAGCTTAATAGTACAGGCATTGGATAGTTTTGCAAAGAAAAAGTTTTGCTTCGAAAAAGGTCAAACATTTAGGTCTTTATGACAACCCTGCGTTTTCGGCCGTCTTAAGACTAGAATGTTTCTCGTTCTAGTATTACTTCTAGTTTTAGCGCTACCTCCCACTGTCACTACAACAAACAGAAGTAGAAACATTTAGGTTTAGTTATCTTAAGAGACGCACAGCTAAACGGAATGTTTCTAGTTCCAGGTCTTGTGTTAGTTTTAGTGATAGTGCTAGTGCAAAACTTGTTAAGTGTGAAGATTGCTTCATAAGTTGCCAATACAATTGAAAGAAAGTTTGAAATTTCAGCATGTTTTCAGTAATTGTAAAAGGCATAATCTTGAGGTTGGGTTGGGTAAAGCCTGTACTTTTTATGCAAGATTACAATTGATTCTTGCGCAATATTCCTAAGACAATACGATTTGAGACATCTACCTGGCGAGATATTTGTCGAGTGCTACTAGAAGGATCTTCTTTGACATGATTTAAGATTTCTTCTTCGGCATCTAAATTCGTTGGTGTCGGCCATGTGTCCACTATACCGACCTTGGCTAGTTTGAAGTTTAGTCGAATGGGTGTTAGTCAGTAAGGAAACATCAACCTGCAGTAGCAGCAGCTATCTGGCGTACTTCTCCATAAATTAACAACATCTATTCACTGTTGGTTCGATGGACCATTTTTCTTCTCTTATTATACTGCACGGACAATGAGATGTGTTTGGTTATGATGGGGAGTAATGCTAGTTGCTGGTAGGTGGAGGCGATGGGTTGGGTTAAAACCAAAAAAGTAGTGAAAAAGAAAGAAACTTATCATATGGCAAATGGCTGTAAGGTTTGGATGATGAAAGACGAGGATAAACAAAGAGTTGGCGCAGAGTGCCCAAGAGTGGAGATTAGTATCTCTTTTAGGTGTTGGACACTGCAGATAATAATCAAGTTCAACCCCAATAGGACTGTTTTCATTGAATACAATTTTATTTATATCAGGTTTGTCTTTAGCAACCTCATTGTAACAATCCCAATACGGTATATAAAATCTCTTGTTACAGTTTCGTCTAGTTTCCTTCTCTTCGCTTGTAATTCATCATCACATTTATTACTAACAGAACTGTCGCTGTTATCACTTTCGATTATTAATTAAAGTATCCTCTTCTTAATGCAAAAAGCCGTTTTGAAAAATCACTTTTAGTTTTTGAGAAAAAATGTTTGAAATGATCGACAATTTTTTCGAATTTTCCAATTTTCGCCGATTAAGTTTTAAAAATTCGTATAAAATGCATTTTTTGGAATATGAGTATGAAAATTTCCCAAAGTATTGATAAGAGTGTCCTTTTTCCAATGAACCAATACGTTTTGAAAAATAACTGTTAGTTTTTGAGAAAACAATATTTGAAGTTTTGATAAAATTTTCGATGTTGCAATTTTCATCGATAACGTTCAAAATTCGCTATAAAATTCATTTCTTGAAGGATCCTTGTGAAAATATCACCAATTGTTAATTAAAGTATCGTCTTTTAAATGCAACAAGCCGTTTTGAAAAATCACTTTTAGTTTTTGAGAAAAAATTTTTTGAAATGGTCGACAACTTTTTTCGAATTTTCGCCGGTTAGGTTTTAAAAATTCGTATAAAATACATTTTTTGGAATATGAGTATGAACATTTCCCAAAGTGTTAATAAGGGCGTCCTCTTTCCAATGCAGCAATATGTTTTGAAAAATAACTTTTAGTTTTTGAGAAAACAATATTTGAAGTTTTGATAAAATTTTCATCACGGTGCCGTTCAAATCAATATGGAACAAGAACCTTCAGGAAGTTGAAATAATTCCTCGTGATTCGGCATTTAGTTACAGTACTTATCCACCACAAAACACTCCCCCATCTGTGACGACCTCACCAGAACTAAGTAACGTCAATACAGTGAACTACACATTAATTTCACTTTTTCACAACTTTCAATGATAAGATTGATAAGTGTTGTGCATACCAAGTATGTATGTACCACCTGCTTACTTTCAATGCAAAATTGAAGGGATTTAATGAAATAGCTCATTGGATAAAATGAAGATATAAATAAAAACTATAAAAACTTACCTTCATGTAGTCTTGTAGGACATATATAAAAGCTTCACATGTGATAGAAGCCTTTATTGAAGATTGCAGGTTTCTATTACAGCTTTCCAGGTAGCTGCTGGGGACATTATGACAGAAATTTTCAAGTCTTTAAAATTTCTTCCTGTGGCCAAGTACCTCAGGGTTAAGGCTAATATTTCCCTAACACTTGTACTTTCTCTCATATTGCTATCCTGTCTTTTCAAAAATGGTTTAACCATCTGTAACAGATAGTTTTTGAAATTATCAACATCGCAGAGACTGATTTCTTTCAACAGTAGTAGATGAGAATATTCATCTATTTTAATTGATAACTTTCAAAATTCTCTATAAAATTCATTTCTTGAAGGATCTTTGTGGAAATATCGCCAATTATTAATTAAAGTATCCTCTTTTTAGAGTTGCTTCGTTAGTTAAATCAACATCAGAAAAGTTCATTTTTTGAACTTTTTTTTTTGAAAAAGTAAGGACATTAGAAACAGAAATCAGCACCGGAAGTTGTCATACACAGGGTTAATAAGAGAGGTTTGAGATGATTTGGTCATCTGCTACGCATGGAAGAGGAGAGATAGCACAAATTTAATATAGCACCTGGACAAAAAAAATGGGGGCGTAAGGAAGATCATAGTGCAACAGGCCATGAGAGCCTCTTAATATGCAACTGTTCTTAAGACATTTTTATATTAATGACCTTTTAAAATGTTCAACACTTTGAAATAAAATCACAAGAGCATAAACACCTGTATATATTTTTAAAATTGTTTGACAAATGAAAAAAATCGTTATGCTTTTATTACTTAATTAAATAACATTGTTTTTTGTATAGGAAAAAGTAGATTGGAAGAATACTTTGCAGAGTTTGCTAATTATGAGACTCCAGGAGATGCTCAGAATGAAAGTAAGGAACCGCCGGAAGTGATTAGAGCAAAGTATTTTATACGTGACGAATTTTTGGTGAGTTTTCCTTAATATGTAGAAATAAGTTAAAAAAAAAATGAGTTGTATAACGAAAGATATTTTTTTGTATCTAGCGTATAAGTACGGCCTCGGGAGACGGCAAACACTACTGTTACCCGCATTTTACCTGCGCCGTCGACACCGAAAACATAAAGCGGGTGTTCAACGACTGCCGCGACATCATTCAGCGGATGCATCTCCGCCAGTTCGAGCTCTTATAACCGCCCCCGTTAGTCGCAGCCAGGCTCCTTCTGGCCACGGGACCGCATAAAGCCGCTAGAAAAACCGCTAAGACCGCCAAAATCATCATCGTCGCCGCCGCCTTACAACAACAACAACAACAACCGCGCACACAACAACACAAACACACATGTCATAATTCCCCCGAAAACCGCACCATATTTAGAAAAATTACAATGAAAAAGAAACAAAACAAAACTCCAAAGACAAAATAAATTAATAAGTGACAAATTGACAAAATAATAGTTGAAAAAAAAATACTGGTAAACTAATGGATAACTATAGGACCAAAAGCAGACAACGCAAGCGAGTTTTTCGCAACTGAGACGTTTACTTTTTCCTTTTTTAAATATTTGATTGTTTTTTCTATGCCTGGATAAAGAAAAAGAAATAAGAAAGAGATATTGAGGTACAAATACGTTCCGTTTGTGTCTGTATTGATTTAAAATTGTTGAAAAAGCGTTTCTAAAAGTAACACAATTTTTACTTACAGCCAAATTTAAATTGGTAATAATGAAATACGAGAATTGAGATTTTCTATGGCACTCTTCACTTAAAATTATTTTATTGTTGTTTCACCTCCATTGACAATAAAACTTGGATAAGTTAACTTCCGCTTGCCACTACTTGCATTGCATACAACAATTTACAAAAAGAAACTATAAATTTGCACAAGTTTTCTCGCCAATGGATATAATATCTTGAAAGAGAAAAATTAATTAATCAAATAATTCATTATTGTTGCTTATTTTTATTGTTTGATGATTTTCGAATGATTAAAATTGATATTGCTTGATTATATATTATATATTTCATAATTTTATCATTATAATTCATATAATTCAAACATTTACAAGAAATTATGTCTTGTTTTGTTTTTTAAATTTTATTAATTAAAATTAATAGTTTAATATATATTTCCGTTTGCTAACAATATAATTGATAGCACCTGATACATCACAAGTTATTCTCATCGAGAGTTAAAGACGGAAAGAAAAGTTAATGTGAAAAAGAATTGTATGAATTATAATTTTTGCCATGATAATTTTCCACGGTGTCAAAGAAACGTAAAGAAGGTGCTGTCAAAATGACTGTGATAAGATTCTTTTTGTTATTATTGTTTAATTTATTCTATATTCATTGTTGAAATTATTATTGGTTGTTGTTATTTAAAACAAGAAAAATTATTTTTAAATCTAACTTATTATTTTTTTATTAAAGTTGATTTCTTTCTCATAATTTCTCTAATTAAAAAAAATCTATAATTATGATAACACAATTATTCAAAATTTTAGGTAATGACTTAAACTTGAAGTTAGTTTATGAATTAAAAATCTTTATATATATTTAAATATCCATCTTAAAGATCTTTAAATGATTGCCATAGTTTTGATAAATTGTCAATGAAGTAAATAGAATAATCAAAAAATACAGTCTTAAAATTGCACTGTATATGTTGAAAATACTAAACATCACATTCATGACATTCACAACAATGTATCAACTTTTTTCTAACAAACGACTTATTTTCTAATTGGAGTCATTCTTATTCATGTTTTTGTTAGCTTTAAAATCTTTCCAAATATGTTTCAAGCTAAATGTTATCAATTAAATTAATTATATCAACTTAACTGAAGTGGTATATATAAATTTCGTGGTGTTTCCTCCCAATCAGGTCCACAACGTCCAGTTTACCTGAAGTTTTTCAAAATGTTCTTCCAAAAATAATCTACTAAATATGTTGCTGTTTCATTGCTCCTATTAAATGATAATGATGCAATACATAATAAAGTTGTCCCAACATACTTTTCATTCGATACCAATTTCTAAACGAAGTTTGTATCCAATTCCTTAATGATTTAGAAATTTACCTAAAAACCTGAAACACCCTGAATATAGCTACAAATATCTATCATTGAAAGACAATTTAAATTAACTTAATCCCTTGTTTTGGGGGCAGTTAGTCTATCTTATCCATTGGAACGTTTCACCATTCCAAAATGTTAAAGGAGGAGGGTTTTGGGAAGTTTACTTATTCTGGATTAATGTATGTAAAGAGAAGACATCACCTAAACTGCTTAAATAAATTTAAATTTCTTTATATTGTTATTAGTTATTATAGATAAAAGGCGCACAATTTGATAGTTTGGGTGACACCACGCTATATATTTCCTATATCATAGCTAAATTGGCAGTTTATCATTACCATAGTAAATGTAATTATTAAAGATAACTTTTGAACCTAAGTTTACTTGGTTTTCTTAAAAGTTAGTCAAAAATATAAGTTTAATGGACATTATATATGGGCAACAATTATCACAACTATTTCCTCAATATCATTATTATTAAACAATACATAATAATATTTTCTTTAGCATTTCGATTTCAAACTTTGGTTATTGAAACTGTATCTCATTAGGGAGCATGTATCACTATAAAAATATGTTTGAGAATATAATGAAGAGTTAATATAAGCAATATTTTCTTTTGTGATTTTGGTGCAATATTTCTGTTATGTATTTATTGAATCTCAAGAGTTTTGTTTCTTTCTCTATAAGTATAAAATCTAGTTGTTGGTTAAATTTGATTTTGCATACCACATATGGTATTAATGGCAATATAGGTATGGTGATACTATGTATTATAGTATCAAAGATCAATCAATGTTGTTACCAGTATAATATAATGTTGCTAATGATATTTAGCAATGAAGATGATAAAATAAGTGTATATTTAACTTATATATTTGACTAATACTTCGTCTTCCGAACACAGAAAAAAACTAACTTCATTTATAACCTATAAAATTGTTTATAAAATGTTGACAATTTGTTTATCAACATTTTTTTAACATCTATACAGACACAAACACGTTTTTTTAGAAAATATCGCTTGTAGAGATATAAAATGAAATTAAAATAAAATCTTTCCTCCTCCTAAATTGACGAATCCCTTCGTAGACGTACATTATGTGTAATCATATTATGTATAAGTACGTAAATGAAACGTAAAATTAAAAAAAAATCGAGTTTAGTAGAGCGGTTTAACGGACGACATTTACACGTACAGTTAATGTTATAATTAATGAGTTTAAAAAATTGGGAATAAGGTATCCGTATCCCATTTTAATATAAATTTGTAAATTAGGTTGCTAATACGATCGGTTTATTTTGCCTCATTAAATTATGAAGTTAGCTGTACATACATTAAATACACATGGGAAGGAAGTGTTGAATGTGTACACAAGATATGAGCACAAGAAAGAAGGATGAATTTGAAACAATTTTAAGAATTTAAGTGTCTAAATAAAGATTTCTTTTTGTGTCCGAGTTATAACGTTTATTTTATTTTTTAACGAAAAAAACTTTTCTTGGCGGATACAAAAAGGATTTAATAGTTCTTCTACAAGTTCTTCACATTAAAAGAGAGAGAGAGAGAGAAATATATGGAAGAAGGAGAAAAATTCATGCTTTTATTAGTTCCGTAGTGACTAATTATTAAAATAATAAATAAAAGTATAATATATGTGCCGCTAGTCTTAACTTAACTGAATGAAATGGTGGATTGCACGAAATTTAAAAATTATTTAAAAAAGAAATAATAAATAAAGAAGAAGAGGTTGTGAAATACACCATTTTGTTATAATCAAAAGTTTACTGAATGTTATACTATTTGTTAATAAATTATACATATTTATATCTGTAAGTCAAATCTTGATAAAGTGTGAATTGTTATAAAATGTGTATCAAAAAAATCGCACAACTTCTTTGATTTTTTTAATTAAATCAATCAATAACCATCAATTATTATAGTCTATTTGTTATCGCTTGGTCGCACCTTTAGATAAAATAATATTTTAATATAGGAGGACATAGTTTAAAATTAGCCCCAGATAATAATATAGAAGATCATTTCAATTATTTCAACATTACGCTAAAAATAACATTGTACATGATGGATTCATTAACAAACGCTACATAGGTTGGGTTTCAAACGATTATCAATAGACTATAATCCATACATGATCATCTACATGTTCATAATTTCATAATAATATAATTTATTTTTTAAAATGATACACAACAACCGACAGTACACACTTTTCAAAAAAAATCCTATTCTGTGAAAACCTGTCACAGTTATGGGTAAATAAATGCACAAGTGCGGTAAAAAGCAATTCTTTCTGTAGAGAAAAAAAGATTATATAACTCTATAAATACACAAGTACACAAACGCTACTATACATGCATAAAGAAAAAGGATAAAGAAGAATAATAAGAATTCGTAATAAGAAGAAAATTACCAACAGGCTGACGCGGAGTGTAAGTGTGAAAAGGAAAACCTTAAAAAATACAAAAACTAATCGTGAGCTGATCTTCTCTCAAGATACAGTATTCTTTTTTTGTTCTATTCCTTTTTACTGTCATATTTTTTCTGTCGCATTTTTTGCCAATATTGTATATGTGAACATAATAATTAAATTGAAAAAAAAAACATAATATTAACGATGTTACAACAGAAAACACACTGAGAGGAAAAAATCCCAACCCAATCTATAAATATATAAATATTGAGTAAATATGAAATTATATGAAGAAATATGTAACTAAATGATCTGTAATAAATATGTCTTATTAATTTCATGTCTTTTAATTTTTGTATCAACTTTTTACAATGTATAGTTTCCAAAAGTTGTTAATATTATTGTGTATATCATTGATACTGATTCTCTCCAAAACGTACTTTGTGTGATTCAAAAACTTTTATAGTGACAGAAATAACAGTCATTGCAGGATAATCACTGTGAGTACATCTATCTTGTGAAGAAATAAACAAGGAGTCAATGTACAACATCAATCACCAGGAGGGATTGGAATTTGGATTTCAAGATCTACCACAACATTATCCACAAAAGAGTCCTGCAAGTTTAAAAATTGTAAAAAATTGTTTCAATGGTCTGGAAGTGAAATACGTTGAAAATACGTTCATAAATCCTTGGTCCTTAGAAACCATAGAAGCAAACAAAAACAGAGTACTTAAATCAAAGCTTTCTAACAGAAAAACAAGACAAAATTAAATTGAAAGATCGTTAGGCCAAGATTCTTGCTAGCAAAACGGAGATCATCGTGGAAGTGCAAAAATTCCACCACCAGAAACGGCCGCTCAAAGAAAAGAGACTATAGACTTCTTAGTGGAAGATGAGGACGAAGACAACGAATTGACAAAGAGGACAAGGTCACCAAAATGAACCAACAGACAAAATTAATTAATTGTATACCTTGGGCATACAATCAAACTGGGCAAAGAAAACCAAACTGCCGAACTCAAACGTAGAACTCAACTAACATGGGTCGCATTTGACAAGTTGAGCAAGCTCTATGACAGCTGCATTCTTCTACATATGGTCCAGAAACAATGGTGTTTACTAAAAAATCAGTAATTAAACTAAAAACGACTGAAAGAGCCATGGAACGTACAATGCTAGAAATTATCTTGAGAGAAAAGATGCAAAAACGAAAATAAACGACATCATGAAGAGAATGGCGGACCTCAATGGCAATGGATAGGTGGCTAGGAATCATGCAAACTGTTTTGTCATAAGATTACCTTCTGGAGGTCTATGGAAACCAAAAGAAATATAGGAGACCACAAGCGAGATGGATCGACGACATCAGGGCTGTAGCGGGGAAGCAATGGATGAGGATAGTAAACATAGTAAACGACAAAAAGGCTGAAAATTGAAACAGGCCTATATCCAACAATGGAAATAAGAAGGTTAAGAAGATTAAATGTGCCTTTAAGCCAAATATTTCCAAAATTGTATCATTCATAACATCAAGGTCACTATACCGAGTAAAATAATTATTATAATTGTTTTCGTTTTGTGTAATATAGCATTATTGTGTTAATATTCTGTTGGATAATCTGTAACTTATCCTACAACACAGAACGCTGTAAAAAAGAAAGAAAAATCGCCTGTGTGTTTAAAAACAAAATATAAAATAATTGCTAATCCAAAATCAAATTTTCTTCGAATAGAAACTTAATAATCAATTAAAAAATGAAAATAAAAAAAATTAATGTTAATAATTTAAATTAAGCGCCTTCCACGTTGTGTAACATAAATCGATTGTATCGCCACCTGTTGAGTAATAATTATTGTTCTTTGTTGACAGCAATTTGACAAAAGACAGTTATCAAGGTTAGACACTGCGAAAAAGAGGTTGTTCATACTAATCATGGTTGATAATTTATGACTGACCGTACACCAGGGTTAAAAGATTCACATTCGCAATCGTACGTGAAAATAAAATCATAATGGTGGACCGATTAGGTAAGAAAAGGGTTTTGTAACGTATCCGTTTTCTATATGATCACATGTGCTAATCTTTTATGGTCTATTTCCCATCTTTTTAATTTGCAATTAAACGATAGTTTTCACTATAGTTTTTCAATATTTTCTGTTAAATAGTTAACAGCGAGGCGAATACCCGTCGAATAGCTATCGTCGAGAATGGTTTTGGAAGTTCAGGACAAGTAAATTTTTTGTTTATTTTAATTTTTGATATTGATAACATATCTTTAATAGCCTCTTGCAGTACCAGGTCGTGTACTGGTTGGAGAAGGAGTCTTAACAAAAATGTGCAGAAAGAAACCGAAACCGCGTCAATTCTTTTTATTCAACGATATTTTGGTATACGGAAATGTAATAATCAATAAGAAAAAATACAACAAACAACACATCATTCCTTTAGAGGAAGTGAAATTAGAAAGTATTAAAGATGATAATGGTAAGAATAATAATAAGAAAAAAAAAAGGATTTTTTTTTATAATCATATTTTTATAGCTAATCAAAATGGATGGTTAATTCGTACAGCTTCCAAATCATTTGCTGTTTATGCAGCTACAGCTACTGAAAAACAAGAATGGATGGCCCACATTAATAAGTGTATAGATGATCTATTAAGAAAAAGTAATTATATTTTAAATTTTTATCTATTTTTACTTTTTAAATTGATAAGAGATATTATATTAATGATAAGTGCCACTATTGAAATTAAACTTATCAATAACTAACAACATGAATAATATATAGCTATTATGAATAATATGATCAATATTATTAAAAATAACAGGAAATGTCTCAATATTTATAATTTAAAATTATATTATAGGTGGAAAGAAAGCTGTAGAAGTACATGCCGCTGTATGGGTTCCTGATGGTGATGCCCCAGTTTGCATGCATTGCAAGAAAACACAGTTCACTCTTTTAAACAGAAGGGTAAATAATAACCATCTTTTTTTGTTTAATAATCTAAATAAATCTTGTGTAATAGCATCATTGTCGTAAGTGTGGTGCTGTTGTGTGTGGTCCATGCTCAAACAAGCGATATCTTTTACCAAATCAAAGTTCCAAACCCTTACGTGTTTGCCTTTATTGTTATGGAATATTAAGCGCGAAAGATAATGGCCCTCCAATGATGGATGGGGTTAAAAATGCTGGTGGTACAGAATCATCAGGTGAAGAAGATTCAGACGATGAAGAGGAAAATGCTAAACCTGGTACTCATGAAGTGGTTAGTATAAAAGATTTATATAAAGTAATTTATACAGAATAATTTATAATTTATAACATACAGAGCAGACTAAAAAAGTAGGTACTCGGGCTCAAACTGAAGAGATTTTCTTAATAATGTTTTGTTAAAAACTTAATTAAATAATTAATTAACGTCCAGTTTTGAGAACCGCTGATATTTAGTAAAGAACAATTAAAATACTAGTCAATGCCATACTCATTTTTGAAAGAGAAGCAAAACAAGACAATTTATTGTTTCATTAGTTTTGTTATTTTAGATAATACTTAATTTGTTAAAAGAAATAATAGATGTTAATTTATGAAACGTCTAAGAATAATGTTTTAAATGCAAAATAACAAAATCTCTAAAATAAGTATTTATAACATATTTTCAAAGTGCTGTCCTTGGATTTCGACGCACAATTGCGCACGACGAATCCAATTCAACAATAATCTTGAAAATCGTGGATGTACAGTATGTAGATAAAGTATGCAACCAATATCACAAATTGGTATTGCAACGCGACGAAAGTTCATAAAAACGATGGCGACAGTTCATTAACTTTAAAAGCCGTTTAAAATATATTTTAATAATTAAAAAATGTTTTAAATATAAAAATTTTAAAATACATAAATTCTAAAAGAAATTCTCACTGAACGTTTTCATTATTTTGATTTGTTTATTGACTTACTGCTTAAAGCAACCGCTAGAAACAACAATAGCTCTAAAAAGAACTGTTTCGGAAAATATAAAGACAGCAAAAAAACGGTTAAAGAACAAAGAAAATACGGAAACTCACAAAGCGTACGATAATCATAACAATAACGTTCGATCAGCTGTCAACATCTGGGTTACTAATTTAAATTTATCCAAGCTACCACTACATATTGAGATATGCAGCCAATATTACACAGGTCACGTGGGTTACGATAATTAATTAACACAGTGTATGTGTTCTGTAGCGGCATTGATGCGACGTCGTAGTTTGTCGCTTGTATTAACTTCGGTGGCATATACTCCTTCCTTTATGATTCCCCATAAAAAAAGTCTAAGGGGTTAAGATCGGGACTACGTGGTGGACATGGAATAGGTCCACCCCAATTAATTAATTTTTGCAGAAAGTATTATCGAGGAAATCTCGTACATTAGTACTAAAATGTGCATGCAACCGTAGTTGCATAAACCACATATTACCTACGTCGAAAATTGTAAATAAGAATGTCTTCCTGGTAATTCGAAGGTCCTATTAAAGTATTGTTCACAATTCCCGCCCATAAATTTACTCTGAATCGCTGTTGAAAAGAACCCTAGAAGACAAATAACATGTGGATTTTCGTCCGACTACACATTGTGAAAAATTTAGAACACCATTTCTGGTAAAACAGCATTCATCCGTTACCAATATACTGTTCGTAAAATCTGCTTCTCTGTTGGTACGATTTAGTAGCCACTCGCAAAATTGCAACCGCAAACGATAATCAGCAGCAGTCAGTCCTTGCATCTTTTGCAAATGGTAGGGCTATAAACCATTACTTTTCAATGTATGCCAAAGTTCTGAGAAACTTCGACTTGGTGAGAAATTTGACGAGATACTTGCATTTACATCAACAATTTCTAGAATTTCTTCTTCTACATTCACTCCATGCCATGTCTATTTGGTCTACCGCCACCAAGACCTTTCTTACATTGCAAATTTCAAAAGTTTGAATTTGAAAAGTGTAAAACTTACCAAAAAATCACTTTAAAGTTTCGACGTGACGTCACGTTTTGTGATGTCATCGACCGTGCTAACCCCCCTATTTAAACATTACATTCGGATCCACCTAATTCACTGATTTGTTTCAGAATTATGTGTAGAAATTCCACTTTGAGTTAGGTTAATTAATATTTAAACCAGTCCAAATTTCTTAAATGTGAAGTTGGGCATGGAGCAAAGATAGGGTTGTAAATTCCAGGTTGGGTTGACTCCCGATACATTCTAGTTCTAGGTCTAGTGTTACTTCTAGTTTTACTAGTACTTTTTCTAGTAGTAGGTAGCGCTAGTTAACATAAAATATCACTATGTTGCATATTTTTATTGTTACTTCTAGTTTTACACTAACACTATCAGTAGAACAACTAACACAAGACCTAGAACTAGAATCATTCGTGTTTAGCGGTCTTGAGAGACGTGGTGCCAAATCCGAATATTTCTAGTTTTCGGTCTAGTGTTAGTTCTAGTTTTACACTAGCCCTATCACTAGAACTAACACAAGACGTAGAACTAGAATCATTCGGGTTTAGTCGTCTTGAAAGACGTGCGACTAAATCCGTTTCTAGTTTTCGGTCTAGTGTTAGTTCTAGTATTAACACAGAATCTATTGACACACATCTAACGACAGGTAGTCAATCGTTATGCATCGAAAGCCTAAGAAAAACAAGGTGTTTCATCCGTAAATATACGTTGTAATCTCACCTAGTTTAGTGAAAATAACTTTAAGTTCATCAGATTGATTTTGTGCGTGGCTATAAAATAAACAATTCGTCGTAGGTTAGATATTGACCGATTTAATAGGAAAATGCATGGTTAACATTGCTTGTGACGTCACATCGAAACTTTAATATGATTTTTCAGTATGTTGTACACTTTTCCGCACTTTTTCTTATTTTTAACACGTTTTTGGTCATTTCACATTGATTTAAAAAAAATCGTCAATTTTTAAGTAACATGATTCTTGAATTTTTCTAAATTTTTAAAAAGCCGTAAATTACGGCCGTAATTGCCATATGACAAAGATTTTATTATTTTTGTTAATTATGCATTGTTTAAATAACCCCGAAATATTCGCAGTTTGAATTTAAAAGTGTTGTAATACCATATATGGTAAGAAATGCTCGACCATTAACGTTCTTATTAACGATATTAACGTTTTTAACGTTCTATATCTTTGTAATTATTAAGTTGTGGTCAAAACATTATTAAGGAAATTCAATTTGGCCCCTAATACCTACTCTTTTAGTCTGCTCCATATGTTTTAAATCGCCCTGTATAGACAATAAGTTACTAAATTTGATTTTAGCCAACTTTCTATGGAGACAATGATCGATCTGAATAATTTAACGTAACGTCAATTCGGAATAATAACGAAGAAAGTAATAGGTTGAAAATAAAGAGTCCCTGAGATTGTTAGAGAAAGAGTACTGACAAATCTATTTTTAATATGAATTTTATTATTATTATTATTACAATTAAGTACACTCTAGATAATAAGCAAATAAATATACAGATTTAAAATAAAAATTGGACATAATTTTGCTAAATGCACCGATTCAAATTGAAATTATTGAAGGAATTATTTATAAAAATACAACTGTAATAAATGATTATACGTTGGTATTTAGATTTATCTGTATTTATTTATTATTATATTCTGGTAATTTTGTTATTATTATTTCTTTCTTTTTTGGTTTCCACTTATCATATTTAACATAACAAGTATATTTTGTTTAGGAAGTTAATTAATTTTAGTTATATGAATTATAAAATAAATATCTATTTACAAAACGAAATCTTATTTTATTTGTTAAAAATACAATTTTAAAACTTCAAAGTACAATTTTTCACTTTTTTAGTTGTATTGCCATTTAATAATAACTGTAAAGCTTTTTCTTGTTGTAAGGAAGGTATTAATATGTCATATTTTGTTGCCCATTTTAATATTTGTGTGCAACTAAATAAATCTCTTTGTCGAACTGAAATAAACCAAAAACAATTATTAGCAATTAGCTTTAAACATTGTTACTTACGTTTATAATCAAACAAAGAAATCAAAACTATAGAACTTTCAGTTTTACATTTGTATTTTAACAACATTTCCAATAATTTATAAACAGATTCTATCTTGTGATATTTCAGTGCTAACCCAACAATTTGAGATGTTTGAGATAAAACTATTTTTATTAACATCTCATTTCTTTCTAATAATTCTTCTGCAAGAACTTGATCGCTGTACCATTCGCTTAAAAGACAAATTTTCCATAAATTCATTAAAGGAGTATAGTCTTGAAAATCGTTTGCTAACTGTTCAGAAAATTTTGATATGGCTACCATGCTAGCTTCGCTATTTTTTTGTGAAGCGTTATAATACAAATATCTCAACACAATTCTTATGTTTTGTCTTAAACAACGGTTATTTTTGTATACTTCCAAAAAAATCAATAAAGCCTTAGGTATATTTCCTTTTATCCAAGTAGCTTCAGCTAAATATTGTTGGAAATCACCATAAATGCTTAAAACTCTCGGATTTACATCTACATACATTTCTTGTATAAGCTTAATTCCTTCTATGTGGCCAATTTGAGCAAAATAACTTAAAACATTCATCGATACATTAAGAGATATTACTTTCCTTCGTTTACATTCTTCTAAAATTTCCATTATACTTTCAACATTATTTTCCTCAATACCTTCTTGTAAAGCGCCGCTTAAACTCTCTATCGTTACGTTTCGTTGTATATTTTGATGTACCCGGTTTATTTTCAAATTCGATACAGGAACAAAACTTTTCGTCTTTATCTTCATGTTTTCCCATTTATTTGCTTTCTCGTTTACTAAATGACTTGTGAACGCATCCAGGGCGTCTACCTCAACCAAAATCGATTTTTTCCGATGATTTATCAATCGAACAAGAAAATGTACACAATAACTATGATTTTTTAAAGATATTTTTATGTTGCAAAGAAGACTAGACATTTTCTTATATTCAATTTACAAGTTATTTATAATTTATTTTGTACATAAGTGTAGTTCAAACATAAGATAAGCTTATTTCTAGTTTTACTTATTGATATTTCAGAAATTTAATTTTTTGAAGGTGAGGTTATGATTTTTCGTGACATAACAGCTGATCGTTTTTGAAATTATTTGACAGGTATCAAAAGACTGGTTCGATTTAATGTTCTAATATTATATTTACTTAAAGTATAATTACTTTTAGTGTATAAAAATATATCAAAACATATTTAAAATTAAATACAAAATATTGTAATATGTTTTGTTGATATTCTAACCCAATTACTCTGACTCACTCTGACTTAACGTTCGATTGATGTATATTGTGACGTAGCGATAAAAGTCGAAATTAATTTGATTTTTAATATTAAATTGAAATTTAATAATAAAACATTATAAAATCTAAAATATTTATTATTTGGAATTATAACATTAATCGTTTTTATGTATAAAACTTGTTATCTATTTTGTGGCTTAACCTTACTTTACTATCTATGTATCATAGAATTATTATTATTTTGAGAGTTTATAGTGAATCACTGGTTATCTGCCTTTATAAAGTATGTACGTAAATACTTAAAATCTTATCTTTCGCTACAAACAAAAATAATAAAATAAATTGCGTTTATTTGATACAAAATATTTCCTCAGACGTCCATAACACATTTTTTGCTTAATTAAAGGTATGTATTTAACATGGTGAGCTAAAACATGTTTTTCTTATTAATTATTTTAATTAGATGCCGCATTATAATCAGAAACATCATCATCATCACCATGGCCCTGGTATGCCTCCATTACCTTCAGCAGGATTTCCATCTGTAGGAGGAAGTGGCCCACCTCCATTACCACATAGTGCTTATCCACCAAATACCTACCCCGTTTTCACAAATCCGCATCCTCCTCCTCCCCCTCCACATCATGTTCCTTCACAACCACCCTATTCTCATCATCATCATCATCATCCAGGTCATGGAGTTTATGTAGAACCTCCACCACCTTATACACCCCACCAAATGCCACAACCACACTACCCACCCAATGTTCCTCATCCTACGTGTCCCCCTCCACCAGTAGATGTGGTTTATATTCATGGAAAACCTAAAAAGAATAAGAAAAAGTCCAAAGCAAAGAAAGCGTTGATGATTGCCGCTCCTGCGGTGGGTTTGGGACTTGCTGGATACATGATTGGAAACGCAGTTGGAAGAAGAAACTCATCAAGTAGCTCAAGTTCAAGTAGTAGCGATTCAGATTAAGAGAAACTAAATATATTTGTGTATTGGTATTCAACTATATCTAATATTAATAAAATCTAAGAGTAAGGCTGTATTTTACAAATTGTTATAAAAAAATATTCTTTAATAAATTTTAAATTACCACATTTTAGATTGTTTTTAATTAAAGGCATATTTAAACATGAATATAAGCTTAAAAACAATTCCTAAGCAAAAAATAATCGTTAGAAATTACGATAAGTTGACGATAATTCTCAAGTTGTGCAACATATTTATTAATAATAATGATTCTAGAACTGTTTAGAAATGATGCTAATTTAATTTATTATATACAAATAATGAAATATATCATTATTCTTTAATGAAAAATTTATACGTAAAAAAACGATCTTAATAAAAATATTTTTATTTATATCTTACATAACATAAATAAACTCATTATCAATTAAAAAAGTTTTGATATTTTATGTTAATTTCATCGTGTTATCACCAAGTTTTGCGTAACATAGCCTTCATATAAACCAAAGGTTCTTCGAATTAACCAGTTATTTAACAAATCAACGTGCTGGTTCAAGATGAAATCTTCAAAATTAATTTTTGTGTTGTCAAGGGCGATTATTGTTGCCCTACTATTTAGGACTAGTAATTCAAGTAATTCCCCTAGTGTAATTATTATAGGTGCAGGCAGCGCGGGAATAGCAACGGCGACGAAACTACTTAAAAATAACGTTAGTAATTTTATTATTTTGGAAGCCGAGAATCGTATCGGCGGTAGAGTTAATAGTGTTGAATTTGGTGACGCAATCGTTGATTTGGGAGCGGAATGGTGTCACGGGGAAAAGAATAATGTCGTTTTTGAAATGGTTAAAAATTTAGATGTTTTGCGTTTAAGGGATTTTTCCGATTTGATTTTAGCGTATTATTCGAACAGGGCAAGGATTAATCCCGTTTTAAATAACAAATTATTTGGTATCATTGATAGTATTTATTTTCCGAGTGGAAATAAAAAACAGGACGAGGGAATTAGTTTGGGACAATATTGTCTTAAAGAGTAAGTTTAAAATTTATTTAAAGTCTAATTATTTGTTACATATATTAATTTGTTAAATTATTAACAAAATAATGTATTGGAACATTTCGTAAAGTGTAATTTATTAGGTTGGCAAGAGTGTGTGATGTCTCAAGTTACCATACTATATTAAGTTTAAAATAATCTTGTTTTTAAACCAGAAGTATAATTGATATTTTTCAACCTTACAACTGTGGTAGGAAGTATTGTAGCATTACGATAGATAGAAGATATTTTTTCGTTTTTTGTTTCCTTGGAGATATTTAGAAGATATTTAGAACATATAGAAGATATTTCGCTTCCATATGAGGTTATACTTTTTAGGAATATGTTTTCTACTCATACTGGGAATTTATGCACTTGCACTGTCCCACATAAAATGCAACATAGCTTAATAGTACAGGCATTGAATAGTTTTGCAAAGGAAAAGTTTTACTTGGGAAAGATGACGCCCTTATGATAACTAGAACTATAAACTTTCGGGTTTAGTCGTGCGTCTCATAAGATGGCTAAGCGGCTTTAGACAAGGATATTCAACAACAGACCAGCTTCTCATGGTCAAACAAGTCTTGGAAAAATGCTGGGAGTTTGACATAGATGTAGGTATACCAGCAGCTTGTGGACTTTAAGTATCCTGACGACAGTATCCACAAAGAAAAACTTTTCAGTATCATGTAGGACTTCAACATCCCACCAAAACTGGTGAGATTAACGCGCCTAACTATGACTGAATCCGCAGGCATTAACATAATGGGAAGGAATGTGAATGCCATGAGGGAAACCTTGACAGAGCACTTTGAAGAGGGCATAGTATAGAGTCTTATAGGCGAGTATGTGATTTGTATATTTTAAAACTCGCTTGTATGGCGACAATATAATTGTATCCAATTTTTTCCAACCTCCTAAAATACGCTTTACGAACATTGAATAACACATTTTTCTTCTTTTTGGTAATATTTTATTAATTTTTCCATAGATATAACAATAAAGTATCACAATTAAATTTAACCGATCCATTAGAACTTCATTTTACAAACGATTACAAAGATTTTTTTGAAAGATACACACTATCTTCAGAAGGTTCTTTCTCTTGGGATGATCCATCAGCGGAAAGTGATTATAGAGATTGCGAAGGACGTTTAGATTGGAATTGGAATGGAAGAGGTTATAAAACGGCTTTAGATGTTCTTATGCAAAAATTTCCAAACACATCTCAACCACTACCAATAGACGATAAAATTTTATTGAATAAAGAAGTTGAAAAAATTTATTGGGATAACCGCAATGATACGGTCAGCGTTTTATGTAAAGATAATACGCTTTACAATGCAGATATGGTTGTATTTACACCTTCATTGGGCGTGTTGAAAGATCGCCATGAAAAACTTTTTGTACCAACTTTACCGGAATATAAAAAAATTGCGATTAGAAATTTAGGTATTGGAGCTGTGATGAAGGTTATGTTATTATTTGAGAAATCATGGTGGCCACAAGGGTCCGATTTTAACGGATTTATGTTCATTTGGGCGTCAGAAGATAAAAATGGAAAATTAGAAAAGTTTAATATTAACGGAAAACCTTGGATATTAGACTTAATGGCTTTATTACCCGTCGAAAAAAATCCAAACGTATTATCAGCTTGGTTCGTAGGCTCTAGTGTACCCAACATAGAAATTTTAAACTCCAAAAATTTACTTGATGGTCTCAATTTTGCTTTGGATCAATTTTTAAGTCATGAATATAATGTGACAAAACCAATTTCTTTTATACGGTAATACAAATTATTTCAATTAAAATGTTGAAGTATAAAACACATTTTTGATTCTTTTAGATCTCAATGGTATACAAATCCACATTTTCGTGGGACATACTCTTACCAAACGATCGCTTCCAGACAAACAAAAAGTAATGCTGTTATAGCACAACCACTTTTGAATAAAAACGGAAAAGAAACAGTATTATTTGCCGGAGAAGCTACCCATCCAATTCGTTATTCCACGGTGCATGGAGCTATTGAAACCGGATTTAGAGAAGCGGATAGCATCATTAAGAAGTTAAACTATATACGTCGAAAATGAAAAAATTAATTCAATATTGAAAATGTATAATTACTAGTTAAAAATACTAATAATAAAATCACAAAATATTATTTCATCATCATTATTACTTGAGTTTAATTTCTACAGTAAAAGGAAATTTTTCGCTATCTAATGATTGTCGAAATAACTGAGCGTGTTGCCAATAAACGCTTCCGGAACCTCCCGTTAATGTAGCGGTTATTTCGATATATTTAGAATTTGAAAAATCGAACGTTTTCAATTCTTTTTGCCCTACAAAAAAATTATTGTAGGAATCCATGTTACAAGTTTATTAAAAATACAGGATGTCTCACGTAATTGGTTCGTTAGAACTTTTTTTCGATCTAAAATATTTTCCAGATGGCTGCCACTTCCGGTCTACCAGAAGTAAACCATAACTTTGTTATTTTAAATGGAATGCTATAGTTTTTATTACACCTTTTAATGGTATGTAAAAAAATATGTTGACTTACATAAAAGTTATTAGTACCTACATATCTTTCGTTTTCGAGTTATATTGATTTTAAGTTTTTTTTGGCAAATTTCACCATGCCATTAAAACCCCATATTCCAGCCAACGTTCATTCAAAAAAGCTCTAAATTGGCACGATTACTGTTCAGATGCTGTCAAATATACAGGCTGTTCAGAAATTGAATTACCGTTTCTTCATATTCAACCGCAAGAAAGTCGAAAATTTTAAATGGAACGCCCTATATTTTATTAGCCAACCTGAAAGGAAATTTAATTCTTTACAATTTATCTATTAACATTCCTATACCTATTTATTGTACTTTCTCTCATATTGGGAAATTTATCAAAACATGCAGGAAACCGTATGTATTTTTATTAGAAGGCCATGACATTTTGACAGCTTTTCGTTTAATTTATTTCTATTATTATTTCTACTATTAACTACGACTGATAATCTTTTAGTTTACTAGCCTTTACTTACCAAAAATAACAAACAGAAGATCAAATAAATGAAACAAGTAAAACAAAAAATTAATGACAAAAATTAGATTTGGATAAAAATTTAAATTTATAATATAAATTTGTTATTAAATTGAATTTGGAAATGCGATAAAATACGACAAAATATTTATTTCGTTGTCTTCATCACTGGTGACCAGAAATATGCGATTTCTTTTGGTTTCGATATGTCCAGAACTAAGAAAATCTTTATAAATTTTTGGAAATTTTTCCTTGTGATGGGCGTTAGGTTTGTTAGGCATCTCTTATTAAATGTCCGACACGTCCTGTCCAAAAGTTTATTACATTCGCCATCAATACAAAATAAATTTCGAATATCGGCGTTGGAATAATCTGCCATGATGTTCAATGGCTTACACCCATCGTCAAATGTAACTAATGACAACAATAATACAAACATGGACCAAAAACTGTCAAAATTCCATAGCTTTCTAATAAAAAAACCTGCATTTCGTGCATGTTTTAATAAATTACCCAATATGAGGCAAACTACAATAAATAGGTATAGGAATGTTTATAGATAATTTGTAGAGAATTAAATTCCCTTTCTGATAGGCTAAAAAAATATGGGGCGTTCCATTTAAAATTTTCGACTTTCTTGCGGTTGAATATGGTGAAACGGTAATACAATTTTTGACCACACTGTATAAGATACTCTGATATAATAAATGATAATCTATTTGACAGCATCTAAAGAGTAATCGTGCCAATTTAGATCTTTGATGAATGAACATTGGCTGAGATATGGGGTTTTAAAGAGCATGTTGAAATTTACCAAAAAAAACTTAAAACCAAAATAACTCGAAAACGAAAAACGCTAGGTACCAATAACTTTTATCAAAGTCAACATATTTTTTTACGTATAATTAAAAGGTGTAATAAAAACTATAGCATTCCATTTAAAATAACGAAGTTATGGTCTACTTCCGGTAGACCGGAAGTGGCGGCCATCTTGAAAATATTTTAGATCGAAAGTTCCAAATGAACAACTCATGCTACCAAAATTTTAAATCTCTAGTGGAATAGTGGAACCTGAAAAGTTTCTAACGAACCAGTTACGTGAAACACCCTGTATATGAAGGAAATTATTTTATATAAAACTTCTTACTTGTTCGTATTTTAATGTTTATTGATACCTGTTTCGACTTTTAAGTCATCATCAGCCAAAATGTCAAATTTTGAAGAAAATTAAAATACAAGCAAGTAAGAAGCTTTATACAGGATGATTCAAAAAACCGCTGACAAACTTCCAGGGTAGGTAATACATCAAAAATTAAGATGAAAAGTCTTAATATACATGGGGTCGCAAATGCCACCTTAACGAGATATAGCGGGTCGAAGTTTCTTTAAAATTAAACATTATCTGCAATAAAAAGCCCTTTTTAAAAAATGCAGTATTTTCGTGTAAAGTGATCAATTATCTATCAATTGGTCTCTTACAAAACCTTGATTAAAGCAACAATTTTTGATTGAATTAACAAATTTCCTACAAACGTGTTTTTCTTAATTGAACACTTTACACACGTAGAGAGCAATGGCGTAGACAATATTTTTTAAAAAGTGCTTTTTATTGCAGATAATGTTTAATTTTAAAGAAACTTTGACCCGCTAATCTCGCCAACGAGGCATTTCCGACCCCATGTATATTAAGACTATTCATCTTAATTTTTCATGTATTCAATGTTTCATGATTCACCCTGTATAAAATAATTTTCTTCATATATATATCTAAAAATAATTAATAGCAACTTCAAAAGTTATTTACCTTTAATAAAATCCACTCGTTTATTTTCATTATTTAAACTAACTGTAACATTCCCATCTTCATATGTTGTGTAATCAAAATAAATTATAATTTCATCAATTGATTTTTGATCAAAATCAACTTGAAATGCCCAAGTAATAGAACCGACACTCACAGTTTCTTCTCTGCACAAATAGGCATTTCTCCAATCTTTCTCTTCCTTACGAAATACACCATTCATCTTAAAAACACCATCGGAGAAATTTTTAATTTTTTCATTATTTACAAGATATTGATCTAAAGATGTACAATATTTTAAAGAAAATATATTAGTATCACTAATTTTCCATATTTTTCCTTCAAAATCCCGTTTTGTTTCCCCCCTACTTAACCTCCAAGCCATAGACCCAGAAGTTCTTCCTTTTTTATCTTTTTCAGTAGCCTCCTTTTCAACCATCATCTCAATTAACTCACATAAAACCCTTTTATTTAAATATTCCCTCCTAGTTTCACTTAATCCTTTTTGCCGTTCGTTTCGTAAACTACAAATGGCGCTAACTAACTCGATTTCGGTACATTTTTTACGTCTGGATAAAACTTCTTTATGACGACTTGAATATCTCCAGGTGACATCTTGAAGATCTTCACCCGAATAAGCAATTATATAAGACAACTTTTTGTTCCAGCCCGATTCGTACATTAACGGTGTGTCTAAAGCTGCTTCGCATGAATCACAGTGCAACCATCGTTTTTGAGCTACCGAATAAACTTCGGTCCATACATGATCCGTTTCATCGTAAACGTGACGAGCCTCCCAACCCATTGCGCGACAAAATAAAGTAAATGTATTAGCCCATTCGCCGCAGCGCCCTTTTCTCGTTGCTAAAAGAATATTTAAATCGTTAAATCTTGCGAATGGCGTTGAAGCGTTGCAAACAGTGCAGTTGTGGATCTATAATAATAAATAAAGTAATATTAATTTATATTAATTAAAATTGAATTACTTCGACTCTATCCGTGTATTTTAAAAGTTCTGAATCGGTTGACATGTGGGAAAATTTTGTGGGGGAATCGCATTTTTCACATTTTGGGCTATCAACCCAAGAGAAAAAATCATTTTTAAACCAAGCTAATAGCTCCGATAATAATACATCTTGCATGCTTATGTTGGGATCTTCCAAATCACCTAATTAAAAATAAATGTATTTTGAGGTTCATTTTGCATATTTTAATGTTTATCATAAGACAGTGTTGCCACCTGACCAGTTTTCACCCCGACAAGCCGGTTATTATTATTTTGTAACTCATGTTGATATTGTGTGTTTTTAGGAATTTACCAATTATGCAATTTAAATTATTGTATGGAACGGATCTATATGTTTCTTTTTCTTTGCGTTTTTTGTAGTATAGAGGATTATGTTGTATGTATATGTTTGTTATTATTATTTATTATATTATTTGGAAAATTATTAACTTTTGCAAGGTTTCTAATGAAGTTAATTTCAGTTGTTATATTATTTTTATTTTTATCTCACCGTCCATAAATATAAATGCATCTATAAACAGCTTTACAAGATACAAAATCATATAAACTAGTCTTAAAAAACTAGTTTCGTAAGATACGCTTGAAATGCACGAATTCAAATTGAAAAAGAGTGGCGAAGCCTCGAGTTTTTTAATGAATGAGTGCTTTAAGTCTTAAGAAACGTGTTTTTTATGCTATTTTTTGTAATTCGCGTTTATATCCTTTTTTTCCCAAAAATAAAATAAATTTTGACAATGTAGCGAAATAGGTATGTAGCAGTTGGTAACACTTGAAAATAGAAATTTGAATTGACAATTAGCAACTGTCAAAACACAAAATATATTCACCTGACAAAATCGTTTCATGTACACCTCCCAAAATAAGAGAAATTGCTCAGAGTTCAATGTCCTCATCATTGTGGACATTGTGCTATAATAATAATACCACATAAAATTAATAATAATATCATAAATAATAGCACTAACAATAATCCACTTACTATACACATAACTTAACCAATATAAAATTCTCCAACCCAGAAGTTGCTCTAGTCAACAAAAATCATAAATTTGTCTTAGAGAAACCAATTAATATGAAACTAAATGCAATAGAGGTTGAATATGCTATTTACAACACACCTAATAATGATAATATCAAAAAAGAAGTTATTCCAATACTGAAAAGGTACAAAAAAAACAACACCTTAATAAAATTAAACACTAAAAGCCCACACATATATACAATATAACCACAATATAAAAACAATAAAACAAAAACTTATCAATAACAATGTCCTATTTGTTAAAGCAGAAAAAAATGCAGGAACTGTAATCATAAATAAAGCACTTTACATTGAAAAGACCATGGATTTTATCAACAACAACAACTATATAGAAATAAAGAACCCACTCAACAACATGATTACCAAAAGAAAAGATATTATAAAAACCACCACCAACACTATAAAGTTCTTTAACAATTCTAACAACACTTTATGATTCCTATGAATAGTTTCGTCCCACAACTATATGCTATAAAAAGTCCACAAAATAAATATGCCCATTAGACCTATCACAACTTTTTATAACTCAATTAATATACATCTAGCAAACTTTATGAACAATATATTTAAAAACATCAATCTCAAATCACTTGAATTACAAGAAACCTGTATTTTACCCTTGACATAATAAAAGAAATTTTCAATATGGATCCACTGTCGATGATCTAACCCTAATCTTAAAGCATCTTATAAACCAAAACTCTTGTCAATTTCACAATAAATATTACAAAACCACCACTGGACTACTAATAGCTAAATATATTTCCAGTATAATAGCAGACATATTTATGAACCATCTTGAGAAAAACAAAATACATGTCTCTTCCAATCCATTTAAAGACAAAATTATCAAATGGTTTAGATATGTAGACGATATTTTATGCGTGTGGAATGGCAACCAAGAAGAATTGACAAACTTCCTACAATACCTGAATCTTATTCATAAAAATTTACAATTGAAATATAAAACAACAAAAAATTAAATTTCCTAGATATAACAATAAAAAGAAAAACACCCAACCTAAATTACAACATATATAGAAAATCTACAACAAAAAATATCATTATACTATGAGACTCATATCACACTACTACACACAGACTAGATTAGATTTTTTTAGATCTTATATCAAGACTTTTTACATACCCTCTAGATAAAAATAATATAACAACTGAAATTAACTTCATTAGAAACCTCATCCAAACCAATTCTTAATAAATTAGTAAGGGCATTTGAATTGTTGTCATTATGTGTACCATGGTTGTTATCCTTAGTTTTACAGGAACTTCACCTTCCAATTGGAAATAAGCTTTTGGAATATTTAAACAACTGAGGACATTCTTTTCCAAACGGTCTTGTAGTTGTTTTTTTTTACTCAAATGTCTGGGTCAACATTTTTCCAAACATGGCAACACTGTCTCAAGATGATATTGTAAAAGAATTACCTGCTAAAACATTTTTTTGGATGCTTCTCATACTTTGTATAGCTTTAGCCTCAATTCCAGCTTCACGGATAAGTTCTTTAGCTTGTTCTTGTAATGCTACATCATCATGAATTCTAGCTAAATGGAATCTATGTTCAACTTCTTGTAAAAACTTATTGGTATATTTCTAAAAATATTATTTTTCCTCATGGTAATATTTTATTGATATCCTTGTAACTTACTGATGAAAATTTAGGGAGTTCTACTTTATGTAAAACCTTTTCCACTGGTGTTTCCTTAAAAACATTCTCCACACTAATATTTTCTTTGATTAATTCTAGGTGTTGCAAAGGTGCATGTAGGGGCAGTGTAAAATCACTATCTGACTAAAAAAATGTAACATTCTTAATAGATTTTTTGTATACCTTAATAATTAGTATTTACCTCCTGAAAACCCATAAGCTTTAAACATTCCACACCACCGGGTGACTTTAAAATTTTTTGAGATACTGTAACATTACTTTTTTTTAAAGTTCTAAGTTTTACATTCTTCGGATCTTTTAATATATTATTTATTACTTTCTCCAAAAGCCTTTCAACTTCTTTGTAATGTTCCTTAGTATTTTGTTTAAGCATTGATAAAACTTGTTGTAGATTTGACATGATTTAATACAAAAAATTAAAAAATATATTTGTTTTAACTATAATAAACGATTTGTATACGACTTAATTTCGTGATAATGCAAGTTTATCTTAAACGAAGCCCAAACTGATTCAGCAAAATTTAACCTCCAATTGAATAGGAAATAAATTTGACAATCAGCTGATTCCTGTTCTGTTAATTTTTAGGGATTTTTTCACCCAATATTGGCAGCAATTCTTATTTGTAAACGTAATCAGCTGTAACATGTTTATCAAATTATAACATTTATTTCTCCTTTATTTGAAGAGATATTTTTATCTTTTGTATTCGGATTACTTATTAACTACGTTATTTTATTGCTGGGTAAATTAAGAAAATCTCGTAACTCTTATCATGTTTAAAACATATGGATACAATTATAAGTAGCTACAATAAGCATTAACCTCTAAAGTCTTAATTAACTTTTAAAACTATAAAATTACTTCTACAATGAGTGAAAGAAATGTAGTAGTCACAGGATTTGGTCCTTTTGGAATACACAGCATAAACGCAAGTTCTGAAGTAGTGAAATCACTTCCAGAAAAAATTAAAGATGTAAACATCATTAAATTTGAAATTCCTGTTGTTTATGAGATTGTTGATGAGAAGATACCTGAATTATGGGAACAATATCAACCTATTGTAACTACTATATCTATTATGTACTTTATTAGATGTTTCATTATTTTGTTTTAGTTAATTGTTCATGTGGGTGTTTCTGAGAGAGCCCAATTGATAACATTGGAAACAAATGCAAATAGAACAGGGTATATTAAAAAGGATTATCATGGATGTTGTCACAACACAGGTGATATTTGTGATGACAATTCAAAAGATTGTTTGAAAACCGGATTGTGTATTAATGATATATGTGATCATTTAAATAAAAGTGGCAAGGTGAAAGCATGTATTTCAAATGATGCTGGCCGCTATTTATGTGAATATATTTTTTATAAATCACTTTATGTTGATCATACAAAAGTTTTATTTATACATGTTCCTATGCTGAATCAACCATATTCTTGTGAACAATTGACCGAGGGATTAATTATTATTATAGAAAAAGCGTTGGAAATGTTAATGTTAAATGAGGAAAAACGTTAAGTGGGGTATTTATTATTCATGAAATTCAAATTTTATTTTTAAGAATTAAACTATATGTATGCCAAATTAATACAAATAAGCGTTTTATTGTTTTTTATATTTACAATTTTCCTTTTCCTAATATAATACAATATACACAGGTGTCCCATATCTTGCGCATCAGAGCATTATACGGTTGTAGGATACATTATTCTGAAGCGATCTTTCTAATAACATTTTTCCGAAATGTTTATAATAACCGCACGGGAACTGTTTAAAGTTGTCCAATAGCAATGATTTTCCGTGAATCACGGAAAAAGGTTATTTCTCTTTCCGTGTCGAATCTATTGGTGAGTACATACACGTGCAAAACTAGTTTAAAACGGCGCGGTGGACCGGCCGGGGGTGATAATTCTGATTTCAATGATATGTCCCAATACAATGTATTTCATTTAAATAAAACATTGAATTATTCAAGAAAGAAAATAAACCTGATGATAGTTTCATGAAAACGAAACGTCGGAAAAAATTTCTAATTGTGTCATGACATTTTTCATAAAAAGTTGCCTTAAGAATGTTTTTTCAGATTCACAAAAAACGAAAAATATAGTAGTTATAGGCAAAAAACGAAAGAGTAATTTTTTTGTTTTTCTGCCATATTTTAAAAACTAAAACGGCTAGATCCAAAAACTTAGTTGAAAATGATGAGCTCTAAGATACACAACTTTGGCCCCATTTAACCATTTCTGTATCTCTTATGGTTTCTGATCTCAATGGTGGGGGTCGAATTTGAATTACCTTGTATATATATATACTTCCAGATCCTCCTCCATCCTCGCCCCCATCACCTCCCTCATCCATCTTTTGCCCTCGCCCCCTTCTCCCAAAATCTGCTTCCTGACATTGCCTCCTCCCTTACCTCACTACACCCTCTCAGCATGTGCTCCGGCGTCTCCCAATCCTCTCCACACAGCTTACACCACCTTTCCACATAGTCCGCCTAGTACCTATTCCCTCTCTCCACATTGCCATAGCGGAATCTGGCCACCAATCTCTTCCCTTGAACATCGCCCTCCATCAACAAATACTTTGGCAGTTCCTCTGTCACTATCCCCCCATACCTTTCACCTGCCTCTGTATATCCATGTTCCTATCTCTCAGTTCTCTCCACATTTCACCTCTTTCCGCTCTTCTGTTTTCGACCCCAGTTAGTGAATATCCCACTCTCCTATAATATTCTTCCCTATCTCTTTGCCCATAGATCAGCCTCCTCTCCTTAATTTCCCTCCAGCACTCTCCCAAAATCCTGCAATGCTACTTTGCTTCTATTATTTCCTCATACTTCACCGCTCTTCTCCCAGCCTCCATCCTTACTGCATCCACCTTAACCTCCTCCTTCACTAGATACCCCGGAGTCTCCCTTGCCAACCCTAGTAGCCATCTCCAAAACCGTGTTTGTATATCCATCAGCAATACTTCTTCTCTCCATCCCCATGCTTCTGCGCCGTACATTATTGTGCTCCTTACCAAGCCATCAAACGTAACCTTTCTTTTTCCCATGTGCCTCCCAAAAGTTCTTTCCCCCAACCCCAAACCTGTCCCATCACCCTCTTCGCTCTTTTTGCCATCTCCCTCACGTGCGCCCCGACCTTATTAGTTTCCGCGAACCCATATCCCAGGTACCTTTCACTCTTTCACTTGCTCTATCTCTCTTCTCTGCCACCTCCATTCCTCCTTCTTTCTTCTCCCCCCTTTGCAGGACTTTATTATCTTTGTTTTCTCGACGTTTACCTCCAACCCCTTCGCCTTAAAATATCTTTCCAGGGACCTCATCATCTTCTTCGTCTCCACCGCCTCTCTAGCCACGACCACCAAATCGTCCGCATACGCTAGGGCGTGCACCTTTGTTCCTTCTATCACCAAACATTTATCCCTTCACAAGTGTCTTTTCCAAGTCCACCATATATATAACCACTTTCAACAGTTCACTGTCATCACAGTTCACCACTAAATAAACATAGCTTTGTCTTTAGAAGAATATTCTCTAAGATATTCGTCCTTTATCAGTCTTGCTCATGGCCATGTTATTTCTTGAGTGGAGACTCCACTCACCCTTTTAGCACTAATAATTTTGTATGCGATTAATGGTTGTTGACATGCCTTCAAAACCCATGCATCCCATGAGTTGTTGAGTTCATCCTAATAGCTTTTTTTGCCTTAATGAACCAACTGATCGCACCAAGTCCAACTTCTGCAAAAGACAACATGCAAACTGATCTTAGCATGGCTCTGGTCATCTCAATGTCAGCCTGTGGTGATTTATTGGAACTTGGGGCTCGAGCCGGGAAACAATACATATACGTATAAAGAGTTGCAGAATTCCCAAAAAATAATTCAATTATAAAGTTGTGCAAATTTCATATAAAAAATAAAGTTGTGTTGAAAATTATAGATATTCTAAATTATCGCACGATACAATAGTGAATGAGTACTCACTATTGTATACGAATTGCAATAATTGTACATGTACGATAATTATCGTACGTTTGGCAACACTGTGTTTGAGTTTTCGGGACATTTAAAGAACTGAGGGCCTTGAGGGCGTTCTTTTCCGAACGGTCTTGAATGGGTGGTTTTGTTGAAACACTACGAGTTTTCTTTAGGATAATAATTTAGGTTTGTTGGGTTCCTGCTCCATCTAAACGTGGCACAGTAGCAGTAACTTAACTATTATTAGCAACATCTACTGCTGCAGTTGAATTATTATTCAAAATACTTTGCCCAATTTTAATTTCTCTGATTTCACTACCAAATCCAAATTATCAACCATAACGAACGATTTTTAAATGTCTCTATCCACAATATGGGAGAGCAAATTGAGAAATGTTAAATAAGGAAAAAAGTCTTTAGGTGGGGTATTTATTATTCAAGAAATTCAAATTTTATTTTTAAGAATTAAACTATATGTATGTCAAATTAGTACAAATAAATTAGAGAATAAAGAAATAAAATTCAAAAATCATCATGCAGAAATAATATATTCACTTTCATTTTCCTATACTGTCCTGTAAACATATACAATGAAAGAATTATTCTATTCGGAGTCGGACGATCCTGTGTCTGATAAACACAGGTCATCTTTTAAATCGTGTGTGGAGACGAGATTCGTATTAAAACCACCATTGGTGGTATGGACTCCCCCTCCTCCACTTCCAATTGAATTAAGGTGCGGATTATGAACGATGGTCACATCATTGTCATTATCTGATTCTGAGTCGCTACTATTTGAAGAGGAAGAACTATCGCTCATCTCACCAACACCATTCGCCTCATTGTCGGAATTATTATTTAAAATCGGAGATTTTTCAGCTCGATTAATGGTAGTCATGCTATTGATACCGTTATTAATAGGTGGCGCAGGCGCCACCTCGGTAAAATCTTCATCTAAACCGATCATTGGTAAACTAGCAAGGGCGTTTGGATTGTTGTCAGTATGGGTACCATGGTGGTTATCCCGTTTTGGGGACGGATAATTCGGACTTGATTGCAATGGGGAGTGTTTTGGAATAAGCTGGGTTATGTTACGTTCTGCGCGGCGACCTCCACTAGTTACTTTGGTTTTACTGGAATTCCGCCTTCCAACTGGGGATGTTTGAGCTTTCGGGACATTTAAAGAACTGAGGGCGTTCTTTTCCGAACGGTCTTGAATAGGGGGTTTTGTTGAAACACTACGTGTTTTCTTTAGGATAATATTACTATTTAAGGATTCCAAGCGAATATCTCCAGTTACTTTATCGATTATTAACACACATTCCTTTTGGCAAGTCTTTTGTGAGCCTTTAAACACCGTTTGTTGGGTTCCTGCTCCATCTAAATGTGGCACGGTAACAGTAACTTGACTGTTATTAGCAACATCTACAGTTGCTATTTTATTTACATCTACTGATGCTGGTTTAAAATCATCTGTAACACAAATATATTGGTTATATATTAATGTTTTAAATTAATTAACGTTTTATAATCGATAAAGTAAAATTATTACAGAAATAAAATGAGGAAAAATCTCTTACATCTGATAGTATGAAATGCAGTTGAATTATTATCCAAAAAACTTTGCCCAATTTTAATTTCTCTGATTTCACTACCAAATCCAAACTTATCAGCCATAACGAACGATTTTTAATCAAGACCTGCGCTCGTTCCTAGGTAATGTCTCCCCACAATATGGGAGAGCAAATTGGAACAAATTGAGCGTTTTTTCGTACGATTTTGAGCTATCTTTATCATGCGTAAATGGTGTGAGTTAAAGTATTTTTGGTAACCTGTTGTGTCCACCTCAACTGCGTGCCTATTTTTTTTTTTTTTTAATTTTAAACTTGAACTACATTTTTTTATCTTTACGACAAGCTCACATTACGTATGTCACTGATCTGCAACTATGGAAATAGAGACAAGTGGAGAGAATAACAATGCAACGTTGCCAACTGGTCGCACCCCATTTTAGTTACCATTAACATGTTGGCTATAGTGTTTGTCAAAAAATTCGTTTCATCTCCTTTTAATACATTTATCGACTAAATCTGTCGCAGTCTTTTAAGATCCGAAAATGTTATTAAAAATTAAAACCAAATAACCATTTTAATACATAAAATGAATTAATTTAATTAATAATGAAGTGTGTACACATTAGTATACGTAACGCAGTTGTAATTTTATTATGTTTTCTTACACAACATTCTCATATGCGTAAATTATACAAGTCTAAACATAGAATAGGTTATAACATTATTTTTTTTTAGTTGATAATGAAATGGATGTTTCTTCAACGAAGCGAGATGTTAAAAACATTCCTGCTGAAAAAATCATACGCTCCAGAGAAGATAAAATTATTCCATGCTCTTCATCAGAAAGCACACCTTGTACAAATTTAAACGCTGTTTGTCTTAATTGTAACTTTACAAATTCTTGTATTTACGGCGAAAAAGTAAATGTTACATGTATGGTCGATTCTTATATTAAATGTAGTGGAGATCGTACATTTGAAAAAACTGTAATTTGCCAATATTGTTATCAAACTGAACGATGGGAACATAATTGTGAATTAAAAGCGGATTGTCACTCTATATTAAAATCGAAAAATACTTATCAGACTAATTGTACAGTTCGGGATGATATAGTTTGTTTAGGTGAGATTATTTTTAATCAACAGCAAAAATAATAAACATTTTATGATTTAGGTGAAAGAACTTTTAATAAAAATGTTCAATGTAATTGGACTCGTGGTTACCGTTGGACAACTACTTTAGCATTAAGTATCGGACTTGGTGGATTTGGAGCTGATAGATTCTATTTGGGACATTGGCAAGAAGGAATTGGTAAATTATTTAGTTTTGGCGGATTTGGAGTGTGGACCTTAATCGATGTGATATTGATATCTTTGCATTATTTAGGACCAGCAGATGGTTCTTTATACATTTAATTTGGAATTAGAAAAAAATTGTTTTTAAAAATATAATGTATTTGTAACGTATGTTTTTTTGTACATTTATAGTTGTTTTGTTTAAATATATCACAAATACCAGTCTATAAACATCCCCATTAAATATATTACCTACTTATTATTTAATTGATTGTACTTATTTTAACACAATAATTGAATCTCTTGAATTAAAAAGTCTTTTAGTTCTTCTTCCGTCGAATTTGTTGCCATTTCTTCATCAATCTAAAAACATAAACTAAATTAGACTAAATACCTTAATTTGTAAGTTTTATTATTGATAAAAAGAACAACTTTTTTAAAACATTATCTCTTTTGTGGTTAATTGAAGAAATATTAAAAATAAACCTTGACGTGCATTTTGGGTTGCATATTCTCTATTTACATTACGAACTTTAAAAGAAAAACGCATTTTATTTTAAAAAACAGTAAAATTTCCGATATAACGGACTAATACGGGGAAGGGACTGCTACATGTCTCTTTTAGAAACTTTCGGGTAAAAACGAGAAGCATTGTGGTTTCAGAATGATTTTAGGTCTAGTGTTAGTTCTACAGTGTATTAATTAATTATCGTACCCAACGTCATCATTGCGAGTATGCAACCATCACCACTGTGCAATACGCAAATCGCGTATTGCAACAAGGTTTATATATTAAAGGTTGTCTAAGTACCTATGCTGCAATACTTTGATTAAGTTTGTGGGCGAGGGGCAAGAGCAGGAGTGTTTCGTGACGTAAGCGATCACGGATTATGCACGCAACTTCATGCCCATGTGGTGCTCCGTACATTTGTTTAATTTGAATTGCTGGCGGTATTATTTTCCACATGTGACGTAATGAGCAGTATGGTTGCGTACGAATCTAGACAACCTCTTATATATAAACCTTGGTATTGCAATACCAATACTGTGATATTGGTTGCATACTTGCAATGATGACGTCGGGTACAATAATTAATTAACACACTATACTTTTAGTTCAATAAAAATACAGTAATACCCCGACGAAGCACCCCATTTTACGTAAATTCGGAGTTACGCGATTTCAACTCGTTTCCCCCATTCCGCCCACAAAAACACACAGTGGTTGGCTTTGCGACAGGTTCAGACGTGTTTGTTGCGTGTGGAATCGTTTACCAACACTGAGCTAGCTATCATAGACTGTAACAATATCATCTAAACGAAGTAGAACTGATACTGATTCATTTGCTTCAAACCAGAACAGCAAATTATTATTGTTTGGAATGTAAACTTAATATTATCAAAGACTTTGATGCAAAAATTAAAATTTATGAATTGGCAAAGCAGTTTAAACTATCGGAATCAACAGTCAGAACAAAGAAAAAAATTTTGAAGCTGAAAAAAACTTAATTTTTGAATTCAAGCATAATTCGTAAACGGCATGGTATTATCGCTCAGATGGAACGGTGTGATAATCAAGTAAGAGTGAAAAATTGTCCTGTTCATCAGAACACGGTGTGCTCTCAAGTTAAGCTAATATTTGAGAGATTGAAAGAAGGAGAGGGTGAGGCGTCCAATAATGAAATGTTTAAAGCAAGTAACGGTTGGTTTAGCCATTTCAAAAGTCGTAATTGGCATAGAATCGCAGAAAGTAGAGAGGCGGCAAGCGCTGATAAAGAGACTGCATCTCTTTATCCAAAGAATATCAAGGCAATGATAGAAGTATGTGGCTATAACAGCCAAATCATATTCAACGTAGATGAAATAGGTCTGTTCTGGAACAAAAACTTTTAAAGCTTGGGTGTCAGCTTTTTATTTTTGAGGACTGGTTTGGTCATCATAGTCATCATAGTCGAACGTTATTGTCAATTAAAACATCCTCCTGCAACTCTAATTAATTTTGACCCACGTGTGAAAGTTGTATTTTTGCCACCGAATACAACCAAACGAAGCTTGCTCCAATCGCTGGACCAGGGAGTCATTACAACATTTAAAGCTTACTACACGAGACGATCGTTTGCGTATCTACATGAAGCTATCAGACAAAACGACGAGCTTTTCTATTAAAGATTTTTAGAAGCAAGTCAATGTTTTAGATGCCGTGAGAATGAAATTTCACAAAAAAACTTTGAATGGCGCCTGGAAAAAACTGTTCATTTTCTTTCGTCACAGAAACCCAGGAGGAATCAACGCCAGATCCTGATCCAATTGATAATGTGATTCAAGAAGTGGTCGATCTTACCAGACAATTAAATTTAGAGGTGAATGGCGATGACGTTCAAGAAATGCTGGATTCACATAATCTGGAGCTGATAATTGATGAGCTTGTAGAAATGCGTGAGCAAGAAGAAGAGCAAGACATTGATCAATGTGATTCTTTAGACTCGGTTCAATCAGAAGATCAAATGGCGGTTACACATTTGACAGAAGGCCTCAGTTCAATTGAAAAAGGATTACAATTTTTAGAAAAAATAGACTCCAGATGATGCGTATTTTTATTACAAAACGGGGAATAACAAATTTATTAGGATGCTACGAGGAAATTTTGCGTGAGACTAAAATAATTGGAGAAATTAGCAAATTCTCGGTAAAACTCTTATCAAACCTTGCCTGTTAGAAACCGCTAATATTCTTCTTGAACCAGAAAGTTAATAAAAATTTTCACAAATTCTGCTTTCTAACGATACTGTGAAACGTCGTATCGATGATATGGCCGCAAACATAAAAATTCAGGTAGTGGAGGCCGTGAAAGAATCAAAGTTTTTTGCAATGCAGTTGGAGAAGATTACGGATGTTGCACAACGAAACAATCAAAGACGAAATGCTGTTTTCTACAGAGGTAATGACAACTTCAGAAGCAGTTGATATAATGGTCATGGCAAAAGTTGATAGATATATGCACAGACGATACTCCCTCAATGCTTGGGTTTCGCTTAGAATTCGTACAGTTGGTCAAAGAAAAAAATTCTAATGTAACCGTTATTCATTGTTTTATACATCGTCAAGCTTTGGCGGCTAAAACATTTTTTAGCGAATTCAACGATGTTTTAAAATTATGCATTAAAATTGTCAATTATGTTAAAAAAATGCGTTAAACACCCGACTTTTTAGAAATCCAAAAACAAACTGAACTGTGTGTTGAATTCAGAAAACCAATTTTATTGTCCTAGCAGTATTGCCTTATCTATCGAATATTCTCGATTCCTTGAATTAAACTTGAAATTACAATTGAACATACTTTATCACGAGATGCCATCACGACTTACATTGAAAAATTGTAACTCTGAAATCGCAAAATTTTAACATGCAATTATTCCTGCTTTTTGAGGACACTGATAATATGAAGAATAAAATAGCAACACATCAGCGACAAATTCAAGCGATCCTTTTTAAAATAGATGAGTTAGCACACAACACTACAAGAGCAAGTTTTGGGAATTAAAAATGATTCTGCTGCCAAATATGATTTTGAAAAGATGGATAAGTATTTTGGGTAAAATATCTCAAAGTTTATCCCAGCATAGCAGAACTAGTGCTGCAACTGTATTTACAGTTGTAGCAATAAAACTGAAATATCTACGTTGTGCGCTTTCTTTCATTCAACCTAGAATTGGAAATCTTGTCAAAAGTATGCAAACTCATCCATCTCATTAATTGATATGTTCTTTCTTAACACAGGTGTGTGAAAACAATATTTTATTCTTTTGTAATAAAATTTTTACGAAATATGTACGTTTTTTGCAGTTATAGATTTTAGATAGTAGGGAGGTGTGATAAAAAAACTTTGGGAATCACTGGAATAGAGCAACTTGAGGAATAAATATAATGTATTAAATAAATATATTTTTATACCCACCACAATAAGTGCTTCTGGTAACGATTTTAAAAGTCTCAACTTCAAAAACATAGGTCCATTAGGCCAAGACTCCCTATTCCTAACACAAGTAGTCTCATCAAGAACTTCAATGTAAACTTCTTTCTTATTTTCCTTATTATATCCAGTTATGCCACAAATATCTAAATGAGGAACTTCATACGTAATTTCAAATCGTAAATTTTTGGGCAAATCCGATTTTAATGTTAAAAGCATCTCATAAACCCATGAAAAATGAGGTCTTCTTTCTAAATGTAATTTTGTATGAACCGGTCGAAATGGTTCCAATGTAGTATTTAAATCATTAAAAAGCTGTCTGTTCTCGAAATATAAACAAGATAAAAATAGATTTAATCTTATTTTTGTACGAGATTTTTGATTTTTAATTAATGATATTGTTTTTGGAGTTAAAGTATGTTGAATTAAATCGATTGGTTGATAATTTAACATCCATAAATATAACATTAACTCAACAAGATCTTCAATGTCGTTTTTATAATAACCCATAAGTGCTTTTTGTTCTATAATTGGTAAAATAATTTTTATGTACCCAGTATCTTCGCAATAGTTTAAAACACTCATTGCCCATAAAAATCGAGTTATATCTTTGTTACGAATAGCATTAATGTTTGTTGAAACGCGATTAATTTCCTTTAAACACGATATTGTTAAAAGTCTTAAAAGATTTTCATCGTAATAAGTGTAATCAGCAAATAAAGCTAATATATGACACATTGCCATAAACGAATAATTTTTATAAGTCTTATTAAATAAGATAGTACAAGCTATTGTTGATAAAATATCATTGTCTTGATTTCTATTGTGTCGTAATGTTTTTATTAAAGTCACAAAAATAGCTGGATCATGCAAAATATATAAATTATCATTTATTGTTTTATTTATTTTGTCTAATATACGTTTATTTGATATTTTTGTACTGGTTCTAAAGGTTGAGTTGCAAATAATGCACAGTTCTTCAATGCCTAATTCATTGAAATCATATTTTTGTAAGGCAGTCATACAATTTTTTAAAACTTTTTGGACGTCTTTATCTTTCTTTTTTAAACTAAGATAAAACATGGTCTGTAGCAGTTCTTTTTGGTTCAAAAAATCGATGTTATCAATTAAATTATTTAGACCAAACTCGTAAATTTTATATTTCATAATTGATTCAACGTCTATTTGTGCCAGGGCGTTTAAAATATTCAAAATAGATTTTGGATCTAAATTGTCAAGTCTCGACATGCATTCATAATCGATTTTGTTAATAACATATTTAAATTCGGGTGATTTTGAAAATATTTTTCTTTCCTTTAAATTAGATAATACATTCTGTAGTTGTTCATCAGTGTACTGCTTAAAAGAATTATTTTCTACACCAATTTGTTTTGAAGAATTATGAATTCTCAAGTTCTTCTTAATATCATCATTATTATTATATTTGTTATCAATGTAATAAGCAAGTCTTGATAGTAACGATTGATTTCTCTCACCTAAATGGTATTGAGGTGAAGATAACGTTGAATTTTGCCTTCTTTGCATGAATTGTACACCATTTCGGAGTAAATTTTTAATTAATCTCATGACCCCCTTTTAACTACTATTAATAAAATTAAATTAAAACAAGAAAATTCACACTTCACAATTAAATTTACGTAGGAGTATCATAAAAAACGACGTATTTAATATAAATAGTATCAAATTTCTAAATTTAAATCGGTAATTTTGATAACATTTGGCGAAGAGGTTATGGTACATAACAGTGACATTATTATGTTAAGTTGGTACAAATTAGCATCTGATAATAAACGTAATTTTAGATTAAGCCAGACTAGATTCATTAGTTTTGTAATAAACGATACAATAGTAAAATAAGTGAAAATTATTTTATTGTAATATTCGTTTAATCAATTCAAAAATGACACCAAATCATCAACTCAAATCTAGTAACTTTCGTGCTTCGAAGTTGGTTTGTATCAACTATAAACATAACCTTTAAAAAGACGATTTTGAACAAAAATGAATAATTACAGAGAAATTTGTACGTTACAATTTGGACATTATGCCAATTTTGTGGGAACTCACTGGTGGAACATTCAAGAGCATGGATTTGTATTTACTCCAGGAGAAAATGTGGAAATAAACAATAAGATTTTATACCGAGAGGGACAAACTTTAAAAGTTCAAGTTTTGCTTTAATAACTTTCTTTTTTTAATATATTTTTTTTAAGGGTGAACCTACGTATACCCCACGTTTATTGCTAGTTGATTTAGATGACAGTTTAGGAAGTTTGCCCAAGGAAGGATGTTTGTATTATGGTAAACCAACAAAGGAATTAAATGATGCAGTTTGGGATGAAAATTCTATACAAACTCAAGAACAAGATGAAATAGTTAAAAATCAATATTTACTAGATTTAGAATCAAATCGAAGTGATGTAGTGAGAAAATACGAGTTAGAAAATAATGTAAATGTTTGGTCTGATTTTTTATATACACAATTTCATCCAGAAACTGTTACTACAATTAAGGAATATCAACAAAGTTCTGATGTCCATAATTTTAATGTTTTTCCATTGGGAAAGAATTTGTGGAAAACTCAACAATTTAATGAACAATTTTGTGATAATATTAATTCCTTTGTTGAAGAATGTGATAACATGCAAGGTTTTCAAACACTTTTTGATGGTACAGATGGTTTTGCTGGGCTCTCTTCATCTTGCATTGAACATTTAAGAGATGAATACCATAAAAAATCAATTTTAGCAATACCAATTGTCCCATCTCATTATAAAGATTATGATTTGATATCAGAAGAAGATGAAAGAAAATCTCAAATAAATGATTGTTTAAGAATAATTAATTTAGCAATGTGTTTTCATGATTTATCTGAATTGAGCTCCATTTTTATTCCCTTAAGTATTATAGAAAATGGATGGAAGAGACCATTTGTTAATAGATCATTTAAAAACATAACTTACAACGTAATTCTTAATAATAATAATTTTTGTAACCAATTCATTATTGATGAATGTTTTAGAATAAATTACCATATCATACAAGCTCGTTACTTGCGATAGCTTTAGATACGTTCACTTTAAAGTATCGGTTAAAAAAAGAGTTGTATACTTTGGATCATTTAACTTATGATTTATGTCAACACAATCGAAAACTGGTAGCGGCAAGTTTATGTATGCCATTTCCATTGGGAAATTCTGATAATCTTTTAGATACTTTGGATAAATGGGATGGACCTTTAACTCAAAGTATTACACCAAATTATAATTTGGGTTCCGACCGAATGTTAAATGTACTTTGCGCGCGTGGAATCTCACAAAATAAACTCAAAAAACCTTCAGGGAATGCTCAAGAACAATTCAACATGCCTGCATATAAATGTGAAACGGTTGAAGAAATGTTGAAGTTTTATTTATCTTGTACTAGTTTTGGAAGTGCTTCTCAGGTGATTTCTATGGAGAAAGGGTTGGAAATTAAGGCGCCAACACCAAATATTTTTAATGAAAATATAAAGGGTAACGAAATAATTTAAATAAAATTAAAAAACCTTATTTTTCTTTTTAACTTTTTAGATAATCCATTACAAGTTTTAGCTGGTTTACATTCCGGTAATGATGTTGGAAATATTATTGATTCATTACTTAAAGATGTTAAAAAATTGAATTTTAAACGGTTTCATCAATTTATTGACTCTGGAGTAGAGGTTGATGATTATAAAGAATGTATTGATAAGTTAATGGATTTTAAAGATTGTTATGAGGATGGAGGTTTAATTTAAAAGTTTATAAATAAATATTTGTTTATACTGCGATTATTTATTATAAATATATTTTTTTTAAAGTTATTTAACAGAGTTGTGACAAACATTTGCTTCTAAGTGCTAAAAAATATTATTTAAGTAAGAGAATCTTGTAAAATGTTTTTATGATTCTTCTTAGAAATTAAACAATAATCTTTTCTCTTTATGTTATTGCACATTTGAAAAGAAGCGATGTGTATAGCGGTTTTGCCATATGTCAAATGCATAAAACATGGAGAAATTGACTATGGCCATGTGGTCAACGCGACGACGACTTTACCGTTAATCTCATTTCTACTTTCTTCTCGTTTGTATTTACAGGTCAAAGGTTAGTCTGTACAAATAATACTTGAGTGTGGTGACAACTGTTCTTTAAATGCACCTGAAAATTATATAGCAGCAAGAAACTTTTACAAATATTGACAAATTGTGATGTTTTTTGCCAACCCTCTTCTTTTCTGCGTGGTATAAAGATTCTATATTATTCAAATCTTCTCCTTCATTCTCTAAATATCACAGCATAGTATATCATTTCAGCTTTTTTTATGCAAACTATGAATCTTCTATATACTCTAACTATTGAAATTATTTGTTATCAATATCAATTGTTGTATCTCTAGGTTTCTTTGTGCTTTTATATAAAACTTCTCCATCATTTCTCCTCAATCTCTGCATCACATAGTATTAGCAAACTTCTAAACAAATTATTAATCAATTGAAAAGTATTTTTGACAATTCTTTAAACGATTTTGTAATAATGCAATTATGAGTTCGTACAATTGTAATCTATTTGAAAATAAACAAATTAATAAATATAACATTGCGAAGTATTCCCTTATTTGGAGTTAAATGATCTTTGTAAATAAAAAATACACCATGACCTCATCGCTATTTTGAGAGAATTACATATAACGACTCCCGCGAGTCTTATTAATGCAGAAAACCCGCAACTTTACCCCACATTGTAATTGTTATCCATAGTCGAAGAAATCGACTCTTAAAAATTAGGTAGCATAAACTAAAAACTATATTTATTAAATAACTTTTAATTAATTAGATCTTTTAATATTAATTTGATAACAGCTATGTCAAACGTCTGGAATATAGCCAATAATTTAGCCATTCGTTGTTTTTAAAAAAAAATGTTTGAAATAAAAAATTCTCTATTAATTGAGGTGCATTTTTTGGCGATATTTGCTTGTTTACATTGTTTTTTGTTTCGTTGCTATGGCAACCAACATTGTTATTTTAAATGGGATGCATATGATTTTTTTACATATTTTGATAGACGATAAGTCCCTCTACGCGATGAACATATCAAATCATAAGGTTGTAATCGATGTATAAGAAAAAAATCGAAAATCAAATTACAATCAAAGTAGGCGCCGAAATAACGCCGTTGACAGCTTTAAATGTCAAAAAATTGACAGTTTAAACAAATATGGCGCAATTAAGCGAACGACAAAGAATCCAAATATTAATGATGTGTGTGTTATAGAAAACGCACTCAAAGTTGAAGTTTTTACACTGTTCAATAATATTTACCCGGATACACAATTCACAGCCCAACAGTATCCAAAATATTAAAAAAATTCTTTAACGCCGGAAGTGTTAAAAACCTTCCTAAAAGTGGACGGTCGAATGTAGCTACCAATGAAGAAAGTACATTAAATGTGTGTCACCCAACCCATATATCATTAATTTTTCGCAATTGTAAAAACTGTCATTCTTTTGACATTTAAAGCTGTCAGCAGCATTATTTCGGCGCCTACTTTGATTGTAATTTGCTGATTTAATATTTTCTGAAAACGCATTTTTCTCGATTTGTTTCTTATACAACCATATGATTTGATATGTTCATCGCATAGAGGGATTTATCCTCTTTCAAAGTATGCAAAAAAATATATGCATCCCATTTAAATTTACAATGTTGGTTGCCATAGCAACGAAACAAAAAACAATCCAAACAAGCAAATATCACCAAAAAATGCGCTACGATTAATAAATTTGTATTTGAAACATTTTTCTTTAAAACCACAAATGGCGAAGTTATTGGCTATATTCCAGACATTTGCCACACCCTATATAATTCGATTCTTAATTGTAAAAAATAAATAATTAAAAAAGCTAACTTAACTTTTTTTTCAACTTCATCAATAAGCTCTACGTTTAGTATTTGAATTATTAAGATGTTTACGATTAAAATCAATAGTTTTTTTTACTGTAATAATATTGCATTAAATTGTTATTTAAATCCACACCAACTTCAAAACCTACTTAAAACGACCTGGTTATTTAAGAAGAATTGATCATAAACGAAAATCAATTTCTTTTTCGTTTGTGACCATTTGTAAAGGTAATGTGGGTTTACATTCAAGGATCGATAGAGGTCCGTTTCTCGTTATGAGTCAGAGGTGTTGTCAGCGCGACCGCAGCCTTGTTTTTCACCTGATATGTAGGCAGCACCACTATAACTCGTTTTTTCCTCTTTCTCCAGCTCCTATACAATAACGAAGAGATCGGAACCACACCAGTAATAACAACGGCAAACAACGGTTTCTGTTGGTAGAGTTGCTTTACTCGTGTCTCTTAAGAAACATCTAAAAAAAGTGGACCCAATTTGTTGTATTCTATGTTCTTAAAAAGGACATAAAATTCGAGGTGAGTAAACTTTAATTATTTCAACACATCCTTTATAAGTAAAAATAAATATAAATATTTTTAGATTCCTTTGAAATAATATCCTGTAAAAGATAATTTAAATAATGGGATCAAGATTAGCAGAACTACAAGCAAGATATAAACAAAAACAGCTCCAAGAAATGGAGAATAAATTAAAAAAATTAATCCCAAATTCGGAACAAAAATCGATATCTGTACAAATGATAAGGACAACCACCTCAGAAAAAAGACCTCTGCTAGAAGAACGTAAACAAAAAGCTGGAATTGACAGAAGTTATCCTTTAAAACCACTTAAACTCACTAATACAAAAATTACTCAAAATGTTCATGTAACAAGGAGCATTAACATAAAAACCCCAATTACAAGCAACTTAACAATCAATAAGAAAGTTGTAGAAGATTCTATTAATATTGAAAATGAGGTTTTAGTTGATAAATCAGATGGTTTTAGTAGTAGCAATAGCAACTTAAATGATCTCAGCTTAAATAATAAATTAAAGGCACTTGAAATACAAGATAAAAGCAATGAAAAAATTGGCTTGAAAAATGTTGCAGTACTTAATAAGGTATGTTAAGAGGAGGGGGGGTAAATAAAAATGTGTATTTATGAATTTCAATATTAAAAATTATTACAATTAATTACCAGAAAATTTCACTCTAATTCATACAGATTACAACTGAAAGTTTTGACAGCAATCAATTTCTCAAAATTATTGACACACCAAGGAAATTCTCATAAATTTCTCAGTACTTTTTTTGGAAATGAAATTAAATTGGAAATTAAATCTCGTAATATTTATCATTTATTACAGCCATCGAGAGGTGTAAACAAAAAATCGTCTCCAGTTCCAAACCTTGTAATACAAAATATAGAAAAGAAAAAACCATTACAGGTTAAAGCAACAAAAACTAGTTTAGCGCCGAAGATGTCCGCAAGAGGTGGAGGAAATGTGGCTACCAGAGGTGGAGGAAATGCACCAGTAACTTTAAAAAACGTGGTTATTAGGTATTCGTAATTATTTTTGAATTATTAAAGCAAAGAGCGCCTACAGCTAATAGGCCATCAGCAAGACAAACACCAAGAGGACCATCTGCTGTTACAAGAGACGATTTAGCTGCTTGTAAATTTTGTAATCGCAGGTTTGCACCTGATCGTTTACAAATTCACGAAGATATTTGTGGAAAAACTGGTCAAAAGAAACGAAGAACTTATGATGCTGTAAAACATAGAATTCAAGGAACTGAATTAGAACCTTTTGTAAAAAAGGTTGCAAGAGCACCATCTAGGGTATATAATATAAATATTATTATATTTTTTTTACTTTATAAATAAAAATTTATTTTATTATTTTTTTTTAGGTACGAACTCCATCGTCTAAGAGAAGCAATTGGAGACAAACTCACAACGATTTTATAAGTACCATTCGTGCGGCGAAACAGGCGCAAGCTTACGTTGCTAAAGGAGGCAAATTATCCGACTTACCACCACCTCCACCATCTAGTAACCCGGATTATGTACAATGTCCTTATTGCGGAAGAAAATTCAATCAAGCAGCCGCCGAACGCCACATTCCTAAATGCGCTACTTACGAATTCAACAAACCTAAACCTGGAACAGCTCCTCGAAGATAATTTAATTTATAACAAATTTATAGTCTATTAACACATTTTGATGATATGTATTATTGGGTAATTTGTATGTAAAAATTATATATTTTTAATAAATTTTATGAGATTAATGTTAAATATTGTTTTTGATAACTTTGAAAACTAAATTAATACAGCAGTTTATTAGTTAAAATTATTCTACAATTATTACAAAAATGTTATATTTTTCTTTATATTATTATTTGGTATAAAAACAACTTTATTCCTACAGTTTTAAACTTTATACAATAAAATATATACAGGTCATAACAACAAAAATTGTCTACAACCCAGATTTTGTGAGAATACGTTCATCCCATATAGAAATTCCATCGCAAGCACATATTGTTTTAGGATTTTCAAATAACCCAGAAGATCGAGCAATAATCCCACACACTAATCGATTCTTTGAGTTAGACTCTAACAGAACTAATGACCTTCCGATTAAATTTGGCACTTCTATAACATGATCTTCTATTCTAAATGAAGCTCTACCATTTTTATCCGCTGTTATAATACCTAAATCCCCATATTTTCTGTTTGGATCTATAGAATTAGCCATTTCAAAACAATCACCAACACTTTCACAATCTAAAATTTCGTTTTTTAGAATATATTGAAAAACACTGTAATATAAATAACCTTTTGATATATCACCACATTCATGTATTGCTAAATTATAAATTCCAGGAGAGAGGCCGTCAATAGTACCATCGATAATACAAGAGTTAGATAATTGTATGAATCTGACAACACCTTTAATGTTTTGAAGACCAACATGTAAAATTGCAACGGCCGATTGTTGCCCAGCGTGCCCTTTAACAACCACTTTTCGACCTGATTTTTCCAAAATTTGTTGAACCTGTTCCGTTGGTAAATCAGTGGCAACAACAACCCTGTTTGCTTTTAGGTTAATATCTACTAGTTGTACTCTTGATTCGTTTCTAAAAGAATTTTGTACGGCTTCAACGCATTTTTCACAAGTCATTTTTACGGCGAATTCAATTTTAGTTATTGATGACATCTTTTTAAGATTTACAATGATGTTAACGATTTTGTATTATAAATGTCAAAAATTGAAAATGACAAGGAATTTTTTAAATCTGAAGTTAGCCTTAATTGATCTGTCAACAAACTTATTAACAAAACATTTAAAAAACGTTTTATTTAACCAACTCAATTTTATACACCTAATATGGATAATTTTATTATTTTTACTTATTTTCGTTGATACATTTAATCGGGAAGTAAATAAAAGATTTTACATTTACTGCGCCATCTAGTTATTGTATACCACAATTAAACTAATTATCTAATAATAATTATTGTAAAATTATTATTCTTTTTTTAATTGTTAATTATTTTAAGAGTAAAAACATGATGAATTTGTTGAAATAAAAATACGAATAGCTTTCCCTATTAATAAAATGCATTTGGTATAAGAATTACATTACATAAAAATACATTATAACGATTTCATTAATATTTATATACATATACATTATTAAATTTAATGGTAAATTTTAGTTTTTAAAGAACTTCATGTAACAAACAGTGATCAATATTCCGATTTCAACGATAATGATTAATACCAAAATCAATTTATTGTAAAGGACATTTCTACTCATCTTCCTTAATATATTTCTACTGCTATCTAATTGTTCATCTGCATGGGTCAATCTGTTTTTAGCTCTTAGTAAAGTTTCCCGTTGACTACTCAATTCTGATACAACTTCCGTTCCTATATTTTCAGTTTCAATAGCAACTTGATTTGTTCTGGCCAAACTATCTCCTGTTCTCGCTAAAATCGCTGTCCCCTCAAGTACAGCTTGTCTATTTTGGTTATCCCAATCCGATACACGATTATTATACATTTTTACCCTGGTTTTATTATTATCTCATACAAAAGAAATTGACGTTTTTGTTAGGTTAGGTTAACTGTCACTGTCAAATATTTGTCAAATAAAAAAAATGTTGATGACCCTTTTTGACAACAAATTTGAACGATTTTATTTAAATAAATATAATAACATAAATAACTTAATTACAAGAAATTATTGTGAATTTAATATAAGAAACTAATCAGATAAAAAATTGTAAATTATGTAGTTGCCATGGCAACGAATTAAATATGATATGTCTCAAATCAACAAAAATACGTTTTCTTATTGAATATTATTCATCAATGTAATGATAAAACAAACTTGAATCAGTGTAGAAACATAACCGGTATGTTAAAACGGATTCTTAAGAAATAATCGAAAAAACGTTGTAATAAAAACGTTGCTAATTAACCAAAATCAAAGTTGAAATTAAATTTGTCACCAAAATGTATCTTATGACTTGACCTGTCGTTATTCTCGTTAATAAAAAAAAACATTCATAGATATACAGACACCTTTTTACGTCGAGTGTGATTGTGCTAAATTTTCGATTAACTTTTAAAAAGAATGTCAGAAAAAAAAGATAAGATGTCGGAAATTGACGAGCACATAATGAAGAGATTTGATATACAAAAAAGATTAGGTAAGGGCGCGTATGGGATCGTATGGAAGGCGGTCGATAAGAAAACGAAGGAAGTGTTGGCTGTTAAGAAAATTTTCGACGCATTTCGAAACCAAACCGATGCCCAAAGAACTTACAGGGAAATTATGTTTTTGCAGTGCTTTAAAAATCATCCGAACGTCATCCGATTGCACAGTATTCACAGGTAAAAAATGTCGATGAAAATTCAATTTAAATTATTCATTAAGTTTTAGTTTTTTATCACTAGATGGTTGGTATTACCATTCATTTTAAACTCAAAATGAGTGAGAAAATTAATTAACTAATTATTTTTAGAGCGGCCAATAATAGAGATATTTACTTAGGATTTGAATACATGGAAACTGATTTACACAACGTCATTAAACGTGGAAACATCTTAAAAGACGTCCATAAAAGATATATTATGTATCAGTTGTTGAAGGCTACTAAATATATTCATTCTGGAAATGTTATACATCGTGACCAAAAACCTAGCAATGTTTTGTTGGATACATTATGCAGGTAAAATAAAGGATACGTAAAAAAAAGATTTTTTGGAATTGATTTTTAGATGTAAAATAGCGGATTTTGGATTAGCCAGGTCGTTAACTCAACTTTCCGATTCAAGTGAAACGGATCCCACACTTACTGATTATGTTGCTACAAGATGGTATAGAGCCCCCGAGATATTAATAGCAAATCGCAAGTAACTAGTGAATAAAAAAAGGAAATTATTAAGAATTTTTTTATATAAACAGTACCTTTTAGATACACCAAAGGGATCGATATGTGGAGCCTCGGTTGTATTTTGGGTGAAATGGTCGCTGGAAAACCACTATTTCCAGGTTCATCAACTGTAAATCAAGTTGAAAAAATTATGTCAACGATTGTTATACCAACACAAGAAGGTTATTTCATTTTCATTAATTTTTAAGATAAAAAAATTGTATGCTAAGTTCCCTTGAGATGATTTTTCAATCTCGGGAAGAGGAAAAAGTCACAAGGACTCAAGTCTATGGCTCTACTGGCCTTGGCCTCCACCAGCATCCATTCATCCCTGTCCCTCGCCTCTCTCTTCCAACTCCTACTTCCGACAATCGCCCTAACGTCCTGGTCGACTGCTTCCTTTCATCTCAATCTTGGCTGTCCCCTGGTCCAACTTCACCAACGTGATGTATGGCACAAAATATTCCAAAATTGTCATTAATCAGTAACAATTTTTATTGAAACAACAAGTACAAATTTCACATAGTTTATTTAGGATTTTGCCACGGTTAGACGTTAGAGTAAGTGCTCAAAATGTCCTCCTTCAGCAGCAATAGAGGTTGGGCGAAGATGAAGACCACTCTTCGTGGGTCCTATCTTGATCTATGAAGACTGAATGGATGAGCAAATCCCTCGCTTTGCGTTTTTCGATTACTTGATGGACAAGACTTTCCTGCACGGAAACCATTGTGTTCTTCCATGTCGTCCCATTACATTTTAATCTTATACTTTAAAACTTTGCCATACAAACTCTCCACTGTGCTAGTAACACTTATGCCTTGATAATTTAGGCATAACCGTTTATTTCCTTTTTTTAAAGATTGAGTAGATGTAAGCTAGGTTCCTTTCCAACCTAGCTTACTTAAAAAGTGTTGCCAAAAATTCGTGTAATATCTCGGGTTCATGGAGCAGGTCAATGGGGATGTTTCCAGGCGCGGCAGACACTTATCTTAATCATATAGTGTGTAGCAATTTTAGTTACTACCCCGTAACCAATATTTTGTTAAGGGTTTATAGTAGAAATTTCCTTTTATAAGGAGACTATGAGGAAATAATTAAATTTGGTATAGAAGGTTTCTAAAATTAATTTCTAATTTAATTTATTTCATCATATTTACTTGTATAATCCTTTTTAATAATAATTCTTTTTTAATAAAATTAGACATTGCAACCATTTGCGTATCAGGAGTTGGTTCATCAATGATAAAAAACGCATGTAATCTACCCAGGGTGAGCATGAAATCAATAGTAGGAGAAGATGTAGCATCTGACGCAATCGACTTAATCAATCAATTATTAGTTTTTAACCCAATGAAACGGTTAACTGCAGAACAAGCTTTAGAACATCTTTATGTTAGAAAATTTCATGATGAAAGTGAAGAGATAGAGATGTCACGGAGTGTAATTATTCCATTAAATGACGATGTTCGTTTATCAGTTGATGATTATCGAAATAAATTGTATGAATTGATGCAAACTCATAATATTACTAAACATCACAGAGGAGGTTTGCATAAAACTACGTTACGTTTACATACGGAATCTGTAAAACCAACGAGAGAAGTAAAATCGAAAGTTTGTAAAGATGCCGAGAGATATTTGAAATCTAGGTCTCAAAAAGAGAAGCCATATAATACGCAGTCAGAACCTCGGTTAGGACATTTACAAAATTATAGGACTAGTTTGAATATAAAATCTGATTCAAAAATACCAAAACCGATGGTGGCTACAACAACGTATTGTGGTGATTACAATAAGCAAAGTAGCGATTGCAGCAGGAAGAGTGCAGTTAGTAATGATTCGAAAGAAAGAATTCGAAGGAGATCAATTAATTCAAGGAGTAATGTGTATATGTCGTTTAATAGTTACAATCAAAATCATGGTATTATTACTCAAAGTGCACTTACGGAATTAAAGGCTGCTGGAATGCGGTAGTCTTAAATTAAAAAGAAATATTTTACATAACATATACTTTTGTCTACACATACATTCTTATATTATACAGTATTTTCGATCAATTTTTTTGGTCGCATTTTTTGCACGTGTGATGAAAACATTTTTTTGATACTTGAGAACGATATGCATACAAACTTCAGAATCTCGTGTAATTTATTTATGTACACATGGTGAATTGACTTGTTTCAATAATAAAATCAAATTTTATAAGAGTATTATTTTGAATTTAGCGTTTAATTTATTTACTTAGAGTGATAATTATTCTCAGGGGCAATAAAAAAACCGCCATTCAATTGATTCTATCAATATTTCGTATTTTACTTCCTCAGGGCGAGTCGTTAAATTGCAATGAAACTAACGAAAAATCGGAAAAACATTGTCAAAAAATCACGTGCGAAAATTTTTAAGTGACTACTTATAATGTGGGTTAACTCTAAGTGCTGCTAACGGGATTGAACAAAATCTCCTGCTTGGTTTTTTAAAATTTATTTACTTTAATTACAACCACAAATTACAAATTTATTTACTAAAGCATAATTTGATATTTTAAAGATCTTTTTACTCGAGATATAAGTAAACGACCATCATAACTTAATGAAGTAAAAATCCAAGGTTCTGCTGGGGACCACTCAGCACAATAAACACTGTCTTCATGTTCGCACCATTGCAAAGGACCATCAGGTAATAATTGTTTTGGTTCAATAGTTTCACCTGCTATATTTACATCACTGTTATTTTCGGAACTAACACTTGCAGCACTTGAAAGTAAAACTCTTGCATCAGAGCTGGCAGTTAAAAGTAGTTGGTCATGGAATGGATTGAATCTTACACACCATACCCTAAAAATTAAATTTTATTTATTGCAATTTTCACTAATTTAATTAAATTTTCATCCCTACCAATGGGAATGATCACTTCTAGAATAAACAGGTTGATTTGTTTGTCTAAAATCCCAAATTTTTACAAAACCATCATCACCACATGTAGCCAAATGATACTGTTTATTTAAATTGTAATCCAAATCTCTTAAATATTGGCTATGAACTCCATCAATATGCCAAGCTAATTGTCCTGTACGAATATCATATGTTTTTAAATGAGTTTCTGTTGCTGTTGTAAACTAAAATCAATTCACTTAATTTAAAGATAAAATAAAAATGTTACAATATAATACCTGATTACAATTTTGATGAGGGTTCCATTTACCAGTTGTAAACTTTGGATTACTTTTACCTTCTAAACCAATTGTTAAAATTGATTTAGCTACATCATCAGACAAATCCCATAAAAAACAATGATTCTCACATAAAGAAATAGCTTTATTCTCCTCAACAGGATGAAATTCAGTAGCTTTAACATCACCACAATTTAGAGGTGTTTCAATGTTTACCAAAACATTTAAAGTTTCTATTTGATTGGAATTTGTTGTTTCTGGTAGTTTCAATATTGCAGTTTTTATTCTACATGAATTATCATTTGTTATATCATTATAACAGGTACTTATTAAATCGGAATGTAATGGACTAGAAATTATTTTCCAAATTTCACCTTGGGCGTGATGATAAACTATTGTTTTTAACGTTGAATTTTCTTCGTCGAATTCTACTAAATGTATTTGATTGTTGGTTTGTTTTAAAGATTGGGTTCCAATTAGAAAACAAATTTTTTCAGTTTCCGCTTGTTGAGGTGTCAAAGCCCTCGCCTATAATAATTTATGATTTAAGAGATATAAAAACAATAATTTAAACTTTTTACTTGGAATTCTAATCCATAAATAACGGAATTTTCATTATCCATTTTTTAAAGTTGACGTTTACAAATCTAACCTGAAATACCTATATTTTTGATAACGGTTGCTAACTTCATTTCGATTTCTCGACGATTAAAAAAAAAAAGTAATTAAAATAGTTATGATATTAAAATACACATGTATAATTCAGTTATAAATAAATAATAGCGATCAATAAACCAGATTAATTTTTTTTCATCTAACTGTTAAATGTTAAAATCGAACTTCATGTTATTCCATGTTTGGATATTGAAACGTCAAAAATGAGTCACTGAAACGTCAAGTTTTTTCATAAAACGTTTTCTTTATTTTTCCTCAATTTCTTTGTGATATCAACGCGTTGATGTCTGATAGTGAAAGCGATTTTGAGAATACAACAGAAAGCACCAGGCTAATGGACGGGCACGTATCTGCCGATGCGGCCGCTGAAGTGCGAGCGCTTGGAGAGCCCCAACAGAAACGCCGTAGCAGACAAAATCAGCAACAACCGCAATCGGTTGATGAGGGACATCAACATATTCCCGAAGTACGCGTTCAGGACGCCCAACAAGCTAATCAAGATTTTATCAGTGAAGAAGAAGAGTTAAAGTATGGTGCAAAACATGTAATAAAGTTGTTCGCCCCCGTTTCTCTGTGTATGTTAGTGGTAGTGGCTACAATTAGCTCTGTTAGTTTCTATACAATTAAAGATGTTTATTTGGTGTATACACCGTTTCATGAAGATAGCCCAGAAACGGGTACTAAAGCTTGGAATGCAGTTGCAAACTCGCTGATTTTGATAGCCGTTATTATAACAATGACGATTTTATTGATTATTTTATATAAAAAGAGGTGTTATAAAGTAATTCACGGTTGGTTAATAGTTTCATCTTTGATGTTACTATCGGTATTTTCATTTTTGTATTTAGAGGAAACTTTAAGGGCTTATAACATACCGTTTGATTATTTTACATTGGCTATTTTAATGTGGAATTTCGGTGTAATGGGTATGATCTGCATTCATTGGCAAGGACCTCTTATTTTACAACAAGCTTATTTAATATTCGTTGCAGCCTTAATGGCTTTAGTATTTATTAAGTATTTACCTGAATGGACAACTTGGGCTGTTTTGGGAGTTATTTCAATATGGGATTTAATTGCTGTACTCATGCCCAAAGGTCCATTAAGAATTTTAGTTGAGACCGCTCAAGAACGCAATGAGCAAATTTTCCCAGCTTTAATTTATTCCTCTACTTATATGTACATTGCAATGGCTACAGATGAACAACCCAGTAATGCTAACAGACAAGCTTCAAATAATCAAAATACTTCAGAAGAAGAACATGGTTTTACAGATGATTGGGTTCGAACGCATGCAGATCGCGTAACGCAAAGACAACTTGAAGTTTATGATGTTAGTGGTCAACCGAGAACTCAAGTACATGAACAAATGGATAAAGAAGAACGTGGTGTTAAGCTTGGTTTGGGCGATTTTATTTTTTATAGTGTTCTAGTTGGAAAGGCTTCATCCTATGGAGATTGGAACACGACCGTAGCCTGTTTTGTAGCTATTTTAATTGGGCTTTGCTTAACCTTATTATTGTTGGCGATTTTTAGGAAAGCTTTACCAGCTTTACCTATTTCTATAACTTTTGGTTTAATATTTTATTTCGCCACTAAAGAAATTGTAAGTCCATTTTCTGATCGATTAGCTGCTGAACAAGTATTTATTTAATGTAATAATTATTAAAAAATTAAATAAAATAGTTAATCCTTACAAAACGAATTGTTTGACAAGAAAAACCTTTGCATAACCTCAAAATGTAATGTAGGCTTAAATACATTATTTTAACCACAAAAAATAAATAATACAATTAATCATATTAAAAAAAGTTTATTATTAAAATCTAATCAGTTTTTAAATCATTTGTCATAACATTTTCCTTCATCTTATCCCTGAAATATTTAAAAACAGCTCCACTGGCATCCCGACAAGTTTTTAAAGCCTCCTTAAATTGATTGACACTAAATGAACCAGTTGTATGTGATGCTACAATTCGCCCTTCAAAACTATCAAATACGAAAAGGAATCCTGCTTTGGAGTTCTCCCATTCTAAAGCGGGAGGTTCTAATTTGATGATATTGTCTTCATTGATAGCGCAAGAAACGGCTCCAATAAGAAATTTCATATCAACACCGGCATCTAATAAAGCTGCACACGCTGCATTTATTGCACAAGAAATTAGCTGAAAAATATGATTTCATTAAAGGAGTTAATGAATACCCAAAAACAAAATTTTTTTACCCCTCCACAATTTTGCATTTCTTGTAAAACTATCATTATTGAGGTTCTTGGATAAAGAGAAGTCACTAAAGCCACTTCGCAAACGTTTTTTATTATAGCTTCATAGGAACGGTCACCAATACCTAAAATTTATTATATTTCACTGTTTTTAAAAAAATAATTTATTTCCTTACTGGGTATTCCACTTTTTGGCCTATAATAGACCTCTACACAAACTTTATCTGTAAGGATTTTTTGTGACTTTGCTTCTATAGGGCCATAACATCCCGCAAGAACTGTGGTTTCACCTTCAAAAAAATATTTGTCTTAAAAATAATTAATCGTTTTATTGATCGAATACCTTGACTAAAAATTACAGACCCATCTGGTCTTGATAAAATATTTAAAGACGCTCGTTTTTCTTGCAAATTTTGCTGGGAAGTTATTATATCCATTTCCATTGTTTGTTAGGTTATGATTTATTAGATACATAACCTCACTTTTTTTACAGATTCCTGTATGAATGAAATTTTTTTTTAATTATTTTTATTGATTTATTAAATATTACGAACATTTTGTTTTATTACAATGATTTATTAGAAATGTTACAATTTTTATATACAATTTTAATAGCACTATAGTTACTTGAAACCGATTTAATTTCAGATTATATATAAAAAATAGAGTTTTCCACATAAATTATCATTTCCTTTCAAAACATAAGAAAAAAATAGATTAGACAAATACATTTTCTATTTCTAACGACTTGTCGGTGTCGGTAGTGTGTATCCAATGAGATGAAATGATAACCACCAAGATAAAACAGGTTGAGTTAAAGCTACAAATAGCAAAAAGTACAATCGCCGTTTATTTCCGGTTTGTTGAACCTGTACTTCCCCGTAATAAGAAGTTGCAGCTTGAGGTTGTTGTTCAGGTAAAATTTGTCCCTTTAATGATCGCACCAAGAAAAACGCAAGCGCTAAATTTAAATAAATCAAACTTGAATAATACCCCATTTTTTCAGCTAACATGCTTATTAAAACACTAACAATAATCCCTACAAATTTGTATCCGCTGTAAGCCAATAAATCCAATGTTCTCAAGCTTGCTTTTATATTTGAAATATACATTGTACAACTGTAAATGGCCAGTTCGAAAACACACCAAGCCAATGCAGAGGACGCCTGTATACTAATTTGTTCAGGACTAAAACGTTTTTGCATGCCCAACACCAATCCAGCAACCAGAACAAATGTGACATATGCCATTGTTGGGATATACAAATCTGGAGCATTTATCTCATACCTTGGTTGAACAGGCCCGTCTTGAGCATACTTTATCGACCAATCTGAATGAGTAAATGGAAAGAGTAACAATCCTAACTTTGAAATTACATATTTTGTATCAACGGCAAAGTAATATTTTAGTTTTATTAATGGTACATATTTTTGTATTTCTTGTTGAACCATTGTTTTTCCAGTATTTGCTAACTGTTGTCCATATTGATAAGCCATGTCTTGTACCATCGGTTGTGCAAACACCCCTAATCCTGGCGCAGGTTGCATTTGAGGTGGTATATTTAATGATGGGTTTTGATTATAACCGTATCCCATGTCTTTGGTTGTATCAAAAGGTTGTTTTGGTTGAAGCTGAGGTTGTTGGGGGATGTTTGGTGCCATGTTATCTAATTAACAATAAATAGTAATTAGTATTATTATTTTTAAATGATTCTAATCTTGATTTTATCATTGTAATACAAAAAAAATTATATACTATTGAACTTTGTGATTTTCTAACTTACCTGGTGGAAATTGTTGTGAATTAGAATTATCAATAGGATTGTTCATATAAGGTTGTTGATTATAAGGATTATACCCCATCGAATTAACATCGCTAACCCTTTTAACTTTCCTGGCAAAGGCTGTAAAATAAAATTGACATTTCACTTAATAAATCAAAATTTTGGTTTTAGGTTAGGTTTTAAAACAAAACACTCACGGGGTCTTCCGGCTGCGTTCGCGTTAAAGTTCATTATAAAACAACACTAAAAATCTCCTTAGAAGACGATTTTCAAACAATTATTATTATTCTTAGCTCTTAATTCGAGTAAATCAGACACGTCATTTACGTACTCGCCGTTTTGACAGTCGCTCGATATGTTTAGGATTTGGAATACGGATTTTTTAGTGGGGAATTATCAATTTCTACAGTTGGTAACGATCGAATGGGTTGAGTCGCGTTTCCGTATATAAGTCCCGAACGGGTTTGGTGAATTTTCAAAACCAATTCGTATTGCAATCGTGGCGGTTAGACATCCTTTTTTCGTATTCCGATTCACCGAGTGTTCTTCGTGTAATCGTGTTTGTGATCGAAAAATGAACAATGAAAAATGACAATTTTAAAACTTGATTTAAAGGTTAATAATTTAATGGGGCTTCGATTTGGGAGCGGCAATCGAATGGTTGCTCACAACGTTTGTGATTAAACAACAATAAAGCGGGACACAAAACCGTATCTTTGTAAAAGAAAAATCGCGGGATGTTCGGGATTTGTTTTTATTATTCATTGTGATTTGAGAATAGCCGGTATTTTGGTCTTCTACTTCAAACAATGAGCGAAAGGATGAATAAGACGATTTTAGGGGCGGCGGCCGTAGCCCCACCGAAGCCGGTACCCATGAAGTTATTTGCTACATGGGAAGTTGATAGGACACCCAGTAACTGTATCCCTAGGTAATAAAATTGATGAAAACAATACTTTTTTTTTAAATTAGGTTTAGAAACCTTATTGATGATTTAAATACAATTTATTTAACCGTATTAAAAGGAATCTTAATTGGATTTTTTATGGTTTAAAAGTGAGTAATGTTGATAGATTTAGGTATTTGTAAAAAGATTACTCATATAATCCATTCTTTATTGTTCGTTTAATTCGAAAAAATATATATTAAGAACTTTTGGGGCCTTTATCCAATTCAATGTCGACATAACCTATACTTTATTTTGTATTAGTTAAAATGTCAAAATTGATATTGTCATTTAAAGTGTCAATTGAAAAACTTAAAAGTAATTTTTATTATGAATATTAATTTCAAGTTCAAATTTGAATATGTTAAATTGTTTAACGATTCAAATGCGGTTTTAAAAAATTCAATTTATCAAAAAAAAAGCGGACATAACCTATTTTTTATTTTGTATTATTCAAAATGTCAAAATCGAACTGTCATTTCAAGTGTCAATTTAAAAACTTATACGTATGTAGTTTCATGTGGGGGTGAATTCCTTCACAGCACTTAGGCCCCACCGGGCCTTTTGTACGTGCCCGATTTAGCCGCACGTCTCTCAAGATGGCTAAACCCAAATGATTTTAGTTCTAGTGTTAGTTCGAGTTTTGCACTAGCACTAGAACTAACACAAGACCTAGAACTAGAAACATTCGGGTTTAGCCACACGTCTCCCAAGACGGCTAATGCTAGTGCAAAACCAGAACTAACACAAGACCTAGAACCTAGAACTAGAATCATTCGGGTTTAGCCGTGCGTCTTCAGAAAGAACTTTAAAAGAACTAACATTAGACCTAAAACTAGAAACATTCAGGTTTAGCCGTCTTAAGAGACGCATGACTAAACAGAATGTTTTTAGTTCTAGTGTTAGTTTTAGTGCTAGTGTTAGTCTAGTTTTATTTGTTATTCAGCACTAGATTATTGTATATTTTGTCTTCATGATCGTGTCCCTTATTTCCGGTACGTCCTTTCCGCCACTTTATCGTGACGTTGTTGTATACATTAGCCTCCTCAAGTATCATAGCCTATCTGCTATCAATGCAGATTACAACGTTTCATGCAAAACGTAAAAGTAATAATTTAAATAAAATCCTGAATTGATATGGATGGAAAACATCTGTTTTTGATTATTTTTAAGTGCTGTAGTTATAAATTACTGTTTGTTACTACATGTTGTTTGAAGTGTTTAAAATTATAATAATAAATCGCAAAGGAGGATGTTGCCAATATTAGAAAAGGGTGCATAAAGGATGTTTCTCATTTTATTCAATTCCATTTTAAGCTTTGGCACATCCTTAGGTTTATACTTTAAACGGAATTGTTATAAACATTTTTTTTGCTGTCAATTATTGTTCGTAATTGTGAACAATAAAAAGTTTCAAATAAATCGTTTATTGCGTTGTAATTACATTATCGATTCAAAGTTTTTCTTCTCACTTTATAAAAAAAGAAAATTGCGCCGTTTATAAATAAAACGTACGATTAATTTCTAAAAGGGAACGACGGCGCAATTTTCAACGACCCACGTATTAAGCCCTTCACTCTTTCTACTAGAAAGAACAATAAAACCCCAGAGCTGTTTATTTCCTTCTTTCCCCCATGTCTAATTTAGACGTGATTCATTAAAAAGTTCTCTCATTCAGAGCCAGATTTATGACCTCGCATTTAAATATCAGCACTTTTAATTATAATTTCAACTCAAATTTTAATTGGTTTTTATTTATTTTCGTTACAGATTATGTTCTTTAACGTTAACTCGTTTGGAAGTACTTCGTCCGTTGGGTAACGACCTCTCCTCGATATCGATAGCCGTGAAAATGCAATCGAATAAACGAATCTTACGTTCGAACGAGTTCACTTTGCCTTCGAACGGACTGTTAGATACCGGCCTCGAATTGGCCTTCAGTCTTCAGTATCCGCACTTCCTGAAACGTGACGGCAATCATCTCCACATTTTATTGCAACGTCGCAAACGTTACAAAAATCGCACGATGCTCGGTTTTAAAACGTTAGCGGAGGGCGTGATTCGAATGGATCAAGTATTACAAAAACAAATGGATATTGATTTGGACTTGATGGCTGAGGGTGGTGGTAAAGAAAAAGCGTCATTTCCGGCCGCGCGGATTACGATTAGCCAGTTGAATTCGACGCCGGTTGATCAGGAACACAAAACGGAGAGGGATCGGGATTTCAGTGATGAGGAGGATGAGTTTAGTTCCGGTGAAGAAGAACCGGTTGATTTATCGGATTCGGAACCGTTGAGAAAATTACCACATACCAGGCATAATTTTAAGCAACGGTTTGTGTCGTTATTGAAGAAATTCCGAATGGCTGATACAGAAGAAGGTAATTTGTTGTGTTTAGTTATAATTTAAATGGTTTTTAATGATTGAGTAACATCCGATTAAGTGTAGAGACGCAACAGTAATTCTTTAATAGGTGATACTATTTTTTTGTTTGCGAAACATAGTGGTTGACCTACATTAAACATTATGTTTGCATTGAAACTCGTGCAATTTTAATAGTGTTTGTGGATTTTGTTATAGCTTCCACGAAATAAACTCAGGTTATTCTATTAATTACTGCTGGAATGAAATGGAATACGAGCTATATCGAGCTATATGAGGGCTCTGTTTAGTTATTTTAATTATTTCCTCATGCATGTAAGTGTCCTAGATAATGTACTCATTATGAACAACTTACAAAAATGTTGATAGCTGATAGTTGCGACCATCATTGCGATAATTAAAAACAAATTAAAGACGTCATAAATTTTTTACTGTTATATTATTTGATCCGTTATAAAAATCGTTATTAACAAATCATTACAAAATCGATTTATAACAGAAAGAAAATATTGACAATGTAAATCTTGTTATTTGTTGTTTAGTTACACTAAAAAATTATATTGCGACGTGTTTACGTGAAAAGGAAACGTGATATAAATCATGCGAGATTTGTTCTAATAATGAATCACGATGAATAACTGAATTTTAAGTCTGCAATTAATTTTCTAAAACAAATTATCATCGATAATTCGTGCAGGTGTAATTGATAAACACACCGTTCTTTTGGAGTACACTCAAAAATATCTAAACCAAGGTCCAAAAACATAAAACATTTGGTGTGGATGCCAAAAGACACGTATTTATTAATAAACCCGAACGCATTCTGTATTTTAAATTACTATTCTCGTCAATTCTCTTATCAAATAATGTAATAATCCACGATGAGTAATTTTTTGTTTAAATAATAAATAAATTGTAAGAGGAGACGATAAATTATTTACTATGAGTTGAGTGATTACTCTAGTAAGTCATTTTCTGTTGCTTCGCCCCCTTCGTTAAAGATAAACAATCGTAAAACTTAGTTTATCGCTCGGTAAATCAAAGAGTAAAGATAACCTTTATTGTTTCGGCTCAACCACTGGGTTTTTTTATGAACCAATCTTTCTCACTGAAATATTTTGGCTGAAACCTCCTAAAATATCTATTCGATGAATCATCAGTGATGAAAGTGAGTTTGGAAAAATTCTTGTTGTTAAAAACAATTTATTCTTTAATAAAATTGAAATGTATTAGGTTATAATTATAGTCCAAACAATAATTTATAAATGTTTCATAATTATAAACAATTTACAATGGTTTTGACCAAGAATTTTTATATAATTTAACTTTAGTCGATTTTGAAGTGTACTTCTAAAATATACAGGTGTTCAAAAAGTGGCATATTGTGTTCTGAGATCCATTGGGTCAGAAAACAGCTCTCCATAAATAGTGATGGATAGATTATTTATTGTGTTATTAAGAAAGACTTCTCTAACACACAACATTTATTACATTATTGAAAAAAAATCACTCTTAGAATAAAACCAAAAAAACTTGAATAGATTTAACAAAACAAAAAATCGGATAATAATAATTACAAGTAATAATGATACTAATTTTAAATAATTATTGAAAAAAATCACTCTTAAAAGCAATCATCAAATGTAAAAATCGCCTGAGCAAACTACAAAACAAAAAAAAAACTCGAATAGATTTAACAAAACAAAAAATCGGATTTAAAATAATTACAAGAACAATGAACCTGAAGAGATGTGACTCATATACCTTTATACGTAGTTTATTCTAGGTCATGTTTTCGTTATTTATACCGATGTCGGTAGCGATGAGTTTCTAATTTCTCCTCGCGCTCTTTGTGTTTGTTGGAAAATGTGGTGCAACATCGTAGATCCAATTTTCATGTTGGGTTTCTATTTTTATAACAAAAACGAGATAATAGTCATATCACGATGTAAATATGTACAGCAATTATAAATTGTCGCGTTGCTTAACGTCGGGCATCGTCATTTTGAAATGTTTCAATTTGTTAGTTTGCTCAAGTCGATTAACTTGTTGTTTCAATAAGGCGGAATAGACATTATCAATTACGTTGGAAATAGTTGTTGTGTTGTTATTTACACAAACATCAATTAAATAGTAAATATGACAACATATTTCATTTAAATATTTAATAATTATTTTTTACAGGTAGAACAGCTGCTTTACCAAATCCAAGCGATATCCAAGCACTTTTCCAAGAATTAGAATCGTTAAGTTGCGATGATGATTCTCCTGGTGAACAGGATACGATGTCTATATCGAGTACTCCAAAGCCAAGTTTGAGACCGTTTTTCAGTAGTAGTCGAAGTTTATTGGATACCCCGGGTGGTACACATCAAGAATTGGAGCAACGTTCCGGTGACGATAAGAATTGTTCTGGAAGCGATGGAAATGCGGATCTTTGCGGTACCGATTACGAGGCTCAAAGTGATCCTCAAACAGGATCTCCGCCCAGGGATAGAAATATTCTTAAATTTCGTGGCGCAACCGATATCGATAATTTAACGGAAATCATGGAGAGGAAGACTAAATTGTTTAGGACAAGCGCTTCCGTTACGAAAAAGAAACATTCTCTTAGTGCTTCTAGTAGTGATCAACAAGGGCCTGGAAGTACTAGTCCAGAAACTATTACGGTAAGTTTTTATCGTCCGTAATTATAAAAAATACATTTTTTGAACGAATTTAACTCAATTTTCAGAATCCAAAATAATCTTGTTACTTCAACGTCTATTTTGAAATCTAATCTAACCTACTAAACAGTTTATGGATTATAATTTTTGTTAATGATCTTATTAGAACATTAATTTTTTCCAAAAATAATATTTATTTCATTAATGTCCTCTAAAATTGAAAAACGAGTCATGGCTTTTTACATTGAATTTTATTGATTTATTGAGTTTGATAAAAATAATCTAAAACCCGCCTTCGTAATCTTTTAATAATTCACACCGACGTCGACGGTTTTAGCTCAACTACCGATCGTATCATGTCATTGATTTCTATTTCTGCCCCCTGAAAGGTCAAAAGCCTCTGGAAAAAGAGGGTGTATTAACCCAACCCGTATTTCTCATTTTAATTGTGTTAATTTATCGTGAAAAAAAATCTGTTTTTGTTTAATTTCGTGGTTTATTACTTTACCTACTTTGTTTATCAAAAACAAGTAGCGCGAAAACATAATATACTAAAACCAAGTTTATTGCCTGCTTTTTTTTTATTAAAACAATTTTTGTTTACAACACCATATTTTTATTAATTCTTTTGTAGGCCAGAAAAGTTTTTTTGGAGCAAGTATCCCGTATACTTCCAATAGAAGAAGCGATTCTCCCAGACTGTGTAGTATTAATATCCGGTCCAGAGCCACAAGCAACGTCTTTAGTACCACGTTTAGCGCCGCTTCACCGGATCTTCCAACCGACATCCGCTCCGGAAGGTCGTGCCGTAATTACTACGCTTTTCAGCAAGATCCAAAAGTATTGTAATACCTGTGCCAAGCTCTCGAACCCCGTAAAACTCCTTTTAATCGGCGGCGATCATCTCGTCGGTTGGGCTTTACGTCCGTATGTTGATTTAATGTCAACAAAACCTCCAGATTGGCTCAATTACATCAAATTTTATATAGTTCCTTTTCCAAGTAGTAGCGTGGCGAGACATTTAGCTACTTTAGATTCTGGATACGGCGCTTTATTTCCTCCAGATCAAGATTTAAAATTGGACGAATTATCGAATCGTATCCAAAGATACTTGGCAACTCCAACAACGAACGCACCAACGGCTCAGCTTCCTTTAGCCGAGGCAATGTTGAACTGTCAAGACGATTCGATGCAACAATTCGTGCCATTCGTAAATGAAGTTAGAGTTGGACCATCGGATTCCGCTTTATCCATATCCGTTGATTTGGAGGATCTCATGTGTTCTAGTCCGCCGGCTCCGCCCCCGGCACTTACGCCCCCATCTTCGCCAAATGTACAAACGCGCGAGTCACCGTGGGAGCCATTAGAACTTCAAGTTGATTATTGGCAATTACCAAGATCGAGCGAGAAGACTGATAAAAATAAACAGGACGGGAAGACATCACTTAAAGCTTTATTCCGGGGATTACAAGCTACCCCTGGATTGAGTTTGACGATGCATTTGGCTAGTAAAGAAAAGAAACAGAAAATTATGCGGTTAGGTAAAAAGAAGGAGAGAGAATTGGAAGCTAAGAGTCAGTGTGTTGATGGTATATCACGATTAATTTGTTCTGCAAGGGCTTCGCATACATCACCAATGAGAGGTAAATTTAAAAAAATCATAAATTTATGATTAGTACAATACATAAATATTAATGTGTCATGTAAATGAACTCATTTTTCCAAGTAATGCATTCCACATTACTTTTATAGAAATTTCTAAACGGTATGAATATGAATCACATGTTGTTCCAGTTTGGTTTAGTTTGCTTATTCAACTGTTGACCTTGACAGCTTGATTCAATTTACATGTGTTTCATGTTAATCACATTAGTAAAGTGAGAAAACTACATAAAAAGAATAATTTTTTTATTGCAAATTTATCGTTATTAATATCTTAATTTGTTTTAGTATTAATTGATGGAGCAGAATGGACAGGAGTAAAGTTCTTCCAATTGAGTTCAACGTGGCAGACGCATGTTAAACAGTTATCGGTAGCCCTTGTAGGTGTACCATTAGCATGTGCTGACTAGTAATTATATAAAATAAAGGAGAAAACCCTCGACAATACTCGCTCAACTTTCTCGTGTGTATTTAGACTGCGCTACGCACTGTGTGTTATTAAACGTTATAATAATAAATGTGATAATAATAAATTTAGCTGTTTGCTGAGCACTTTTTGTATCTTGCGATGAGAAGGAAAAAAAAAAACATTTTGAATTGAAAGTCGGATTACAAATAAAATTAAAATACAAATGCCATCGATAAGACTGAGGAACTTCCTGAACGAATACAAAAATAAACTAATACTTATGTATTGAAACAATTACTCACCAAATTACAAAAATAATAAACTGGAAAAGATTTTGAAACGTTGGAAGTGAAGTCGTCCTGTATTTGCACTGTAGAAGGACATAATATATTGCGATGTTCTGTGATTGTAGCAGCTCATTCCAGGTTTGGAGCGCGGTTTTATAAGGGATGCTTTTAGATGGAGAAACTCGCGCCCCAAAAACCAAAGACGTATTTATGAGTAGCTTATAGATGCAATATTTGACATGTTAGTACTGTTTTATTATTAAGAAACGTATATATACATTACATAAAAAGTGCGTGTTTTTATTATTATTTTTTTAATTCGAAATGATCCTATTTACGTTTTTCGTTTCTTTATTTTTATTAATTTTTTTTTTTCAAGTTATTGTAATAATTAATAATGAGCTTTATCATTTTATTTTTCAAATTAAATAACGTGTTATTAGTATTTTTTTTCAACATTGTTTTTTTCTGTGATTTGTATTCAATTCGAAATAAAGTATTTATTTTTACAATTATAAAAAGTAATCTTTTTAAATTAATTTATTTTCTAAAAAATTTTCGCAAAAATGTACATATTCTATTCTACAGCTATAATATTTTTTTTAGAGGGTAACATCTTCTTGGTCTTTAAATTGCAAGGAAACCCAAGCGAGAGTCCATTTTAAATTCGTTAACATAAACTTAAGTGCTTTCGTCCATTGTTCTTCAGAGTTAAATTGTATCCTAAAATTAATTTTTAATTTAAATCTTAATTCATATATACAAAAAAATTACTTTATTGAATAACTAGCATTGGCATCTTCAATTTTACCCTTACTCATTCTATAAGGGATAATAAATTCTGTATCAAGCTGTTCCACTTTTTCCTTAAACTGTTGTAAACAATCTAAAAAAGCTGTCATTCCAGCATCAAATTTGGTATCCCATAAAAATCTAAAACCACCAGATCCATATAAAGGGAGTTCTTTTTGATCGGCTAAAACCTTTAAAAAAATATTAATTTAATTCCTTTTTGAATCATATATTATTACCTCTATATAAGAATGATTTCCATATGGTACTAATTTATATTTTTCAAAATTCAAATTAATTTTTCTTGTTAGTGCAGTTAATAATAAAGCAATTTGTCCCCATGCTGCATTAATTTCAGACCATTCCACTGGGACAGAAGGTAATCTACCTAATCTAAAATTATTTATCGTACCAAAATGACCAGAATGCCAAATATGGAATGTAGCATTAAATACGTTTGTATTAGTTAATTTTTCTAATTGCGTTTGAGTATACTGCAATTGTCTTTCTAAGGACTTGTATTCATCATCTGTATCATCATAATCTTCCCGATGTGTTATATACTCCTCCCAATAATTATTTTCTTCTTTAGCCAACTCTTTGGCTTTTAATTCTTCCTCTTTAATAGCTTCCAATGTTAATTTTTCTTCTTGTTCTAAAGCATCCAACTCTTCCATCAATCTCTTCTCTTCACTTGTAACATCTTCTAATTCTTTTTGTAACTCACTTAATGAAGGTTCTTTTGTATCCTTCTCCAATCTAAATTAAAAAAATCAAAAATAACCCAACAATCAACAAAAGAAACGCAATTTCTTTAATTACTTATTATAATATTTAGTAAAATCCTCACAATCAGTTTGAACTAATTGTATTTGTTGCTCCAAAAGTTGTAAGACAGAATCAGTACATTCATCACAAAGAGGATGATCAATAAAAGAATTGTCTGAAACAAGATCAAAAAGAACAGCTCTAACTCGCATTTTATGACTTAAAGTTTCCATTTCAACTTCACGCCCATCAGATATCAACATAAAACCTGTGGCTCCATTTCCTGAGTCAGATAATCGACATGGATGAACATAATGATCAAAACTGGTCGCTTGCGACTCAAGATCCACATCAGGAACCGATGAAATCGGTACTAGAAATTAAGTAATTAAAAAAAATACCTCATCGTGAAAGTAACTTACGAGTTAATTCCGCGAATATATGTTCGCTGAAGGAATCTAAAGATTCGTCCAACCTTAAAGGTTGTAAACAGTGTTGGCACTTGAAATAAACGAGAATTTTATCATCTGCCATTTTACTTAAGTTTGAAATAAGTTATTTTAATAAATAATTGGTTAAATTAACATTAATATTGCTTATTTAAATAGGAAATGAAAAATAAAATAAGAATCGCTTTGACAAATTTTGACAGTTCACAATAACACAAGGGATCAGCTGTTTGTGTTAAGTTAGTTTAATGAGAACCTTAAAAATAGAAAGTTACTAAGAAAATACAAATAAATTTATTTATTAGATTTTTAGAAAATATTTAATGGGATTTGTTCATAAAATTAATCTTAATTGTAATAATTGTATTGATTAAATAATATTTGTACTGGATTACTTTTTAAGTAGTAAAAATAATTTTTGTTTAGTGACTTTTCTCATTACTTGATAACTTCCAAAACAAAACGTGGAAGTGAACAGAACATATTTTTCACAAATTATAAATTATTTTATGTTTAAAATAGTGAATTTATCAATAATTTAAACTAATAAAGTATGGTTTTATTAGAGAATGACGTCGTAAGTACTATCGAAGATAACCTAACAAAAACAACCTAACCTATCATTTATTTTAGTTTTTAACTGAATTGACCAAGTTATTTCAAAAAGCGAGACAAACCGGGTCTGTTATGATGACTTTTAAACGATGTAAGATATAATAAGACATATAGCTTTTATCTTCAATTATAAGTAAATTAAAATGAATTAAATTATAATTATAGATGATGGTTATGATAAACCAATACCAAGGCGTGGAAATCCTCCACTTCCAGAACCACAGGAACACATGTGCATAGTTAGAGCGAAATCTAGGACAAAGAAAATCTCCACTGTCATTCATCAAAAAGATATCAATAAATTTCAGGTTGCTTATAGCAGTTTATTGAAGGGTAATTTAGATGGATTGAAGAAATTGAAGAAACCGAAAGCTAAAAGTAAAGCGGAATAAGATAAGTGAAAGGATTTGAAAAAGATCGGGGTGAAATGCGTTTTAGAATTAAGATTTTTTTTGTATGTTATGGAAGATTTTTTTAAGTTATGTTTAATGAAAAAAATAAATCATATTTTGAGAACCTTAATTTAAGTAATTAATTAAAAATTATTCATCAAATAATCTTAATTTTAAATTGATTTTGTTAAAGCGCCCTCTTTTATTAAAATGGCAAACATTCAAGTTTAAACGTCATTTAACAGATGTCGCAAGTACATTTATAAGTTAAATTTTCGTTTTCTATAAATTTTTAAAATCGTTTATTAATATTAAGAAAAAAAGAAAATAACAACTATATTCCTCTATCTTCATCCCCGTAGCGCTGTAAGGATGCGATTAATTACCTGGAAATGAAATAAACAAATAGAGAACCGGCTGCTGGCAGTTGGAATGGATTTCTGGAGAAGAGCACCTGGCAAGACTCAACTAGATCGAGTGCGAAATACCGACGAAGTCCAAAGAAGACAGCTCCAATGGTACGGCCACATTCAAAGAATGGGTCTTGGAAGAATCCCGAAGAAAGCGATGTGATGGAGTCTAACAGAAAAAAGAAGTAAGGGATGCCTAAAAACGACATGGGCATGAAAGGACCGCAAAGGTCTCCTTATATATACATATATATATATATATAATATTTTTTGTGTTATTTTTCTTATATGTATAAAAAATTTGGGTAAACTCCAAATTTATATCTAATTGAGTAATTTGATTGTAGACAACGGGGCGTATATTTGCCGCAAAAGGAAGTCAATTTACGATGATTGATATTTCCTTTCGTGCGGGTCCGATATCAGCCGTTGTAGCTTCGATGGTTGGGCCCCGTGACTGGGCATTCGACGCCGCCACGAGTTTCCTGCCGCGATCGCTCTCGAATCCCGTTTAAAATTTCAAATCGACCCTGGAGTACAGAGAAATGACCGATCGCCTTATTAAAATGCTGTATACCGGGGCAATTTAGCCCCGGTAATGATGACGATCCAGTTATTTTTAACGTATGATAGTAACTGGTAAATGGTCGGACTACCACATACGTCATATAAAGAGGATTGTTCCTTTCGATCCGTTTTTTAAACCATCATCAACGATTTTTATTTAAAGAGGAAATTTTTTAAAATTTTTATGTAAAAATCGATGTGTCCGAATGAAGACTGCGGGATGTAAGTCTCCTGCTGCGATGACGAATTGAGAGGTCAATCTTGAACGTGACTTGCACCATCGAATGAGAAAACCTGACGAAATCTGACAATGGATCCAACCCCGGAGTCGTTTAAAATCACCTCCTGTACCTTCACATCACTATTTCCAGGTCAAATGTGGTAGGTAAAACATACTTTTTTTAAAATTTTATAAAAGTACAAATAAGTTTCCGCCATTCTCCATCAACAATTAGGAATGTATTGTGAACTTTTTATTCAAAGTATTGTGCATCACTAGCCATTACTGTTTCCCATCTTTTTGGCAGCATTGGAATACCAGGTTGGAAGAACTCTTCATCTTTTGGCTGTCCATGAATCGACCCAAGTTTTAGTATCTTCGTATGATGTAGAGCGCTGCTTAGACAGTCCAAACTTACGATATTACGTTTTACATCTGACAATTTCAACATAACTTTCTGATGGAGCTTTCTTTTGTTAAACGGCGGAAATTTATTTGTACCATTTACAATAATAAAAATACGAACCTGCTTTCTTAGAACGATAAAAACTCGGTATGTTCATAAGAAACACAAAAAGTAAAATCAAAAAAAGAGGTGGTTAAAAAATAAAGAAAACGAAATGGGACACAAGCAGAGATTCAAAACCCGTAAATAAGAAACTGAAATTCTTCAAACGATACTGATCAACATGCCCCGATGTATCGATCTTGTTTCTCGTGAGCTTCGTTTTGCTGTGCCCGCCACCGCTCTCTGTTGATGCTCGTCCTGTTCTTCTTTTCGTTCGATTCCTTTTGGGACCTAAGTTTTGGTATCTTTTTTCTGGTAGTATTTATATTTTCGACTTTTTAAAAGAAATTTATATACTAAGTACTTGGTAACTTTATAAATCACTTTTAGTTTGCATTTAATTTTTTCTATAGCAATCTCAAATTATTTCCAAACTCTCAAAAATTTTAATATGATATAGTTAATTATTAATAGATTTATGTTGGTAAATGTAATTTAATATGTAACCAAAAACACAGAAGTAGATACAGAAAGCTTCTTCTTCATCGGGTAGCTTTCAATTTTGGTTTGTTTCGGTTCCCATTATTTTAGACGTGGTGCTCGTTAGAGGTTCACTTCGGCGAGGGACCTTACAGAAAACAACCATCTGATTAACGGCTACCCGACTGGAAACAACGTCCACGCAGTTTGGGATCGTATTTTGAACAATAGAGAATGAACCAACCAAGAAAAATCTTTTTTCTCCTTTTTTTAAAAGTAAAAATAAACTCTTTTTATTTAGCTCCATTCCACATGTTTGGTTATTATTAGCTTTGGGGCTTTTTGCGTGTAACACGATAACGGGTTGCGAATAAAACGAACACGAAAATTATTTGCAATTATAAAACATAGACCCCGATAGAGGGCGTATAATTGCTTGTTCGCACACAACTCGATTTACACGCTATTGTTATTATTACAGTTACTATTTTCTATTCTTGATTTTCTATCGTGTAAGACGACAATTACATCTCTTTTAATGCTGTAAAAAAATATATACTAGTAAAATAAAATACAGTTCTCTCAACACAAGACCACATTCCAATTTTAATTGAGCAATAAATTTTACATTGTGATACTCCTTGAATAAAAATGAAATAGCGTTGTTCGTGTTAGGATGGAATGTAGGTGGAAAAGTTTCTAATATTCAAATAATTTTTGCACAGTTAAAATTTTATAATTTTAGGAATTTTTTATATTTTTAATTTAGTTGTGGAAAACTAAATCAGGTAGACTACGCCGGCGTGTATAAAAAGAAAAAGAACGAAAATCGCACGCCAGACTCCGTAAAATTGCACCTGGATACAGGATAAATTATGTTCGTTGTCAGAAAGGTTAGGTTTTGTCTCCGTCTTTGTCCCAGCGCGGCGAAACGAATTCTCGACCCGTACCAAATTGTTTTCCTACACGTTTTGATTTCACAGTTCAAGACAATAACCACAAACTTCTTTTTATTTAAACAATCTTTCAAATGATCAATTAAAATTAAAGAAATTGTACAATGTTAGTGCAGTTTCATCTTTGACTAATAATAAGTAGGAGCAAATACACGACGAAGCAAAAATATGAGAAGAAAGATTAAAGAAAATTTATTAAATTAGAAACCAAGTAGAATGAGGAGTTTAACCATGATAGTTATGCCTCAGCTGTTAATAATAAAATCAAGGTAAACATAGAGTTTATTGATTTATATTTACTATATATTTCTGCTTTATTTTATAGGGTGGACCACACGGAAATGTCGAGGAGGTTCAAATGAAGGAATATTGCTGAACTACCTTAGCCTTGTGCGCAGGCGCGAAGTCTTGTTGGAATGTCCAGGGGCGTCCATTGAAGTGAAACTGGCTCCAAGGAAGCACTTCCTTCAAAGAAAATCCTATATCGATCTGAAGGAGTCCATCTTTATCTTTCTCAATATCTGCTTTTCATGGTTTTCATTTCATCGTGGTGGTCAATAAGGTTATGCCTCTATAGTTTGTTGCTTTTTATTATCTCCCTTTTTCAATATTGAAATTGTTATTGCATCTCTCCATGTAGTCTTGCAAACTGTTCTTTCCATTCTTCTCTCGAGATGATGTTAATTTGAACGTGTTTGTATTTCACATATGTTTTTTTATTTTGGATAGTCTTCTAAATTTTTTTCTGGGCCCCACACAAATCCGATTCCATATTCTTTGCTATTTTCTATTCATTTTGCTCTATTATGCTCTCGATGTTAATTTTCTTCACAAGTTGTCATGGTCACTTCCTATATTTGCTGAATTTAACGTTTCCGTGTCAATTCTATTTGTTAGATGTATGTAGTTGCTATACAATGTGTTAATTAATTATCGCACCCGACGTCATCATTGTAAGTATGCAACCAATATCGCAGTACAAATCGGACAATACGCGATTTGCGTATTACAATACCAATACTGTGATATTGGTTGCATAGTTGCAATGATGACGTCCGGTACGATAATATAATTAATTAACACAGTATATTTTGAGCATCTTTTTTATTGTGAAAATTTGGAAGGGTTGTTGAAACATATGATTTATTAAATGATTTGAGTTACCTCAACTTTGCGTTATTTTTAATTAATTTAGAAATATTAATAGTATTTTTCAAATTGAAACGATTTCATTGTAATACAATTTTTTAAAACTTTTTTCCCTTTCGTTTTCGATTTTACGCTTATTCCATCTCGTTTATTCCCTCTCTCGTCGACGAACCCGTCCGGTTCGTGATTTATACCATGGCCCCGGTCGCAGTTTTAATTTCTGTTTCGGGAGTGGTTCATAACCGTTCATTATCTACCTGTCGGTCGGGTTTCGCCGGTTAATGACTATTGGTCTATGAGCCGAGCGAATAGCCGACGTTCCGTGATCGGAAATAATTATATTCCATGTTTAAAATGGATGTAGGAGCACTCACTGTAGATATCAGAGTTTCTGCTAATTTTATGTTAACTTTGTTATTAATGTTTACTTGAATTGTTAATTTTTGTCACGTTGTTTTTGTGCGTGATTTACCGTTATAACCCAAAATAGAGACTTTGGAGTTTTCGGATTTAGCGGTTGTGATAAGGAGGGCGTCGGATCTTAATCCGGATAAACAGCGGAAGGTAAAAATGGGGGTTTCGGGGGCATATCGACCGAAACGCGGCCAACGTCGGCGTCGCCGTGTGTACGTGTACGTGGAAATTAATGATCCGAGACACTCACGGACCGTGGAAATAAAAGATCTCCCCTTAAATGGCTCGCCCGGCTGAAAAAACCGTATTAGAAAGCATTTTTCCCTGGGACAATTTATTACTTTTATTATCGCCGGCTTTTTCCGAAGCCCATAAAATCATTGCTAGTTTTCTCCGCTCGCCGATCCCATACGTTCCGGTTAGGGACCCATTCCTCCGCAGTCAAGGTTTACCAACAAAGCGCATTATTTTATCAAGAGAAAACTTCCTAAAAGGTAAGTTTCCCGGCCTCCGGAACTCTAGGTCCCAAAGGCACGATGTGCTTCCAACTCTAATGACGTGTATAAATTCACATTAGGAAAAAATTTTACTTGCTAAAAAAATAAACTGTTTGTTCAATACAAATTTTTTTTAGAAATATTCGTCTACCTCTACTTGATTTTTTCTTCTTATACTCACGCAAAGGAAACAACATCGATAAATAAATCGAAACACATAATTCAACGGTTCAGGACGATTCTTCTTGATCTTTGGAGTACCGTTGAAGAACAGGAGAACCGTTGAAAAAACCAATAAGATCTCTCTATTATAATTTCAGCGGTGGACTTAACGAGGTCGCTTCTGGCGGCGGAAAAAGCGGGACCGCGAAAGCTGATCGGCGCTTTGTACACAAAAAAAGACCCACAGCGGAGCAAAGACGACGCTCCAACGGTCGGGGCAATTCATTAAACAAATCCCCGAGAAATACGAGCGCCGAATACAAAGGCGGACCGAGGGCGAAAAAGCCGACGGCGAAGGACTTTGATTTCTTCATTGGCAACGACGACGAACAACAAACAATGAGGGCGTAACTGTTAAATGCTTTATTTTTTTCTTATGCACCGGTTACACTTGTTATCCATTCCCGACAGTAAGCCAAATTGGTATATACACCGGGATACTCTGGTCTTCCACAACCGTAGATTTGGTATCCTGGATAACCCCATGATACCAATCCAATCACTTGATCATTCAATTGTAATGGACCACCAGCATCACCCTAAAGAATATTAATCCAATAAATTTATAAAAAGAATAAATTTAATGTACTTACCACACAAGCATCTTTTCCACCACCAGTTACACCAGCGCAAAGCATATTTTCCGTAATAGTTATATCTCCATAAGCTTCTTTGCAATCATCGCCACTTAAAATATTTACTTTAACTTCTTGAAGTTGGTGTGCAACTTCTCCGCTTTCGCCTAAAGTACCCCAACCGGTTACAGTAGCCTCAATTCCTGCTGGAATGGGAGTACCAGCAGCAACCAAATTTGCAAAATCAATGGTTGAGTCTTGATAAAGTGCAGAATCTAAGTAAAGGATTGCAACGTCGAAATCGAAGGTAAATTCATTGTAGTTTGGATGGATATGGATTTTGTTTACATCCACGACGATTCCTCCTTCGTTGGCATAACTTGAACCAGCTCTAATACTGAATTGGGTCGGATGTCCACTAAGAAAAAAGAATGTAGAGGCAAAAATAAAAAAAAATAATGTACTTACTCTGCTATACAAGTTACAGATGTAAGAACAAATCTGGGTAGGATTAAAACACCACCACAAATATGCGATCCGAAGTAAAGCAAAGCAACTTGATGTGGATGTTCGTAAATATTAACTGGATCACCTCCAACTATTTTAGTATTTCCATCTTCTTTTGGAGCGGATATTCCAAAAGGAATTAGAGAAAGGATACTCACCAAAAATAATTCCAACTTCATTTTTACTGATTTAATAATGCGAGTAACAATTTCTAAATCTTTTATACCTACACAAAATCTCGAATCTTATCTAATTTTCTTCCCATGTTTGTTTTGTCTTTGATAAAAAAACACGATTTTTCAATTTAATTTTAGCAAATAGGTGAGAAACAAACAGAAATGGGTTGGGGGCACTTTAGGGGCGATGGTTCTGATGGACGGACGGCGAACGGAAATAAATCGGCGAATACATCAGTCAAACGCAAAACAATAAAGCGAATCGCGTTCGGCGTCATGTTGTTCTGATGCCGCGGTGGCGGCGGCGCTCTTTTCGCTATGAAGCGAAACCGAACATCCGCTACACCGGTCAATCCATCGCGGCTAATGGGTCCTCGACAAAGGCGTCAATGGGCCCGCGAGCCCAACACACTTTTTCCACCAACGAACGTTATTCGCTAGTGGTCATCCTCCGAAATGAATTATTTTATATGCGGTCTCACCGCGTTGGTATTTCGAACTAGCCACGGGTTTTTGATTGACAAGTGTCGCTATGTACACCTGATGTGTTATGCTATTGCTTTCTCTGTTAACTTTGTCATTGATGTCTAAAATATTTCAATTAAATCGAAATAGAAGATATTTAGAAAAAAATAATTTTTTTTAGTTGTGTTTCAGGATTAGTGTCTTTCGAAAAATGTAAACATTCCAAAAACGTGTGTACGGCATAAAGACATCCATTCAGAAGAGCAAGATAGGGGGAAAAGGAGTTCGGGGCGAAGTAATACACTTTAAAAATAGTGCCCCACGTTGTTTATTGCGCGCGGAGAGAGCGCTAGCTAGAGTACCCAAAAACGACCTCTAGGAAGCGAGAAAGAGCCCCGACGGCGGCGGTGGAGGAACGGGAGAACAAAAAAAAATATAAAAAAATAAAAAAAGCAACACCAGAAAACAACAACGACAACGGGCGGGACTGTATTTCGTCCTAATGCATTTTTAAGTACTGCGCCACGACTCGGCCGGGCTCTATTTTCATTTATTGAGCGGCGCACGCACTGGCGGCGACATGTGGCGGCGATAAATAAAAAAAAGAGAAGACCCCAAGGAAACCGAGAAGAAGACGGTCACAGTGGGACTTCTCAATTTATTACAAAACCTCAACTTCAAATCACAAGAACCAAAAAAAAAAACTTAATTAAATTGAATAAGAAAAAGGCTGTTTTATGAAATCGGTTTTCAAAAGACTTATAAACGATGAAATTTTAACCATGTGACATAAAAATAGTAAATAATTAAATTAAGAAGAAATGATTATTCCATACAAGTCGTCGTTGTTCATCTATGTATCATTTCCAATTTACTAATCTTTGATTCAATCCACTCAATTACTTTGACGGAATTAAACTTTTTGATACCATTGTATGAGACGTCTTCCGGGGGCTCTGTTTGCTCTTGGAAGCCCATCTTTGATTATTCTTGGTAGTCTTAATTCTTCCAGATGTTGAATATAGTCTCTGCATTCCAGCCTTCTTTTGCGTTACCATTTCATAATGTCCTGGATTTCGCATATCTCTAATATGCTCACTTTTACTGTTCTCACACGGTGTATCAAGGTGTATTAAATTTTTTTTGTGGTAGCTTTTTCTGCTCTTGTCTTTATCGTATTTGTCATAACAAGTCTTATACAGGTATCTCAGCCAGACAGTTCATTAGACGTTTATGGGGTTCTGACCAAAATAAAAATTTTAGAATTCAGATGTTAGAATAATCAATTGCGTTGTCTTCAACTAAAATATTTTCAGGTTTCTAGCACTTTCGGTTATACCGGACGTCGCCACCTACTTTATTTTTTTGAAATGGAACAGCCTGTATATTTTTACATATTCGGCCTTTCTCAAGTTATTCGATTTTTTCTAAAAAAAAAATCAGAAAACACTCGATTTTTAGGATATCAATTTAGGATTCAGAACATGCTTAAGCAACATGATTGAGTATGTTTTGATTCCTCGAATGTTATCTAGTGATATGTATACTGTAAATGGTTAGAACATGGTTTTGTATTTGATCTGCTCCCTCTGTTAGTGCATTTTCTTCTTATGGCTTCCTATATTATCATTATTTTGAATCGAGGTTGCATGTACTTTTTCTTTAAGTCTTTAAGGTCTGTGAATGTTTCTACCTTGATCTTATTTGTCTTTTCTATTAGTTATTTTCTTATATGATGTATTTTGCTTGTTATTTTTGCCATTACTTAGTAATTTGTAGAATTTGCTGATGTCAACACCCTGACATCTAGTATTTTAAAATATATTCATTGGAGTCTCAACATCGCCTGAAATATCTAGTCCAGAATCTTCTGAAAAAGGATTTTTAGTTGCTACACTTGAGGAATCGTTTATATAAACAACGCTATGATCTCGTTCAGTTTTCTGATTGAAAGTTTGTTGTTGCTTCCAATAGCTGAACATCTTTAATCTCCTCTTCATCAGTTTCTGAGTCACTGGATACAATGACGTCTTGGGTCATCTTCTGTCTAATTCTGTTGAAGTCCAGTTTTTATTCTTGGCTAAAAACAAAATATAAACTGTAGTTTATTAAAAATTGCGCACACAAATTGAAATTCATTCTTCAACAAAATTAAAAATACACAGTATGTGCCTGGTGGTTAGGAACTAAGACCAGACTAAATCTTATACTCTATTAGTTGTATCAATTTCGGCGTAATCAGAGGAAGCCTTCAAGTTTAGCAGAGGTCGAGGCGTTTCAATATGAGGTTCAGCAAAGTCCAAGATAGTGCAATATTTGAAGTACACTATAAGCACAATATTTGTGAGACTGTTAACTGTATCAGAATAATGTAAGTGGGAATATGAAAGAGTGATTAAACCAGTTTAAATGATTGCTCTTTTTTTAATAACTTGATATATAATTAAGACTTAATTTCGAAAATTGTTTATAATTTATAATAAGGACTTGATATGTACAAAAAAATGTTTTTCATTAACAGTTTGCATGTTGACTAAAGTTGGAATCTTAATCTTGAAAAGGAAAACTGGATTTTTATAATACTCTTTCAGTTTGTACCCCTTATCAGATCCCCGCTGTTGTACATCTGTTAATTAAAATTCAATGGAAGGCCGGGTAACAGGTCATTCATTAAGGTTCCATCTCTCTCTAGGTCCATCTCCGTTCTCAAGTCTCGGAGATCAGGAGAGAACACGGAACGACGAGGTGATTTCAATATCGAAAGGATGTTTTTTAATTAGCTACCGAGAGAGCGGATCTCTCTACGCGTTTCTCGTTGTACTCCCGTTTTGTCCCCGCCTTTTTGTTCCCCCATTTAAATCATCGGTTCTCCCCCTGTTCGTATCCTTTCCCTTTAATTATCTCCGCGTTGTCGATGGGAGATCCACATTGGCACCTGGAATTTCTCAAAAGTGGCTTGCCCCAACCAGATTGGTACCTTGCTCGTTCGAAGGCGACCATTTAGCCATCAGTCTTCAGCCACGGTTTCGCTCTCGATTACAGTCATTAGGTCGATCGGGAAAATTTAACAGTAGTTGCGGCCTCAGGCTTCTCTCTGTCTTTTGATGCACGGTCGCAGCAAATGATAGTAATAGCTGGGGAAAAACGGAACAACGCGGAACGTGATGAATGACAGTTTTGAAACTGTTTTCTATTGTTTTCTAACTTTCGAAGGCAGTTCAGTAGGCGGACGAACCAATTATCCACTTTGTAAAATGGCACAAAACACCGGGTTTTGTATTTTGTACAACACAAAGATGGATTTGAATAGAGACGGTCTTTGGAGAACGTTAAAAGAAAAATTACAATTATAAAAAAAAGGTTATAACCACTTGCGAAAACTATTATAATAAGGACCCGTATTCATTTCCGTTGCCATTATTATTCTCGGGACGGTAGCCGGCGGCGACGACTGGACGAATTGACGTGAGCTTAAGACGTCGCGAGTAATGAACTCATTTGAAAGGCAAAAATTCCTATCTCCATAACGCGTTCAATTATTTTCGTGACCGCGGCGCGTCGTTCCGTCCATATACGGCGAGGAGACAAGCAATTACAATTAAGCTGAAGATAGATTACTTTACAAATTATAATTCGCCTTAATTAGCATAAGAACTAACCAGCTCCGGTACGACTTATCTTAACACGATGGATATTGAAACCACCATGAATCCCCGTGCCGGATACGTCTACAACAAGGCTTAACAACCTTACGGAATTCTATTACTATTATTCAAAACTTAATTAGAGCAATGTTAAACTGTTACATATTCCTATCATTAATCATATCTCATTTTAAACGATTTATAAATGTACATTTCTTACTTTTTTATGCACAACTGAATAGAAGAATTTTCCAATTCTGCGACCAAGTAGTCAATACGTCCCTTATAAGTGAGATCATTTCAATGGGATCAAGAATCAATTCCATTAAGAATCAATTCCATTATGAGTACCTACCTAGTACCGATCTTGACACCATCGTGTAATACACGCCAGCGTGACGTTACCGCCGATAGGCAGCCCACCCTTACATCGTGCTTCTATTCTATTCACCCCGTTTCAGTTTTGGAAGCGTGTGCGAGGACACAAGAGAGCTTCGAGCGTCGTACAACAGATTCCCGACGATGGCGATGACGACGACAACGATGACGACGAGAGAGGGGTATAAATAGCTAGTACAACAATACTTCAGTTACAATGCTAACTTAATCACCACGAAACATTAGACCATTGTCCCGGTGCACCCTCCTGCATTAACGGGGTATTGATTACCACCGACCCAGAGCCGAACACGAAAGCAACAACGAAGCTTCGACGACGACAACAACGTCGCCTTCTTTTGTATACAATTGACGCCCATACAAGCTAATTCTTCTCTTTAGAACTTGTGGTACACGCCACGGATAATAAGCTATATAAGTGTAATGGATATCGCCGACCATTAGGAGGAAACTATGTTAGGTATAAGAATGGCAAAAAAAAATAACGATTAAAATCGTAATATATTTTTTTAATTTTTATTGGCGTGTTTCTTTCCAAAGAGAAAGAGATTATTACATCGCAGGGTTTCGGGCGCGGAAACAAAGCCGGTAATTAAACGGCAAACGAAAAGCAACAACAACAACTAAAAAAAAAGAGGAGCCGTTACGAAGCGAGCGAAGTTTGGTAATTATACAGGGCAGTGCGCAGTGCGGCACTGCCGCCGTCCAGAGCCGGACCGATCCACCAACCGATCGAACAACCGCCCCCTTCGGTCATCATCCGCCGTTAATTATACACCACCGCGACGATATATCGACACTGAAATGGTGGAGAGATACCCAAACGAAATTACAATGCGAATGATTGAAACTGAATAAATCATATCAATAGTATCGAAAGATATAAGTTGATTTGAACAGGATTGAACTAAGAATAAATTTTAAAAACTTTATTTAGCATCAATTTTAATTTTTTGACAGGAGAAACTTTTTGCAACTAAATTTGGAAACACCAAATTATTTTAATGCTACATTAATTTATGAAACTTTTTGTCCATAAAAGACCAAACAAGAGAAATTCACATGCTTTCGCTCTAGAAGATGATCTTTGATATCACTCGTCTTATGCTGATCTTTCTCAGAAAGAAAGCTAAAGATCAAGTCATGAAAGTGGTGAAATTGGTGCTTTGACTTCTGCGAAAAGAGAATCTTTGGTGATTGTAGTAACACGCATAAAAAAAACTTTCCCAGAAAAAAGAAAAACAGATAAAGGTGCATCAGAAACAATATTTCGCACATAGGTTCTTGGACTCCGCGAAAAGAGAACCTTGGGGTAATTGTAATTGTAATGTGTATGAATGCACCCACAACAGAACATAGAAGAATACACCCAAAACATCATAGGCGAATAAGAAGCTGGCTTTAGACCGGGTAGGTCTAGTCTTTACCACCAGACATCTTTACGAAAAGTTTTAGGAGTTTAACACTCATATACACCAGCTATTCATAGACTTCAAACAAGCAAAAAGAAACCAGACACAAGCTCTACACCATAAAGCGCGACCTCAATATTTAATAATTGGTTATGCTGATCTAGCACCCGTACTCTCCAACATATCACTCGAATATATTATCAGACGAACCGGAGTCGTTCTAAACGCAACCTTGATGAACAAGTCCGTCTAAATGGTGG